ATTTAAAATAATTTAAAGAACGATATCCTTTAATAATAACAATATATTTTTGAATACACTTATTAAAAGTTAATAAATAAATAAATAAATAAATAAATAATAACTTACATTATACAACGTAATTCCATTTCGCGTTCTTTATTATAATTAATTAATAATAAAGTACGTGAAAATAATTTGTTTTTAAAGATATAAATATCCTCCTCGTTTTCGTCGGGTTTTAATTTAAAAGATTCTTTATTAAATAATGAATCTTTAAATTTATTAAAGGTTAAATTCGATTAAGATACTGGAATTATAAAGGTTATTTCTCCAGAAATAGAAATAGAATCCGAATATAAATCAGAATCCATTTTAAAAGATTTTTTCCGTACTTTAAATAAGTATAAATAAAAATAAAACACACTTAAATTGTGCTAATAAAACGCACTTAAATCGTGTAAATAAATTAAACAATAATAATACACATTAATTAATTAAAATAATTAAACATTAAACATTAAGTGTGTAGTGAAAAAAAAGGAAAGGAAATTAATTACGAGGAATCGTAGTTTATATAAAATAAATCGGTATAAAATATCGTCCGAATGGAATTAAAATTAAATCCGTTACTTAGAAATTTAAAGATTACGCAATTTAATTTGATTGGTTAATATAACTACCGTGATTTAAAATCAAACTTAATTTATAATTATAAAACCGGATTTAAAACTTGATAAATTAATATAATAAATTTAATTGGCTATTACAACTACCCTGATTTGAAATCAAACTTGATTTATAATTATAAAACAGGATTTAAGAATTTAAAACCGGATTTAAAACCCGATAAATTAATATAATAAATTTAATTGGTTGTTTTTAAATACCGTGCATTATTTATACCGGTTTTAAAATAAAGGGTAAAACCTTAAATTTACGGCATTTATTTTATAGGTGGATTTAAATTTCTTAAATCCGATGATTTGAAATGAACTTTTTACAATTTACTATACAGTTTTTTATATATATTTACGATATCTTACCTTTTTAACTCAATCTCAATTTACTTATCCTTTTATTATATATTTATTATTATTCTTATTATTATTCTTATTATTATTCTTATTATTATTCTTATTATTATTCTTATTATTATTCTTATTATTATTCTTATTATTATTCTTATTATTATTCTTATTATTATTAAATTTATTATTAAATTTATTATTAAATTTATTTTTAATATTATTATAAATTAATTATAATTTATTTATTTATTTATTTATTTATTAAATATTTAGTTTATGTTTTATAAATTTAAAGATTAAAGGTAATTTATACTATTAAAACTTATTTAAAAAGAATTATATTAATTAATTTATTAACAGTTAAAGTTTAACGATTTTAAAAACTACCACTTTATTATTTATACAAATCATTTATTTTAAAATAATTAATAACTTTTTAATTATTTATATTATAATAAATTTGATTTATATTTTATAAATTTAAAAGTTAAAAGTATTTTATATTATTAAAAGTTATTTAAAAGTCTTTAAGTATAATGAGTAATACTTAAATACTTATGAGTATCGTTGAGTATTTTAAAATCGGATACTCATACTAACTCAAACTTAATAAGTGTTTAAAAATTTAATACTAATACTCATAAGTTGAGTAAATACTTAACTCAATACTAAATACTTAATACTAATCTCACAGCCCTGTTAAATAGTGAATCTTTAAATTTATTAAAAGTTAAATTCGATTAAAATATTAAAATTATAAAGGTTATTTCTTTAAAAATAAAAATAAAATCCGAATATAAATTAAAACCCATTTTAAAAGATTTTTTCTGTATTTTAAATAAATATAAATAAAAATAAAACGTATTAAAATTATATAAATAAAACGTCTTTAAATCGTCTAAATAAAAATAAAATATACGTAAATCGTGTAAATAAATTAAATAATAATAATATATATTAATTAATTAAAGTAATTAAACATTAAATATTAAGTGTGTGGTGAAAAAAAAGGAAAGAAAATTAATTATAAAGAATCGTAATTTATATAAAATAAATCGGTATAAAATATCGTCCGAATAGAATTAAAATTAAATCCTTTATTTAAAAATTTAAAGATTACGTAATTTAATTTAATTAATTAATATAACTACCGTAATTTAAAATTAAACTTAATTTATTATTATAAAACTTAATTTAAAATTTAATAGATTAATATAATAGGTTTAATTAATTATTATAATTACCGTAATTTAAAACTAAATTTAATTTATAATTATAAAACAAGATTTAAGAATTTACAACCGGATTTAAAACCCGATAAATTAATATAATAAATTTAATTAATTGTTTTTAAATACCGTGTATTATTTATACCGGTTTTAATATAAAGGGTAAAACTTTAAATTTAAATCCGATAATTTAAAATCAACTTTCTATAATTTATTATACGGTTTTTTTTTATATTTACGATATTTTATCTTTTTAATTTAATTTTAATTTACCTATCTTTTTATTATATAATTATTATTATTATTATTATTATTATTTTATTTTCATTATTATTAAATTTATTATTTTATTTTAATTTTAATTTTATTTACTTTTAATATTTTTATAAATTAATTATAATTAATTAATTTATTTATTTATTAAATATTTTATTTATATTATTAAAGTCTATTTAAAAAGAATTATATTAATTAATAATTAAAGTTTTACGATTTCGAAAATTACCATTTTATTATTTATATAAATCACCCACTTTAAAATAATTAATAACTTTTTAATTATTTACGTTATAATAAATTTAATTTATATTTTATAAATTTAAAAATTAAAAGTAATTTATATTATTAAAAGTTATTTAAAAAAATTTAAATATAATAAATAATACTTAAATATTTATAAATATCGTTAAGTTTTTTAAAATCGGATATTTATATTAACTTAAACTTAATAAGTATTTAAAAATTTAATATTAATACTTATAAATTAAATAAATACTTAATTTAATATTAAATATTTAATATTAATCTTATAATTATATATATTATTAATTTTTATTAATAAAATACTTTAAAAATGTTATTAATTATATTATATAAATTTTTATATTAACCGAACCGAGTTTTAAATAAAAAGGGTCGTTATACGGTTTTATATAAACGATAGTGGTGTTTTAAAGTAGATAAGCGTTGTTTTTTCCGTGAGGAAAGCCCGTGTCTACGCCGAAGAAGAAGCTGAGAAGGAGACCAATGCCAAAGGATGCAAATGTCCACCAAAGTGACTGGTTAGGGATGGCTTTACACAACAAAGCCTCCTGTTACAGGACTGCATGTGACGCTCAGAAGTAGGCTTGGCTCATAGCCGAAGAAGGCCCGACCTCGCTGATGAAGAAAGGATAACTCCATGATGTTACCAGAGCCGAGTATTGTCGAGGGTGGCCCAAAAGGTCGGCTAGTGATTTATGTATGTTGCCCGGAACAAGACAGTTGCGGCTCCTGAATTGTCCCGGTGGCTATCTTGAGGGTATCCATGTTAATGACCAGGTCATGCTATGTCGTTGATACGCACAAGGTCTGACTCTGGTATCATGCGATCAATGCCTTTCTCCCTGATATAACGGGTATTCTTTGACCTGCGACATTACGGTGTTGACATCCTCGAACTTATTCGAACGGCGGTATGACGAGGCCCGAGTTTGCGAGCACTGGAAAAGAGATGGAATGTTTCAGCTATAGTGGAGGAGACCAAGAGGGAAAATGAAAAGAGTATTTCAAAACCCTCAAAGTCTCTGGGAGCGTCACAAAGGCCCACTGAATGATCTCGGAGTTAGCGCGATTCCCCATGTGCTGTAAGGCGACCTCACTACTGTTCTACCAACCTGTGACTATTCTCTGTGCTCGCGCCCTTGAGGTCCACCAGCGCGGTGTGACTGTAAATTTGTGCAGTATATTGATGAAAATTCTCGTGTGATTTGGTGACTTGAGCGCCAGTACAAAAGCAAGAGGCATTTCCTAGCCAGTTGACCGAGACATTCTGACATTCCAGCCGGCTAGCATTGTGAGATAAGAACGATACACAGCTGACTGAATCTGGGCTGAACTCATCTGAGCAGGTTCAAAACTAAAGGTTTGTAGGCTGCAGGCTGCAGATGCCGCTTCGATGCCTAATCAGCATAAGACTTGATTTTTATCTTATTTTTTTTATAGGTCTTCCTAGCTTTCAAGCGTAAGCGGTTTGCCGCCCGGTTTGACAACTCGGACTGTAGCCAATCAGCAATCGCCCTCTACCCCCCAAATCCAAGAGGCGTGGCGGGTAAGCCCTTACCGGAATGGGAGAAAACTATGGCCAAGACCTGATGTCGCAGCCTTGGCGGCATTAGTGTCAGAGTCCGGCCCACCACCAAAACGGCAATATAAAGTCGCAATACTTCGTCGACTGCAACCTTTAGATCCCAGATACCAGCCCTATCCCGATGCGCTATGGAATCCCTTCCGGCCAGTGCTGCGAAACCCGTGGAAAAATCACGGCGGCACTGTTGGGAGTGTCAAAGGCGTCGTATTGTCTGCGATGTATCTCTGCCTTTTTGTAAGAAGTGCCAGGCCAATGGCTTGGTCTGTCCCGGGTATGATGACAAGAAACCGCTGAGATGGCTGCCGCCCGGAGCTGTGACGTCTCGTACACGCCGAGCGAAAACTGCGCTCCAAAAGCAGGACAGCCCTGCCAACGAGCATGTGGAAGAGCCTGATGGTCCTAGAGACCGGGAACGCTCGATGTTGGTAGTGATCCCCAAGAGATATACGTACTTGAGATCGGACGTCTGCGACATGGTTGAGGCGGCCCAATACCGCAAGCAGCAGCCCCAAGCCCTCCTTTGGCGCAACGTGCGATGTGACTAACCCGAAAGTGCTAGACAACTCATGGATATTCCCTACTTGGCTTCCCCTCCATGGGTTAGCACCCAATCCCTATCTCGAACCCTTCAACATGGAGACCCTCCCCTATATGCCTCCAGTTCTTGGCCATAGCTTGACCTGCATGGCACTGGATCACCGGCTGAGTCAGCTGCCACGTTCGGGCCGGGACGCCGATAACGTGTCCATTGTTCGGTCCAAAATCCTGAGGCACCGAGGCATAGCGATAAAGGGCCTTAGCGAAGCCATTGCCGATGAGAGGACACGGATGACCGATCTAACCATAATTTCAACCCTTTTTTTCATGTTCATTGATGTACGTTGCTATGTGTCTTGCTCGCGTGCAGCATGTTGAACAGACTGTGGCTTAATATTTGATAGATTCGGGTGAACCAGTCTCATTGGCGACAGCATTTTGACGGGGCGACAGAGCTCATCTTGCTACGGGGAGGCCCGGAAAAGTTCTTCCGGCTGCTACGATATTACAAGATGCTGATAGCAAGCTATGTTGTGTGAGTCTGGAGGAGCCGCCCCACTCAGTCTTCGGCGTCATTCTCATCTAGGGATCTCTCTTAGGGTCGGCGTTATGGCGAATACCACCAGTCCAGCCCAGAACTTAGCAGCACCCGCGTTCCACATGAAACATATCAAACTGATATCGCAGTACTACGATGATGGACTGTTCCCGTTGTTACTATGCCCACCTTCGCTCTTCCTAAACATTATTGAAATCAACTACCTTCGACATCAGGCAGCAGAGACGCCATCTGCTCTGGATTCCCTACGTACGCGCGCCCAGGAAGTACTGCAGCATGTCACCGTTTTTTCGGCAGCGCAGCATGCAGCATCAGTGCCCTTGTCAACGGGTGGGCTGCTACTCAGTGGCGTGTATCAATCCGCTGTCGTCGTCTATTGCATCTCGTCACTTCAGAGCTTGGGTGTTCTTCCTTATTCCCCATCAATGCGCGACACGAAAGCTCGCCACGGCAAGCGACTGCTGATGCTCTTGGAGGAGGCTCTGACCTCTCTGAGCCTTAAGCATATCATGATAAAGTGCATGGTGTGGCCCTTGATCATGGCTGGTACACAGGCTTCCCTCGGGAGTCCGGCCCAAAAGGCATTTGTAGAGAGAACGTTGATGGAGATGAGTTATGAACATGGCTCACGTCTACCTATGCTCGCACGGGAGGTATTGAATAAATTCTGGGCATCAACGAATAATGGTTGGGACGATTGCTTCCCCCAGCCCTATGCGTTTTTGGCTTAGGCGGGGTTGTACATGGAGTACACGGGTTTTGTATATATAAAATAGTTGAACTATTACTTAGTGACCACTCTAGATGATTTGATCGTTCGCTAAACGACCTTGCTTAACTATGTGGATGTGGGGTAGAGTATTATTCAAGTAGGTATTACTTATATGTTAAGGCCTCGGAGAGCACGCGCAATGAGCTTTAGGAATCTAAGACTCAATCGTCAAAACTAAAATTCTATTCCGTGAGCTGTCAAGACGCTGACCGTTGAAGCTGAGATCCACTCTTGGCCGGCACCTCCCAGCTCAGCTTACCTGCCTGATTGACCACGGTGGAAAAACAGCTGGGAAGCTGATGTCCACGGTCTCAAGCTATTAATCATATATGTAGACCATGTAGGCCCTTGCAGAACGAGCTAGCTAGAGCAGAGATAGAAGTGCATGTTGACTGAGCTTTGAACCAAGCTTGCTAATACGTTTAGATACTATGCCGCAGCCACAGAAAACTTACCTGATCGATAGTTCTCACATCGGGGCTGCCCGCACGGGTGCACGATCTTAAGCACACAATGCGGTGAGTTGACCTAGAGGATTCTTTCTGGGGGCGCTCGCGACTTGCCGCTTTGCTTGGCTTGACATCTTGGTTCGAACACGGAGCAGACGCATCCCCTACGGCGATAAGACGTGACCAACTACATTGCCACCTGATTAGAAGCAGCGCGTTGGTGATGATGTCTATCGGCACGGTTTTAGAGTATCGTGCAGACGCAAAGGCTTCCCTCTTGTTGTCACAAAGAGACGACCAGTCGCTAGCGCAGGTCGGGAAAGTTGAGTGACCATCCCAATTATGCAAATAGGGCACGGTGAAAATGAAAAACCTTGAGCACAATTAAACAATATCTTAGGTAGTGATAAGAAGGGGTGATCCGCTGCGCGCAGAATGTGAGTCACATATAGAGAGGACGCCAGATGTCTGCACGGACGATTTCCCGGGCAACTGAATAATCTGAAGTGACTATGAGAAGTCTATTAATAGGCCAGGGTGAGTGGTACCGAGCCCTGTGAATAACACGAGACATCACTAAGAGTAATGTTGGGTAGACGTGGGAGCTAATAATGGAAGACTGTCGAGTCGACAGTAAATGCTGGAGATTTACTTTCACAAGGGACCGCTTGCGCAATTAATCCCTACCTACAAGGTAATATCCCAAGAACAAGGCACTGTCTATATTGCAGCAGCTGACGGCACGACCAGCCAGGGCTCTTGATACTCAGATGGACTAAATGTGCTTGCTTGGCAACTCTCACTTTTCGCGTTGCAGGAACCCCATTTTGAGCGCCCGACTTCACGTCACCGAATAACCATTGTTCATGGTCCGGCACAGCACAATTATACGTGATAACCCTACCGGCAGGCCCAACGATCTTAACCACTCGGCAACGATCCCTTAGGCGGCATTGCTAATGCACGGTATTGTTACTAGCTTCGACGGTGGTACCGATCATGCTTGCCACGCGTACTACAACTTTGGCGAGGAAGGGCGAGCTCTTTATGCAAACTGCTGAAATAACCGCCAGACATGAATAAACTCACCGACACGAGTCAAAAATGTTATCGTGCTCGAGTAATGCAGTGTCGTTATTGCAGTATCTCGTCGTTCCTAGGGCCTCGAGCTCTCCGTAGGTAGTACTCGTCCAAACGTTACCGGAATACCCTTGCCTCGCGCAGTGTGATACAGAAGGACGTGTATTTGCATACATGAAAGGCACACTATAAGAGAAGCTACTGAGCCAAGCCAGAGCCCACATGGCCGTTGTGAACAGATAATTAAGTACAAGCAGTGACCAGTGGGGGTATTTGGCTCTCGGGTGCTAACTATCTAATTTAGGCAGCTTGGGATGTTTTATGACACGAATTCTTGGGGCCCGTCAATTGCGAAGCAAATAACCTGCCTTCACACCTGCTTATACGATCGACGGGATATACACGAGCCAACCGGTTCTGTGGGTAGAGTTGAAGGCATTAACAAAGGCAGGCGGCCGATGGCACTGCGGATCAGAGCAGATCGGATGAAACGACAACCGAAATAACCAGGGACATAAAGGAGCACGTTGTACAAAGCGCGTAAGAACAAGCCCGTATAATTCCGGCACGTATTTTCACTGCTGTTTACGGTTCCCACCGGGGCCGGTAAACTGAGAGCGACCGACAGTGCACGCACGATGAAACAGATGGTCCACATGCGTGACCAGGACTGCGATCGCTTCCGCAGCCTCTGCATTCTGCTCTAGTTGTGGTAGTTAACAACAATGTTTCCCAGCAGGCGGAAGCCCGAAGCCTCCAGATCCTTGACGACAGAGAGTACCTTGGGAAGACGGTCGTATGTGTTTGCATGATAGACGCCGGCGCCTGGACGGAGAAGGGAAGCAGCGATTAGCCCAACAGGGTTGCCTCAAAGGGTGCGGCGTTGAAGGCATCGTATCATGCCTCGCTTTCGCCAGCGGCGCCAATGCAGGTGGCTAGATAATGGCAAGTCTGAGGCTCGCCTGGAGGTGTGAGGTCGGATCAAACGCATGCCGTGTCATGTCTGAAGCTGAACCCCTGTCGCGACGGTTTGAAGAGGCTCAAATTAGGGTGGCCGGGCCCGCCTGCAAGGGCGCTTTGGGGGGGCTCTGGGGGGTTCTAGGGGCCTTGGGGCGGCCGTGCACCAAGCGGCGCCCCAGGGGGGCAGGCCAAGCTTTCTTACCGCGCTCGCGGATTTCGACTCGACATTGGGGTTAGCGTCGGTAAGCGACGCCGAGATGGAAATCCAGATCTCCCCAGGGCCTCTCGCCCGACGTCCCAGAGATCCCTTCGAGACCCCATCTAAAGTTTCAACACTGTGATCTTCCTGTCTGGCCCTTGCACCGTGGTATTGCGAAGATCCCTCGAGCAGCTGTGGACCAGAGCTGTCTGTCCCTTTAGCCACCTTGGAACTCGGGGAGCTTGTTGTTTATGTTGATTCCAACCGCCTCTGCCTAGCTACGGCAAGGCGTCCCGGTCTTGACGTCGTGACCACCAACAGATAACCACCCCTTCAACAACATCTGGTCCCGCTGAATACAGTGAAGGTGCCATGGCGTCACCGCGTCAGAGCCTCATCGCCCCCTGTTCTGTCCGGCACTCTTACTATGTAGTCTGCTATCAACGTCCTGGGCAACCCTGACACCCCTGCGCCGGCCACCTTCTGGAGCCTTGCAAGCTGCACCAGACCCCCCTGCTTGCCCCAAGTCACTGCCAAATCCCTGCGTAGGGGCTCTTGCAAAAGCATCAAGGCCGCCGCCCCCACCACATCTTGACTCTGATGATACGCTCGATATACCAGACCATGCCATCCCTGGCGTGGTGGATGGCCATGAACGCACCATGGCCCAACAAGGACCGCCAGAACGGTTGGTCTATCCCTGGAAATCGGGCGGCTTGCCTCGCGATTCGCTCGGTTTAGAGACCGAAAAGGCCATGCCAGCGCCTCCTTTACCAAGGGCTGAGACAAGTTCAACGTGTTTGACATGGGACGAAGATCCTGAGGCTGGTTCAATAGTGTGGGCGTCGCACGCCGCACCATCTGATCTCAATGCTGAAGTGTGATCTGCATTACGGGGTGGTAATCCACGCCGAACCCAGCCGCTCCATGGTGTATCTGTTTACTGGAAACCCCCTCTGCCCGTCACTTATATAAACACTCCGTCCGTTCTCTTCTGCTGGTCTGTTTTCCTCTCGTCCACCAAGCTTCGATTCTCTCTTTGACGTCCAGCTCTTTTCAGTTCTGTGAACATTTCGTTCGTAACATTCTTTCTGTCCTTCACTTCTGCATTCAAACGCACGGCCGGTCCATCTTTTATCGTAAAACTTCAACTTACCATTCCAACACTTATACTGTCAAACGATTGAGAAAGCTTGCTCCTCCATATCCCATAACCGCCAACATGTACACCAAGTCTGCTGCGCTTTCCGTCCTTCTAGTCGTGGCTGAGGCCAGATTCGGCCAGGAACAAACTCCGGTTGCTGCCGTGTCGGCTCTTAGCAACTTTGGCAACCCCGGTGAGGCTGCTACCTTGGCTGGTGGTATCCCGGGGAGCCTTCTCGCGGCGGCCGACCCCTGTGCCAAGCTTACCCTTGCCGACAAGATCGTCTCGACTCTCGGCAGCGACCCTGCCGTCATCGCTGCCGCCGCCGGCCTTGTTGGGGCCGAGCAGAACTTCAACCCCTTTGTCGTCAGCATTCCCAACATCTGCGGCGATGCCACCCTTCCTGCTACTGCGGAGCTCCGCGGTATCGTGCCTCTGGTGGACCCTGCCGTCGGCGACTCGGCCACCGAGAACGCGAATGCGGCTGCGTCTCTGAAGACCCCTTTCGATGCCACTGGCTTGAGTGTAGCCGAGGTCATGATCGCCCAGGGCTTCTCCAACTTCTCCGTAAACGGCCAGGACCAGGCGGGTGGGAAAACCGGCGGAAACGCAAATAACGGTAACGCCAACGGTGGAAACAATGCGTCCGCCGCCAGCAGCACAGCTGCCGCGACGGCGACGGTCAAGTGCGGCGGCTCAAAGGCCACCGCATCCGCCTCTGTCACCGCCTCAGCTTCGGCATCCCAGGCGGCGACGGCGACCTCCGCCAACACTGCTGCTACCTCGGCCGCTGCAGGCTCTGGCAGCGGCTCGTCCGCAACCGGAGCTGGTGCTGTTACCAATGCCGTCACCGGTAACTTTGATGGATTTCAAAAGAGCTCCCTTGGGCTTGACTTCGGAACTTGCACACCCACTGTCAAGTTCGAGGAATCGCTGAACGGTCGCAAGGCTGGCGAGTTCACCTTCCAAGCCCAGGACCCGGTCGTCAACAAGGGCCAGCAAGAGGCTCTCAACCCCAACATCATCTTCAACCGCATCTGTGACCAGCTCAACAACGTGTGCAATGCCGCAGATGATGCCATTGCTGCCTGCAAATCCGCTCAGGCCGACCTGGGCGGTGGTGCCAAGGATGCCTCGACTGCCAACGCCTGGAACACTGCTTTGGGCTTCGACGGGACTAACATCAACCCCGACAACGCTCCCCAGGCTGGCCTCGTTGGCCACACTTAAGCGGTCGTTGTATCGATATTCGCGCATTTGCTTTTTATTCGAAATAACTCACAGCATTCGGTGTTAAGGAGGCGAATGAGGTCTTGGACGGATGGTAGCCAGCTGGGTTCACTGTGTTGTATGCATGTATCGTTACTGGTGCCTTTAGTCAGTAGTCGGAGCAAATGCAATTTCACGAGAGATGACGATAACGGCACAATTTTATGGTCCCAAACGCTAGACAGGTGTCTCGATACATATGTGACGTGAATGTGCTCCAGGTAACCCGATATGAGGAACAAGGTCGGTCCCAGTGCCATTTATGTTTGCTTACATACTACGACAACCGTTGGCTGTCTCAGTCGCAGGATGGACCGATCAACGTAGTGTCGCGCCAGGAAAGAGTCCAGAACTTCAGGGTGAGGCTGCCAGGCATTCACGCGACAGCCGAGTGACGTGCAGTGTGTGACATGACTGTGGAGCTGAAACCCCCGTCACCCCACCTGTCAAACCTGTTAAGTGTGCTGAGAACGAGTCAGGAATAGCAGATTGACAAACCACGAGCCTGGCCGGTTGGCGTCTGTACTTGCAGACCTCGACGGAATGGATTCCGGTGTAAACGTACGAGTTATGGGCTACCTTGATGGCATCGTGTTCTCAACTGGCATTGCAGGCATTCCGCAAGGAGAACCTCTCCCAGTGACGTAATTTGAGCGATATGATGAGGCTGCTTCACTTCAGTCCGACCCCCTGCACTGTTAAAGTTTTCTGGCCAATCTTGATAACAGTGGTCGGTGGCCGACATATATATCAGCCTCTTCGTCACATCCTGTTGTGTGTGAATTGGAAACCACTGTAATAATTTCGAACGGTGGCAGCCATAAATCATACAGAAACAACATGTCGAATCACGTTCTTGTCTTGGGCGGCAGCGGAAAGATATCGCAATTGCTAACACCCCTGCTCTTGCAGCGGTCCTGGACGGTTACTAGCATCATTCGCAACCCCGACCAGGTTGCGAGCCTGCAGAAGTTGGGTGAAAACCAAAAAGGAAAACTCAATGTCCTCGTGAGAAACCTCGACGAGGTGAAGAGTGAGGCGCAGGCCAGGAGCATCATTGATGAGGTCAAGCCGAACTACGTGGTCTGGAGTGCAGGTAAGTTCGACTTCCGCATCGCCCGACGTACCGAGCAGACTAATACAAGGGGACAGGCGCCGGAGGTAAAGGGCCCCCAGAAAGGGTTCGTGGCATCTCTTTCCCTCCACTTGTGTATGTACACTGATATTCCAGCAGACTTTCACCGTTGATCGCGATGCTGCAACATACTTCATCCGCGCATCCGCTGCTACGCCTCAAGTCACCAAATTCCTGATGATCTCGTTCATCGGCTCCCGCCTCAAGAAGCCGTCCTGGTTCAGCAATGCAGATTGGGAACAGCAACTGAAGGGGCGGCAGAAGCTACAGAATTACTACGAAGCCAAGATCGCCGCCGACGAGGTCCTTTACACCGAGGGCAAGAGGCGCAAGGACTTTGCAGGCATCAACCTCCGCCCGGGTCTGCTCACTGATGAGCCTGCGGGCAAAGTCGAATTGGGCAAGCTGTCAAAGCCCAATGGTCCTAGTAGCCGGACGTCTGTCGCGCACCTAGCGGCGCTTCTCCTTGACAGCCAAGACGTCAGGAGCTGCTGGCTAGATATGCTGGATGGCAGCGAAGACCCAGAGGCGGCCGTGCAGCGTGTTGTAAAAGACGGCGTTGACTGCGCAGAGGGCGAGCCGTTTTACTGAAGGAGATTGTAGGCAGTGGAGCTGTGCCTGGTCTTGGATCCAATCCACACCATAGGAACTCTCACGTCGCAGCGGCCTTGGAAACGTTCTTTCGAAATCAATGCTACCATTCCATTCCTCGCTTTGATAATTGATAGCTGGCGGCAAGGCTGCCGCGCATGCATCCATGAATTTATGAATTGAAACAACACAATGAAGGCTACCTCTGACTCGATAGGCTCTGCCTTATGGGTCGTTGTGTGATGGAAGGTGCTGGAGGAGTGATATTGTTCATAGTACCTCGAAAAATGCCACAGGCCCCAGTCCCCAAGCGGGCATTTCTGGCAGGCCTCAGTAGGAGGACGAAAGGTCCACGGCTACATCGCATGTGGAGTTGGATTATTCGACCGCTCAGCCAGCTCTTAGCTCTGCAGCGGGGCAGCGGGGAATCCCCTTTACCGTAACTAGCTATTGCCTATTGACTAGAACCTGGAGGAAATGGGTAACCTTCTCCGCACAAGCAGTAGGCAGGCCAGTCCAAAGGTTGTCAAACAAGAGGAAGCTATTTGATATTATGGCCATTATATGAAGGTACTATGAGGTTGCATAGAATGACCATCCAGCGATTGAGGATAGTGAGGGCATAGGTGAAAGAGAGAACCACGGTCGGAATCGCAGAGCCAGCGATGGGCAATTCCGAGTGGTCAGTCACAGATGGAGCAGCCCCAAGAGCGAGTGCCGGAGAACAGGAGCCGCCGCAGCCACCATCGCCAGCTGCCGTGCAGGGTAACTGTGCAAGGAGTACTCCGCATCTGGGTACATGAATCTAGCCTAGCCTGTATTGATATACGCAGCCGTAGGGCACAACACTCCTCGCCGATCCAGTTCTGCAATTGTATCGGCGGTGAAACACAAGAGGCTAATATCGGCATCCCCCGAGACGTAAAGCCGTGAAAGGAGTGTCTGCTCCGTGTATAGGCGTATAGGCCGGACCTATTTTTCTCTATGTAATATTTCGCAACAAGCTGGACTCAAGCCAGATTACAATGGGATCTCTGCTTAGAGGGACGGCATTCATAACAGGTGCAGCTTCAGGTATGATATATATCCACAGTCATGAGCGGCCACAAAGATGAACTAAGAATGCGTTGTAGGCATCGGCCAATATACTGCCTTGAGCCTGGCCAAATACGGCATACAGCGTCTGGCACTTGCCGACTTGAACACCAAGGGTCTGGCAAGCTCAATCAAGGCATTGAAAGACCAGCACCCAAGTATAGACGTACTTCCTCTCCCGATGAACGTGCAGAATGCAGCCGAGGTCAGGTCGAGCGTCTTGGAAGCAGTCAAGAAATACGGCCGCTTGGACATTGCTGTCAACAGCGCGGGGATTGGAGGCTCGGGTAACAAGACGCATGAGATAGACGAGGAGGAATTCGCCAGGGTTGTAGATGTGGATTTGCATGGCGTGTGGAGATGTCAGAAAGAGCAAATCAGTGCCATGTTGAAGCAGGAAGATCTCGGCCCCAGGGAAGGCAGGGGGAGAATCATCAATGTTGCCTCGATGTTCGGTCTCGTTGCTCCGGGGACATACATGTCGCATACTGCTTATACTGCGGCGAAGCACGGTGGGTCGTCACTTACTCAGCACCAACAAATGATATCTGATGCGTTATAGGTGTTATCGGGCTGACCAAGGGAGATGGAAACACGTACGGCCCTTACGGGATCAGGATAAATGCCATCTGCCCTGGGTATGTACAGAGTGCCTGTGGTCCTCAGGACAACATGTTAACAGATGATTTCAGCTACGTAGCCACGCCCTTGCTCGTTCACAGTATGGACCAAACTCCTGACTCGCCACTCACTAGAGACATTGCGAAAACGCCCCTGAAACGGGTTGCCCAGATGGAGGAGGTTGGGGATGCAATCGCATTCCTTGCATCGCCTCTCAGCAGCTTCATGCAGAGTAGCGCGCTTGTAGCTGACGGTGGGTTCATAGCAGAGTAATGAAAAGAAGACATTGCACGCGGTGAGATACTGGTATTCACTCAATTTTAAGTCGAAGTCATATTGAGTGGTTTTGAACTCAGCCACAGGAAATACGGCAAGCTATCGCTCAAAGAATACAACTTCTGACGCCCAGTAACCAGAAGCTAGACAGGTCAATCAATCCCTTGATGGATAATTTTGAAAGTTGACGTAAAACACGAAAAAGATTTGACATCCAGCCACCGCAGATAGAAGAATATTATCGCACATACAAAGGTGACTTAGAAGCTGAAGAAGTCCAACTCGTGGTTCCTAGGAGCTGCAGACTTGTCCACTTCAGCACCAGCAGCCCTTTCTACACTCTGAACCAATCCCTCCAGACTGATAGGGCTATGTGAATCACCCCCTATCCAGTCCATGTTCGCATCTCTGTCATAATTATCTCCAGTCTTCGGGCTTCTGCCATGATCTTCACCCGACGATGTGCCCTGGGCTGAACCGTGGAGGACCGTTGTTGCGCTGAGACCAGCAGGTCCAGAAACCCAGTCAGATATCTGGAAACCTGTGTCCTGATTTGAGAAGGTATGATCTTGACTTATCCCTTGCATATTCCAACTACTATCTGTTGCAGTGTTGACCACGATGTAGTCCTCTGATGGTCGGTCGATGCCACTGCTCTGAGCTTCGCCAGCTGGCTCCCCGTCAATAGCAGAACCATGTAGGGAATCTAGGTTGAACGTGGCAGATGTATTTCCGTAGCCAGAGTATATTTCCGCCATCGAGTTATGTATTTCGAATGCCATTGAGTCTTGTCTCTGGCCTGATGCTGGAGGCGTATGTTGAGATAACGACGCCGAGAACGGAGCTGGCGGCCTGGCAAACTCTGATGCTCGCCGGCTGGCAGGAGGCCGTGATCGCTTTTTGTGGGCATGCCCGTGATCTGCGTCTGTATTCTCACGACGTGCAGGTGTAACCGAAATATTCCCACTCTGCCATGACGAAGTACCACCGCACTCCGATGGCAAGCCGCTGCCTGCTGGCTGAGCACAGGAGTTAGTCCTGGTTCGATAAGGATCTGACAGGTCTTGCTTCAGTTGGATGATCACAGCGTTCAGTAAGGCGTCCATCCGCTCTGCTGGGTGGTAGGCCTCACTCATGTCGTGGATAGCATGCGAAATAGCCTCTAGGTAGCCAAGGTGGTGGCGTCTGTCAGACTCGTTTTGATGGTGCGACAAGGCAGCTATGAGAGCGATTGCTGCAGTGCCGGCATGTTGGATTCCAGTGACAAATACCTTCTTGCCATCAAAGCGTTGCCGATGCTGCCAGAAAATTCGAGCAACTCTCATAGCCTGTTGCGTACAGATGCTGCGAGAGAGAGTTGTACGACTGTCAACTACGATCGATGTTGGGTCTCCAAGACCGAGCGAGTTCTGCGAGAGTACAGGCTCGGGTGACGGATTGGATTTCTCGGGGCTTGGGTGAGAGTTCGTACTCGCCTCATCCGTCAGCGACCGATACTTCGCCCAGGGTCTATGTAGCAGTATCATCGATACGTGATACTGCTGGTGGAGAAGGAAGAAGCTAAACGGTGCCGTTTTGATGTTGGCCGGTTTCCATGTCAGATGATCGGGAAGTCGTCGATACCAATTCTGAAGTTGGCGGTCTAGATTAATGACGTGGAGGTAAGCATTATCTTCCGCCTCGGCGGCTGCGAACAGGTTGGGTTCTCTGTTGCTACCAGGTTTGTTGCTCTCTCGAATCTCCACAATACGCCCAGCCAGTTCCATCAGCTCAACCAGCTGGTCATAGATCTCTTGTGTTCGAGACCTCGGGGGCTCGACTGGTCGGGGTGGCTTAGAACTGCCAGGCACAGTGGTCAGCATTGTGGAGAATTGCCTCGAGAGCAAGTCCATTCCGATATCCTGATTCTTGATACTAGTTGGCCTCCCCAAGAACAGAGCCCAATATTTGTCATATATAACGCATGCTCTCATAGTCATGTGGCGGATCGACACCTCTCGTTCTGGGAGCCCATTATCGCTACAATCAAGATGCAAGCCGATGTCGAATGCAAGGCGGTTTGCCATACCTAACGACGGTGAGTCTATGTTCGGCAACCAGCAGTACAATGACCTACCAGAATACATCCACCCAGTATTATCTCGTCCTACACCACATTCAAGGTCGCCCAAGAGAAGCAATGCCTGCACGCTTGGGATCCCACCGGGCCGTTCCAATTCGATGTCTAGCATATATTTTGCTTCTCTGTGCAGTGTGCTTTCGCGGTTCCCCAGGCCGATCTTGATAATGTCGTCCCTATCCTTATCTGCGAACCGATAACCGGCCGCTAGCATGGTGATGTGCAAGAACGACGAGTAGAATTTGGGGCTCTGGGATTCCCTGTCGCTTTCAAATGCCTGTCGGTCAATGACTACCAAGACTCCATTATAGTGTTCCCAAAACATGTTCATCAAGTAGTCATATGTCGTTGTCGTGAGAGATCTGATGATGCGGTCCGCCCGACGAACTTGCTCTGGAGGCTCTCTAGAATCAAATTTGTCCGAAGATTCTGCATATACATGACTGTTGGCGGTCGGACCGAAGAATCGGAGGCGGCCAGATAGCTGGTCAAAACTTAGGTTTCCTTTCGTGGACAGGAGGCGATGTATCACGTCCTCTTGTTTGGGGTCAAGCGTTCGGAGCGCTAGAGGTTCCTGAGGAGGGAAATGGAAGCTCATTAGGTGGTGTTCCGTCGAAGCTAGTAATATACTGTCTGCTTGGTCTGTGTTGTCGCTGTCGAGAAAGTTGAAGTCCTCGTTCATCGAGTCTGGTGGCGATGGAACTTCTCGGGCGGGAGATGGGATTCTCGCATCCGGCTTCTGGCAGAGCGCATCCTCCTCATCGTCCTTGGCCGATCCGTCCTGCGTGCTAGGCGCCTCTTGTCTGGTCTTCGGCGGGTGTACTGCTGGTGGAGGTGCTATCCCTTTCTGTTTGAGCATGCCCTCGAGCATGTTAATTCTCTCAGATAGCGATGCCATATAGGCTTTCGAGATTGGGCTGGTCGTTGCTTATTAGAACCACAACTAAGAGATGGGGAGGAAAGCGATCACAAGCTTTCCAGACGAAGAAAGCACTGACCGTCTACGTTCATCATCATTCTTGATGACGCAGTCCGTTCCGGTTCTCTTGCACTGGGTACATTCCGTTTCTCCTTTAGGAACTACGCAACGTATTCTACGGTCTCGGCATGAGGCACAGGCTACTGAGGCACGATGTCGAACCTGTTGTTTGCTCGTGTGCTTGGAGGCAGTCGACCGAGCAGATACATTTTCTTGATTCGAGATGTCCTCAGGCGATGCTGGCATCGTTACCGTCTTCTTCCCTTGTGATGCTGCCATGCTGGGAGAAGTAGCGGACCTGGAGACAAGGTCCCCCCCTTGTGTGACCGGTGGAAAGGACAGAACTTAATTGTCGCCCAAGAGCAACAGTAGACAGACACCAGAACTTGACGCAAAGTGCTCAATTACAAGTCAGATATGGTAGGAAACGAGGCCAGAGTGACCAAAGTAATTATGAGCCTGGTTACACCAAGCGATAGGGGAATACCTGGACATGGTGAACGACAGGGTCTCTCCCCACGAAATAGCCACCCCGTCGTTCATCCCCACCATCGATTAAGAGTAGCCTGGTCCACCCCTGCTCGGCACTCTCCTTGCTACGCTCGCGACTTATTGTCCTTGAGCCCATCATTGGTTCAATTAGGTGCACACGAGGAATCCGCCACGCCACATAGTCTTCATGCGTCCTACGTCTAGGGAACTTATGGTGACATATCCCGCAACCCCAAGCCATAAGGCTTGCATGAAGCCTGGGGAAATGGTGGAGGCAAGACGAATAGAGGGTCCTAGGCCCCACAACACCAAGGAGGTTCGGGGCTGGGGCCGGGGGCCGTCGGCAGGTTGGGACATGGCTAGGCCTATACAGTCCTTACCGGTGATACTGACGTGACCCAAGCGTTACACAGCTTACTGTAGCCGGGGACTGGTTGCGGGTTCGGCATTGTTCTCGAAACGGAGTTCTCGTCGTGGGCAGGAAGCCGGTTACTGGATCTTATCATTGTTCGAATGAGCCTAGCCTACGCCACTCGACGGTATCTTGACGGTGTTGATGCCGTTCAAACAGCCGGGTCTCCCAGGCTTCCACTCCCCAGACTGGGCCGTGCTTCCAACGGGGTTCACGTGCTGGCGAGGGACGCCCTCCGTCCAGTGTGATTAGATAGGCCCAAGGGCTTTGTGCATGCCTAGACGCCTTCGGAAGCCTCGTGCGTGTTCCATCGGGGCTATTTGCGCTTTGTCGTCTGTCTCTAACACGGAGCGAGTGAAGGTACGTACCTAGGTCCTGACTGCTCAGGATCACCCGCATAGGAAAACCCGATGGCCCGCGGGTCTTAGGGCTACCCCGCATATATACCACATACCATACTGCATACCTTGACTAGTCTGGACACGAACTCACTCAAACTACTGTAACTCAAGCTCCCTGACCAGCCAACTCGAATCAATCCCCCACGGATCCAGCTATCATTATGACTCGTGTGCAGCAATAGCTCCGCCGAGTGACGACTCTAGCGTCCCGACGGCCGCACCGCGGCGTTAAGCATCTGCAAGGTAAGGATTCTTCTCGAGGTAGGCTGGGCTGGCTGGTAAGGGCTGGGGACCACATCATCAAAGGAGCTTTGGGCGGGAGGGAATTGGCCGTTTCTTTAGGTAGCAAGCACAGTCTCTGGACGACACAGAGCAGAGACAGGCAATCGTGATCAGCGAGTTTCTTTCCAGACTCCATTTGTCCTCCGCGGATGACTGCTCTACTCTTGTTGACATCGCTGCCAGCGTGGTAAGCTGACTCCCCGAAGCCATTGCTGTCACTGGGGAGCCATGTAACATACATAGACCAGTGCGCGCCAGAACACCACACAAACACCTGGGGCTTGTGGGGTTCAAGGATTGTCGTCGCATTGTGACGTTCCGATGGGGTAAAGGCGGCTTTGTCGACAAAGTTCGCGTCCTAAGGTGGAGGCAATCTGGGGGTATCTCAGGACTAGCGCGTCCCTTTTCAGTCGACTTGGGGACATGAAGTCCATCTGCTTGCCAACCTGTCGGGAACTACGAGGATCCCGACCCGGCGTTTTCGCGAATGCAACTCTGGGATGAAGAATGCGGGGTGAGTGTGGGGAGAATGGATAGTAAGACCGAGCTAAGCGCTCAAGGGGGCCGACCGCAGGGCCCCACGAGCCCGTAAGTGAGTCGCTGGCTGGCTGGCAACTAAGCCCCTGGGAAGCAGGCCAGGATCCTGCCTTGTCTCTGCCCCTTCCCAGCTATTCTTGGCGCCGTATCGAACAACAGCTGCGTTGGGTGACCCGCGTTTCCATTAATTTTGGGGGGGGGGGGGGGGGGGGCTCAGAACGAACAGCGTCCACAGTACGAACCAAGATGCCTCAAGCTTGCCAGGGTTCAACAACCACCCTAGCGGCATCCTGCCTCCGATGGTCTGGCAAGCCCACTATGGGGGTATGGTAATGAGGCATGAGGCAGGAGGGTTCATTTTGGAGATTCCGCCCAAGCACGCCGATCACGATACTCGGTCCATCTTGATGTCGGACCGCTGACCTTGTAAGTGGGGAGAGTGCAGTCTCTTGTTGTCAGAGTCATGCCTGCGAGTCCCTGTAATGGCCGTTGGCTCCGACGGTTTTGGACGCATGGCACACCACAGCTGCCATGATCTCGAGACCGGTACGATTGTCAGAAGCGCGGCCCGCACGAGTCTGCTGAGGATGCCGTATAGGCTCATTGACTCTGTGGCCTCTGCCTAAGCTCTGGCTCAATGCCAATATAGCTGGTGCGGTGCCAGTCAAGAACAATGTGCCGGCCGATAATCTTCCAAGGAAGAGTATATGCATATAGCTGTGGATTGAAGTTCTATCCGCCTTGTTACTCAGGGCAACGTTTAGCGCTTGTCTATAGAGCATATTCACGCTTCGAGACCATTGCCTCGACGTAGCCTCGCGCCTACTCGACGTTCCACTCGTGGTCGGAGCCTCGCACATAGGTACTTAAGCCCTCTACATCTTTTGTTACATTGGCCTTGACTTCCCCGTTCCCCAAAAACGCGAACCGGTTGCTGTAACGGTACCGTATATCGTAGTCCTCAAACCGAGGCTCCTTGATGGTTTTCAGGAAGTGGATTGTCTGGAATAAAGGTTAACACTAGAAAAGACAACGGAATGTGGGCTGACTTACACAGCCAGGCCACAGGTATATTCTGTTCTTGATCTTTCCATCTTTGAACCAGCTACGACACTCCTCCTGGAATACCGTGGTCTTGTGAAACTCGTCGAAATGGGCATATATGTCGTCTAGTGCATCTTGCTTGACATCCAGCGACCGGATATTTTCGTGCTGAATCTTCTTCATGGTCTTGATTGCGTACTCAATCGTCGTCTCGATCGATGGCAGCAGTGTTCCCGACGACCAAGTGGCGCCAGGTCCTACGATGGTATAGTAGTTGGGAAACCGCGGAGCGGATACCCCCAAGTACAGGTTGACGCTGTCGCCCCAGTCCTCATCCAAAGTGTGGCCAGCCGCATTGATAAGCTTGAAAGCCGGACGGAACGCAACATTGAAACCAGTCTGTCGTGCGCAAGGACAAGTTAGTTGGTTTTCTGTTTCGCCTCTGACTTGGTATGACTGTAAAGCATGCAGGTGTCCAGAAACACAGCTGGGTTATATGGACGTAGACGTAGTGTGCAGGAGAAGTAACGCGATCCCTTGGACGACTCACCGCGCAGACTAGGATGTCCATTTTGTGCAACTCGCCGCCTTCAGTGACGACCCCCTCGGGGACTATTTCTTTAATGTTGCCGAACACCGGTTCTACATTCGACTGCACCAGGGCTTCGAGATAGCCATCGCCTGGAGAAATACGGCGGCAGCCGGGTGCCCACTTGGGTATGATGAATTCTTTCAGCTTCTCATGGCCAGGTCCCATCCTTCGTTCCATTTCCGCCTTGATTTCCTGGAGTTGCACGAGTTAGTACTTGCGATATTCCGTTGGTCGGGTTGGGTTGTCTTGCCCTGCGAAATGCATTTGACATTTCTGAACCCTGCTGGTACATGCCAAATAAGGAGTTGATCTCGGCTTCTATGCGCTTACGAAACTTGAGATAATACTCAGGATCGCTTTTGAACTTGTCCTTGTCTGCGTCCGTGAACTTGTATTGTCTGTTGCCCGGCTGCGCATTACCCTCTTGGCCCTTTCGTAAGTCCTGCTCCAACACACCGCCGCCGAACGGCGGCGAGATCCAAGTTGGCGACCGCATGAAGACCTTAACTTCTTGGGCCTCCTTTTGGAGCGCTGGCACAATCTGAACACTCGTACTGCCAGTACCAATAACACCAACTGTCTTTCCCGCAAAGTCAACGGAGTGATCCCAGGCAGCGGAATGCATCTTTGGACCTGCAAAATCATGCAATCCTGCAATCTCGGGCCACTTCCAATTATTGAGGATCCCCGTTCCATTGATGAGGCAGTGGCACCAATCATGCCACGTTGCTTTGGTCACTTGGTCCTCCAAGGTCAGGCACCAAACCCCTTTCTGCTCGTCCCACCGACCCTCGACAACCCTTGTATTGAGCTTCATATACTTCTTGGATCCGTGTCGCTCTGCGAAATCCTCGAAATATCTCTGAATCTCGTCCCCGTAAGCAAAATAGTGGGTCCAGTCTGGTTTGGGGTCCCATGAGAAGGTATACAAGGGTGATGGGATCTGCTTCAGTTATTATGGTGCTGCGCGTGTAGGTGCAGGAGTCTTACATCGCATGCCACGCCTGGGTACGTGTTTTCATACCAAGTTCCTCCAAAGTGCGCATTCTTCTCGAACAGTGTAAGCTCCCATGAACCTTGAACCATCGTCCTCTCCATCTTGTAGGCCAAGCAGAGGCCAGAAGCACCAGCGCCAATACACGCAACCCGCAGTTTTGTAGGTTTCGAGTGATACTGTTTAAGGACAGTGTACCGGGTGGCTTCTTGTATAATTGGTGGGTAATGGAACTCTGAAGCCTCAGCAACTATACCATTGCTGTTGACCTGTTTCACAGCCGCATTTGTCGGGGCAATATCGTTGGGAACTGGCTTTCCCTCGCCATTGACCACTACCTCGGGTTCCAAGGCCGCTTGTGGCGCCATATTAGAGGTTTCTTCCAAGTTTAACTCGACGAAAAGTAGTAAACAGAGGAAATACGAGCGTCAGCCGCGTTGGTCTAATCTGTCGAAGATTGAGGCAAAGATAGTACGCCCCAATATGAAACAAATAATGTATTAGAGAGGACCTTTTGGACGAGGTGATGTACAACCCAAAATCTCCAACACGTATTGAAGAAGCAGTGGCCGTGACGAGTATTTAGCTGGCTTCGCAGAGCATATACGTTTCCGGCACGAGGGTCGGCTTAAACCTTCTACAGTTACACCCTTAAAAGTTTCATCATATGTAGAGATGTGATTGGTACAACATTGCACGAACTTTCATCTCCGCGTTCTGTGTTACATGGGTAGATCTTCAGTGACCCTATAAGGTAGAGTATTCCCGGACCCTAGGTAAGATTGACGTTGAGGACCCATGCATCTGCACCACATCCCCTTTGGGGGAAGTCCATTTCCGAGTCTAGCAGGTGGGAGAAGCTGTCATATTTTCTAAATTTTAGGAGCACCGAGGCAGCATACTCTTTGTCAAGGTAGATACCAGCGCTTGCGTGCATGCAAAGCTGAGAAACATCCAACGCTACCTGGGAGATTAATTGCCCCATGTTTCAACGCAGTAAGCAGACCAAATATAACGTGTTATCACGTCACATTTTTGGGGAGGCTTCCGTCCTTCGTTCGCAGACTTAATTCTGGAGCTCTAGGGTATTGTTGAGCTGGGTAAGATTTTCCATAGCTAATGTGTTCAGTTCGAGACATTTGAAAGCGTTAGGCGGACTGGGATTCCCCACAGCAATTCGAGACGCGACGCCTACGATCTCCAAGCTCCCCTCACACCTCGCTTATTGGGGTACAGTAACCGGGCGGCGACGATCGGTGCGACCTCAGTCACTGTGGGCATAGTCCTTCTGTTGTAGCGAAAACTCTCACCAAGGTGTCTTGCCGCGTTCTCATAGCAAGCTCGATACTTGTTGGGACAAATGACCCGGTCTCAGGAGATGCCTGAAGAGGATGCCCCAGCTCTGCACCCGGCGAGGAAATCAAACGAGGTACAAGTCTGGGGCGGGGCTAACCAAGCGTTCGCCTCATGTATAAACTGCGCACTGGTAACGGATCTATATAGCCAACATAGGTCCACGCCATATTAGGCGACGGTCTTTTTCTCATGCCTGTGCTCTAACCCCGCGCTGCGCGTAGAAAAATACCTTATCAATCCGAGTCCAAGTCTGCGAAGGTCTCACACTTCTAAATCTTTAACTGATTATTCTCTATGGCCGCAAGAAAATCGTTCTGCACAAGCCGCTATATCTGAAACGTACTGGTGCTCCAGGAACAAAACCTTATCATGGCTAATCATGCTCTGGTCTTTGGTAAGTCAAGTAGCCCAGGGCATAGGAAATTTCATGCTCTGACACCTACTAGGCGCGAGCGGAATCACTGGATGGGCTATCACGAACGCAATCCTTAACGGCTACCCAACAGAAGACACGTTTTCTTCCGTGACTGCTCTTACCAACCGACCTCTGAGTCTCGATGATGCGATGTGGCCTAGAAGTTCCAAACTGGAAGTTGTCAGTGGAATCGATCTCCTGACAGCTAAAGGACAAGATGGATTGGAAGCAGAATTGAAGCAAAGAGTACAACATGCTGGTGAAATAACCCACGTGTACTTTTTCTCGTACATCATGGACGAGAACCCCGAAAAAGAGACCTCTATCAATGTCGACCTCATACGGAGGGCGGTGACAGCCATTGAGAATATTTCATCTGCGCTCAAGTTTGTCGTCCTACCGACTGGTACTAAAGCGTATGGTGTACATCTCCTTGATGAATTCCCGTTCCCAAACGACCTTCCGCTCAAGGAGAGCCTGCCAAGAATTCCAGAGCCCCACGCCTCCCAGATGTTCTACTATAACCAAACAGATATGCTTTCCAGCATGTCGAAAGGGAAGCCGTGGACCTGGTGCGAGGTGATCCCAGACATCATAGTCGGCTTTGTGCCCAACAACAACATCTACAGTATGGCGCAAGCATTATCAACTTACCTAGCTCTCTGCGTCGAACTAAACGGAAAGGGCAGCGAAGTGGCCTTTCCAGGCACCGAAAAGTCATACAAAAATCTCAGCAACGACAGCACCCAGGACATCGTCGCCAAAACCTCAATCTATGCTTCTCTGCATCCAGAGCTTACATCCGAACAGAAGTACAACACTGCGGCTAATGCCAACCCTTCGTCATGGAGTGTGAAGTGGCCAGTGATCTGTGAGTACTTTGGCCTGAAGGGCGTCGGGCCGCCCGCCGGTGGCTCCGGGCCACAGCCGGTCCAGTATCTCGCGGATCATTTCTCGGAATGGCAAGCGCTGGAAAAGAAGCATGCACTGAAAACGGGGCGCGTGGGAAACGACCGCAGCCTAAAAGGGTATCCATATTTCATCATGACGATGCTTAACTTTGACCGACAGCTCGATATGTCAAAATGTCATGAGATGATGGGCAATGCCCGAATAGAGACAGACACCAAGGGAGTATGGTGGACTGCATTTGATCGACTCCGCCGAGCGAAGATTATACCATAGGCCAGGCGCGATGTTATTCTCAGTCTTTAGATCCATCAGAGAGAGGCCACAGGGTGTTTTTTAGAAGTTGATATTCGGTATGCCTTACGAGTATGTCTGATCCGCGATAATGTTAGTGCACGGGCCATATGGAGCTGCATACTACCTAGGTACCCAGTCATCAATTGCACATCGTGAATGTTGAAAGCAAAAGCTGAAATAAAGACAGTACCAATTAACAGGTGACTTGCTTGCACCGTACATGTGCCCCTACGAGTATCATCCTAATTGATCAGCAATACTATTGCAAGAAGTTCACGTAAGGCGAATTGATGATTTCCTGTAGAGAAACCTGTGTTGGAGACACCAATGAAGCCCTGGTATGGCCTCGTAGATGTTATGTCCCCACTGGACACTGTGGCTACGCGGCTCTCTACCGTGAGGTACCTAGGTAGGCCCGGTCGGGTTTGGGCATCCCCACCAGAGTTGGTGTGTGCTGGAACAGCCTCTAACCGCGGCAAGAATCCGACATTGCGGGGGGTCATCTCCAAACTAGTTCAACCTCGTCTAATTGTTTGAAACACTAATCGAAATTGCAATGAGGCAAATCATCTATACAATCTTAGTAAAGTCGAGCCCCGTAGCCTGCCCGGACTGTAGTTTTCTCCATTGAACCATTTCCAGAGTGCCAGGACCATCCTCTGATTCACCATGTATCCCACTGTCAACCCAGTGCCCAAAGGCCCTGCCTTCGATAGACTTCCACCGTGGGTGCAACAGAAGCTCTCCCCGTTAGCGATCGCGAAAATACAGGCCGTGTACGACTGGGTTGAGAACGAATGCATCCCTCGTGAGCCTATCGTGAAAGCCCAACTTGAAGGCAGGCGGTGGACCACGCCAGCCGTCATTCACGAGCTCAGGGAGAAGGCCAAGGGAAAAGGATTATTCAATCTTTTCCTGCCCAACCACTTCGAAGAAAGTCCGGGTCTCACAAACCTTGAGTACTCCTGCTGCGCAGAAATCATGGGAAGGTGCTACTGGGCCGCCCAGGTAAGAGAGGCCAACCGCAAATGGGATCATTGTCCGCCTGCTGACCACGGCCAAGACCATGAATTGCCACGCACCCGAGACTGGGAATATTGAGCTATTAGCGAAATACTGCAACGAGGAACAAAAGGCAAAATGGTTGAAGCCCCTCATGGATGGGACTGCGTCGTCTGCGTATTCAATGACTGAGCCCGATGTTGCTAGTTCGGATGCCACGTGAGTACTGACAGCAAGTTCTACTAGTACGGCAATTGTCCGCGCTACAACTCCCTTCTTCTGGCTACTAGGTCATTTTGGAGATCACCCGATGGCCAGCTAATTCTTCTGCGCCTCTAAGACAGGTCGGTATACGGATCACACGTGACGGAACTGATTATGTCATCAACGGGCGGAAGCTCTATGGCAACTGTCTCTGGAATAAAGACCTATCCTTCTACATCCTCATGGGTTGCAGCGATCCTGGGAACCCTGACAGATGGAGACGCCACTCAATGCTTATCGTTCCTTGCAATACCCCGGGGATTACTCAGCTGCGAAATCTGAGCATTATGGGTTATGATCATGCTCCGGATGGACATGGAGAATACCTATACAAGGATGTCAGAGTACCCCGAGAAAACATCATTCTAGGCGAAGGGAGAGCTTTCGAGATCGCTCAGGGAAGGCTTGGTCCTGGTCGCATCCACCACTGTATGAGACTGATTGGGCAGACCGAGCGGGCCTACGAATTAGCACTGATTCGATGTAACGACCCTCGAAAGAAGCCCCGAGGTAGGTTCATCGGCGATTTTGACTCGAACATTGAGCGCATTGCTCAGATGCGACTTGAGCTGGATGCCGCTCGGCTTGTAGTTCTCAATGCCGCTGACACTATGGATACACACGGCAACAAGGCTGGGAAACGTGGCATCGCTCAGAGCAAAATCCTCATTCCCGAGATGGCTGCAAAATGGATCGACGAATGTATGCAAATCTATGGCGGGCAAGGCTTGACTCAGCATACTCCCTTGCCCGAGATGGTAATCCTATCCCTTTCAAGCGAGCACAATTTTGGCGGGGTGGAAATTCGCTAACAGTGTTGCTGCAGTGGACCTATGCTAGGTTCGTCCGAGTTGCCGATGGGCCTGACGCCGCACACAGACATCAAGTCGGTAGAGAAGAAATGAAAACCGCCGAACAATATATCTCTAGACACAGATCATATCAGGAACGCTACAGGAAGCTTGCTGAACTATACGGGGAGAAATATGAAACTTTTGACTAAAAGGGAATGGCGTTTTGGTTCGGCTTAGTTCACTGGGGACAAATTTCCATTTATTCTAGATGTTGGCCCAAAGACATGGCCAATAACATCGCTATATCCTGACACAATTACTACTCTTTGATACTTCCTAGGTTGCCACCGTAGCACAGTGGTGGTATCTCCTCCCGCAAAGCCTCTAAGGTTGGTTTGATAATGGGGTAGTTAATCTTTTTGAAGGTATATATTTCCAGACGTGGTTAGTCCCCCCTCCCCCTCCTCGAGACAAGAGCTCGCTACACTGGACTCAGAGCCTTGATAACATTGAAAACTCTACTTCGGGAAAACCCAGCCTAGACTATTCGGTCGAATGTGCCGCCATAGGATGTGCCCCGAGTCAGTTGCACGACGCTGGTTGCCATTCCTGACTCGGACGGAAATAGTTAACCCTGGCACTATACCCCCACTTGCTCCATAGCGGGAACCCTGCATAGAACCCGCTTCGTACAAATTATGCGGGGGAGCTTCCACGGCAAGAGTCTGCGACCGCGTCTCTTTACCCCGTCCTCTTGTGAGGTACTTGGTCTAAGTACATCGATGGGCTCGAGGAGATGAGGAGATCCGGGTGCCAAGATGCACACATGTTGCGGCATTTCGTCATTGGACATGGAAATGGACCACATGCATTACTGTCAGTCATGCTGTAGGGTGGAGTCCTATACATTCCGAGGTAGACGACTAGATTTAAATGCATGAAATGTGGAACCTGTTCATAATATAACCTGTGTTGTCCACCACAGGCAAAATTTCGCATTCTGAATGTCTCGTTAGTTTCCGACATTGTAGAACGAACCAACCAATCATGAGTCACCTAGGAGCTTCGTTGAAGGAAGTAGTCGGTGGAGCAGCATCTAAATTTCCCTGGAACCGCTCAAACCTTCCCAAGCAACTGTTCATCAATAACGAGGTAAATTTTAGCATCTATCAAGATAATTGCCAACAAGACTGATTTTCCTTTAGTACGTCGACTCTCAGAATTCAAAGAAGCTCAAGCTCTACAACCCAAAAGATGGCTCAGAAGTTGCAAATGATGTTTCGTTGGCAGGCGAGCACGATATTGATACTGCTGTTGCCGCGGCACAGGCGGCATTCCCAGTCTGGAGAAAAACTCCACCAACAGTGAAGAGAGATTGCATGCTGAAACTAGCTGACTTGATTGAGCAAAATGGCAAGACGTTTGCTGAGCTAACTCGCCTTACATTGGGTGCCCCTTTCGGGTCGTTTGGTTCCTTCGAGGTGAACCTTGCTTCGGAAGCGCTGCGCTATTTTGCAGGGTGGATAGACAAGTTTGCTGGTGAAAGCTATCCGGCGGACGACGGCTTCATGAAGATTGTTCGCAACGAGCCATTGGGTGTCACTGCCGGTATCATCCCCTGGAATGGGCCGCTTGGAAACGTTGGCATGAAGGCCGGCCCAGCACTTGCCACTGGAAACTGCTTCATCCTGAAGCCTTCTGAGAAGACACCGTTCGGGGCTCTTGCTCTCGGTACATTGATAAAAGAAGCTGGATTCCCCCCAGGTGTTTTTCAGGTTTTGTCAGGCGATGGGACAACAGGCGCCTTGATTGCTAGCCACATGAAGATTCGAAAGGTCTCTTTCACTGGATCCACGGCAACGGGTCGCAAGATCCAAGAAATGGCCGCTAAAAGTAACCTCAAGCGTGTCACGCTTGAGCTCGGCGGCAAGAGCCCCGCCGTGGTTTTCGACGATGCCAATCTCGAAAATGCTATAACTTGGTGTGTAAATGCTATTTGCGGCAACTCCGGGCAAGTATGCTTTGCAGCTAGCCGGGTGTATGTACAGGAGGGTATCTACAATAAGTTTGCGGATGGGTACAAGGAGGCCATGGAGGAGAGGGCTAAAGCGATTGGTGATCCCGACGACGATTCCACCATTATGGGACCATTGGTCGACAAAGTCCAATTCGAAAAGGTTACAGGGTTCATGGAACGTGGAAAATCTCAAGGTGCGCTGCTGACAGGGGGAGGCAGAGTTGGAGATAAGGTATGTGCACACTTGATTGCAGACAAAATAAGCAGGAATAACTAACACTGACCTAGGGCTTTTTCGTCGAGCCGACAGTTTTTACAAATGTTCCAGCAGACGCTGAAATTTCGCGCAATGAGATCTTTGGCCCCGTCTCTGTGTTGAATAGTTTCAAAACAGAGGAGGAGATCATTGCAAAAGCCAATGATACTAATTTCGGCCTCATGGCGGGGGTTTTCACACAAGATATCAACAAGGCGATGCGTGTTGCCACTGAGATTGATAGTGGTATGGTTGGAATCAACTGTGTGTCGCTGTGTTTCCTGACAGCACCGTTTGGGGGAAGCAAGGAGAGCGGAAGCGGACGCGAGAATGCTATCAACGCGCTCCGCATGTTCACCGAACCGAAGACTGTCATGATCAATCTAACATATTAGTGTACATAGATCGTATATTGCAGGGTTATTTTGCTACTTTGTCATCCGAAAGGTAATGGTGCTAGTCAAGTTCGATCTGATTTCAGTCATAAAGAGGCCGCGCGTAGTCTGAGTAAACTGCAGATATGAATGCATAAGCAGCCTCTGGGCAAGAAACAAATGAGGAAAGGAGGAAAGAAAGATCCACTGGTGAGCAAGCGAACTCGTCGCCTCCTACCACACACAGTGCGAAGGAAATAGAATTCAGCTGTCCCGTGTCTTTTGGGCCCATACTAGACCCCGCGATGACCAATTACACTGTTGAAGCTTGTCAATTTCGATCTATCTCTTCATAACCTTGACAGCCGGCCAGCCGATAATCTAGCGCCACCATCAACGGCAACATTAACACCATTCCTAATGCTTCATCAGACTGCGCCTTCAGAAACTGTCAATGGATGCACTCACACATATTTACCTGCTGCAGAGCACAAAAAGGTGGCAACACCAGCAATGTCTTCAGGCTCTCCTAGACGCCCAAGAGGGTTATCTCTGCTCAGACTCTCCTCACCGCCAAGATTACTGATGAGACCTTGGGCGAGTTTACTCGGGAAGAAGCCCGGTGCAATGATATTGGATGTGATGTTTCTCGTGCCGAGTTCGACAGCCAAATTCCGCCCGAGGTGCTATTAAGAGATGTCAGCGCCTGCCTGCTGTGGGGGACAGATGCTACAGAATAGAACATACGTCGGCAGCTGCCTTCGACGTCGAGTACATGATAGTTCCATGCTCACCAATGTGTGGAACATTGGTCCCTGCAGTTGAGCTGATTATGAGCAGCCTCGATGGGTCGGATCTCGATGCAACCTGCGTCATAAGGGGTAAGAAGCTGCATCAGACGTCAGCAGTGATCCAGGCAACTGTCAATATGTTTCCGCACTTTTGTGTCAACTCGAATATACCCCGGACGTTGAGATCCAATATCTTGATTGAACTACTTGGTGGTGCATCTTCAAACTTGGAACCCCAAGCTGCCCCGGCATTGCAGACTAGAATGTTCAAGCCCCTGTCACCGACCAGCTTCTTGACTTCTCCTGTAAGTCTGACAATGTCCTTTGAGTCGGCAACGTTGGCTGCCAGGCCAATCGCCTTGCCCCGTATACTGGGCAGTGCATTAAGTTTCTCGACTGCTTGGCGGATGCCTTGCGCCCCTTCCAGCTTTCGCGCGGTGACGATCACCAGAGAGCAGCCCGATAGGAGGAAAGCAGTTGCGATGTGAAGCCCGAGGCCTCTTGATCCGCCAGTAACGACAGCAGTCTTACCTTCGAGCGAAAAGATGGATTCAAATTCACGGAGCTGCGACATGACTGACGACTGGCCGAAAGCTGAGAACAGTGTAACAGTTCCGGAGGACGTTGAAGGACGACCATTGATTGAACCCCAGAGACTGCTTGCCTATGTACTTGCATTGCGGTGTCGTTCCCAATGGCTTGGTCCGCTTGCTGGAAGCATTCAGCCACTAAGATTGCTTACCGTGGGTATTTCGGCAACCAAGAAACGCTGTCGCGGGGGTAGTCCCACCATGAAGTTGGGGAAATAATAGCGGTCCTACTTACCCCGCGCCTCACCCCGAGGCCAACGACCAAGTAGCCGGCTAATAGCTGCAAGCTGAACGGTCGGAGAGGATTACTATCAAACCTTATTTCGCGGTGGCTCAAGATATTTATACCGCTGGGGACATTTGTTTCATGTCTGATCCGATCTCTTGGATCATGCGGCTGTTCATTTCTTTACCCTGCGAGTGCAATCATGGTGTTCTCATCACCCTACCCATCTCTTGATATTCCTCAGAGCAATGTTCTTTCTTATCTGTTCCCCCGAGGCGAGGCTGTCTACGACGAGCCCTTGTGGATCGACAGCAGGAACCCTCAGCACAACCTGTCTCCAAAGGACTTACTACGATGGGTGAAAAGATTGTCACTGGGGCTGGATAGACTTGAATTGGAAAGGGGTGATGTCGTTATGATATACACCCCAAACCACATATTCGTGCCAGTGGCGTATCTTGGTATAGTTGGGGCCGGTTACGTCTTCAGTGGGGCCAATCCGGCCTATACCGTCTCTGGTGAGTTGGGGTCCACACGGGACAAGACTGCATGTCTTTCTAACTTGGATCTACCTTAGAACTTGTGCACCAGATCCAAAACACGGCCACGAAGGCGCTCCTGGTGCACCCGAACCACGTCAAAACGGCGGTAGCAGCGGCAGCCAAGGCCGACTTCCCACGAGACCGTATCTTTCAATTTTCGGATATTCCAAACGAAGTTTTAGGCGACATTCCAGACTGGCGTACCTTTATTGGCACAGAGGCCGAGGGCGAGTCTTACCAATGGCCGGAATTAAGGCCAGAGGAGTCAAAGTCCACAGTTGCCACAATAAATTACAGCTCAGGAACCACGGGCCTGCCGAAGGGAGTCTGTGTCTCTCATGCGAACCTGATTGCCAATGTTGAGCAGACTGTCTACATGAGGTACGCGCACAAGCCCTATCCTTTTGGGTCTAGGCCTCAAGAGAGATGGATCGGATTTTTACCACTGTACCATGCGTACGGCCAACTGTACACCATGCTCATGTCGGTCAAGCTTCGAGTTCCTATTTATATCATGACAGAGTTCAGGTATGAGGAGTTTCTGTTCAACATAGGCCGGTACCGCATCACTAGTTTGCAGGTGGCACCGCCTATATTGGTAATGCTGTCAAAGCGACCTGAGACTGCACGGTATGATCTTTCAAGTCTAAAAGACTGCATATGCGGTGCAGCACCATTGTCCAAGGAACTGCAGAATGAGTGCCAGCGGCGCTTCAAGATTCAGATCAACCAAGGCTGGGGCATGACCGAAGTAACTTGCGGTGCGCTACATGTACCTGGCGGGATTATGGACGATAATGGAAGCGTTGGTCGCCTTGATCCAAACTGCGAGGCCAGGCTGGTGGACGATAATGGGAAGGATGTTGATTCAGGACAGCCGGGCGAGTTGCTCGTCAGGGGGCCGAATATTATGATGCGCTATTGGAGAAATGAAGCTGCGACGAAGGAATCTCTCGATGAAGACGGATGGCTGAAGACAGGCGACGTCGCTGTCTGTAACGATGAAGGATTTTTCTGGATTGTAGACAGGAAAAAGGTAAGGGTCTAGTGGGGGCGATCGTGGCGATCTTCAGTGATGCTAACACAATTTGACAGGAGCTTATTAAAGTGAACGCATTGCAAGTTGCACCCGCAGAACTCGAAGGCATTCTCCTCGAGAATGAGCACATCGCCGATGCCGCAGCAGTTGGAATCACCCTGTAGGTATCTTGCCCCCCTCACGGGCGTGGACGTAACTCACGTGAATCCAGAAACGGAGAAGAGTTTCCTCGGGCTTACGTCGTGATCCATGAGGCATCGAAAGGTAGAGTCACCCCCAAAGATGTGCAGGAGTGGATCAAGCTCCGGGTAGCAAAGCACAAATTCCTTACCGGAGGGGTTGTCTTCGTGGACGAGGTACCGAAACTAGCTAGTGGAAAGATTCAGAGGAAGACGATGCGTGACTGGGCAAAGAGGGATGCGACAGAGGCGCAGAAAACATTCAGGCCTAGTTTATAACATTATTATAACCTATGGAGTGGATCACCCTCTACATCGGGCCCTTCTGGGTCTCCGAGCACGATCTTCTGAATATTCAGACAAGACGCGGCCCAACAGTCTTGCCTCTTGGATGCAATTCAGGGCAGCTGGAGAGGCAGGGTGAGATTGAAGTTTCTGTCGGCTAGATCGGTGTTTACTGGTTCATTAGAATAATACCCGTTGTGTACGTGCTGATCTCAATCATTACCCCATAAACCGGGCATGAAATGAGCTCTACTTGCTGTGTTCTCAGGAGTAGCCACGGTAGGAGGTTCGAAATTAAACGCAATTCTGTTGCACTATGCCAAATCCCTGATGTCATGTGGGTTTTACCCCAAAGCATAGAGCCACTCACTTAGTCTTCAGTCGGTATTTTGTGGGGCATTTTGTCGGGCATGGATAGCTAGGTACCCGGGTAATATCTGAGTGAAATGTACATAGTCCATGGTGTCTGAGCGGCCGAGCAATGCTTTCGCATGGGCTGACTGCTACATACCCATCCGAGGTAAAGATGGGGGATTACCTGTACTGCTGGAGAGAGGTGGCCACGTTGTGGGGGAGCGTAGACATCCCATTCGGGTTCGTGTGGAGCGTCTTCATTGGCCCGGGAAACGTCACCCAGCAGGGTGAACCGTCCTCGTAAGCTGAACGGCCCCTGCAAAGTTCGCAGGTACTACATGTAGCGATTGAAGACAAGTATGTTCATCCTGCAACACCACCAGCAGATCTCGGGCTTTAGCCGGAGTTCGTTCTCCCCACGACCCTCGGCGCCACCACTTCCAGCTCTGGCTAGCTTAGACTGCAGTGAAATAAGACAGAGTTAACGAAGTTGCGCTAGTCATGCAGATATCTCGCCCCCTTCGACTCTTCTAGTCAGGAGCGATCTTTCCATGGGTTCTGCATGATTCGTAACCTTGACGCTAGGATATGTATAGTAAGCGACGCCCCCTCTGTTGCAACACGTTGCTAGCAAGGGTTGGGCCACTAAATGTAGCGTTTTCATCCCACGTTTGTGTTGATTCCCGTCTCTGGAATTGTGTTCCCTTGCTCGTGACTAGTTCCGGCTATGGGTCGTGGGCACGTGCCTAAAGATATACACCGAGTTCTGGAAGGGGCCACAAACGGGACGTTGCTTATATACTGCAGTGGACGTCCCTCTCTGGACGTCTAACAGACATTATCTGTAGCGTACCCTTTCGTTCTCCGAGTTTCTTCCCAGCACGTGGAATTTACTATATGGTCGCGCTGATCTATTCGAGTAACGCGATAAAACTCACGCATCCTCATTCGCCATTATGGCAGATCTACTTTTGCCCCAGGCCAACGGACCGCAAGAACGAGATGCTTCTCGAAGGCTGGAAGGCCCAATTCATGCAGAGAGGCACATTAGGATAATATGTGTTGGCGCTGGGGCTTCAGGCCTCCTCATGGCCTACAAGCTGCAAAAGCATTTCAATAACTTCAGCCTGACGATATACGAGAAGAACCCAGCTGTTGCAGGAACTTGGTGGGAGAACAGATACCCTGGGTAAGGCCTGCTCACAACTCACTGTTCTGCTTGAGATTATCTAACCGATCTGCCTGCTTACAACTAGATGCGCTTGCGATGTTCCTTCACACAACTATACTTGGAGCTTTGAGCCTAAGCTGGACTGGTCGTCTGTATACCCACCCGCAAAGGAGATCTACGACTACCACGAGAACTTTGCAAGGAAATATGGACTCTTTCAATATGTCCGGCTGAACCACCAAGTCATTGGTGCATACTGGGACAATCATCGTGGCGGCTATGACGTCAGAATCAAGGATACAACGAAGGGCACCATCATCAGTGATCATTGTGATCTGCTGATCAACGCTGGTGGTATTCTGAACAACTGGAAGTGGCCAGCGATCCCCGGCTTAAAGAAGTTCAGAGGTACACTGCTGCATACAGCCAATTGGGATGACTCGGTAACACTGGACGGCAAGCATGTTGGCCTGATTGGCAATGGGTCCTCTGGCATTCAAGTCCTTCCTGCCATTCGGGAAAAGTGCAGCAAAGTGACGACTTTCATTCGCGAGCCAACATGGGTATCTCCGGTGCAAGGCCTCGAACAGCATGTATATTCTCAGGAAGAAAGACAGAAGTTTGCTAACGAGCCGAATTCTTTATTAAACTACCGCAAGGAGATCGAGACAGGACTCAATGGACAGTTCGGTATCTTCCTGAAGAACAATCAGGTCAATATAGAAACGCACGAGTATATGCTTGGCCAGATGAAGGAGAAGCTCGGCAATGAGTACTTGGAGTCGAAGCTCATCCCGGAATGGAGTGTCGGCTGTCGCCGATTAACGCCGGGAGTCAACTATCTGGAGTCTCTCACGAAAGAGAACGTTGAGGTTGTTTATGGCGAGATCAATGAGATCACTGAACGGGGCTGTCTTTGTGACAATGGCCAGGAATATCCAGTAGATGTCCTTATCTGCGCAACTGGGTTTGACACGTCCTTCAAGCCTCGGTTTCCAGTCGTTTCGGACAAGGGCGAGAACCTTCAAGACAAATGGGCAGCCGACCCCCAGTCTTACCTCGGAGTGGCTGCTGCTGGCTTCCCGAACTACTTCATCTTCCTAGGTCCCAACAGCCCGATCGGCAATGGGCCTGTACTGTCTGCCATTGAAGCACAGGCAGACTGGATGTGCAAGCTCATCGACCGCCTCCAGACAAACAACATCAGGACATTCTCCCCAAAGGAGAAAGCGGTGCAGGATTTCATTGACTACAAAGACTGGTTCATGACCAGAACAGTTTGGGCAGACCCTTGCCGGTCGTGGTACAAGCCTAGAGCTGACGGCCCGGTCGTTGCTTTATGGCCCGGGTCGACCTTGCACTACATTGAGTGCATGAACGACCTTCGCCTAGACGACTTTGACGTGACGTATACGGGAAATAGGTTCGCGTGGCTTGGAAATGGATACTCTCAGACAGAGCTTGATGATACGGCAGACTGGGCCTTCTATATCAGAGACCACGATGATGACGCGCCTCTGTCAACGGCTGGTCGCAGAAAGCTCCTCTCAAAGAGTGGAACTCAAGTTGGGCGGCAGATGGTAAACTTCACTGGAAAGCAGGAAGATCCGGCCACACCAGCACCCAAAGAGTCCAGACTATGATTTTGAACTCCCCGCTGCGGATACACCTCTGGCAGTTGTGAATGTAGATATGGTATATTCCAAACCTGTATTGAATTTGAACAAATTTGAGCGAATACTACTTATTATACTAAATTGAGCGGTAGACGGCTACGCAATCCTATGCGCAGTATTATTGCGCTTACTCGACCTTCAGATGTCTACCCTTGTACTTACCTTTCTCCAAGTCCACAAACCTATGCATGTTATCAGACCGCCAGATGCTGATGAGTATTACAAATACGCCAAGCATGACGCTCAAGGCTGTCAATACTACCACAGAAACAAGCAAGTAGTCCACGGAGCTCATGCCAACCTCCATCCCCACCTCGTGTAGATACATCGCCACGTCGATAAATGTATTCTCGGTCATATGCGAAAGCATATCGTACGGCGATGTCTGAGATATTTTTTGGGGTGGCATGTAATGAACTGGCGAGATGGCTTTCTTGTTACCTCTGATCATCGCATATCCCCAATTCAAGAGCACTACATATAGTTTGAGAAATACAATGCCCATTGTAATAAGAGGAACAAAATTACAATGAGCCCCTGCTCTTCTGAGGCCTGTGGATTTGATCTTGTCTACGAGTCAAAGAAACTATGATCACTCTCCTGTGTTGGTTAGCAGGAACCGGTGAACTCTCGGCTGCACTCCAGTTGTCGAGCTAAAAGCATTCTCCAAAACGATCAGAAAGCCCTCAAAACCGTGTAGTCACTGCATTTTCTAGAAAGCCCATGGTGATACATAGTCTCTGTTCAGGTAGAACCGGGCTGACCTTTTCAATATGCCCAGAAGTGGCGATGAAGCGCCTGACATTGATCGAGTAGTTAGTCCCTATTGAATTTGAGAACATGTACCCGAGTAAATCTACGAGAACAACCAACACAAGGCTGATTGCTAACGCGTGGAACGTCCTAGGAGGTTTGGCTGACAATGCTGCTTCTCAAACAAACAAAGTCTTTCTTTGTCCAGCCGCTGATGCCCTGTTTGCTCCAGGTGTAGAACGGAATCTTCCATTTGCTCATCGGAACAATGATGATGTTATTTACAAACCATCGTCGTGCTGCTTCAGCGGCTTATTAAATGTGTGACTCACGCGACCCCTGAAACAGCTTCAGCCGCTCTCTTGCGTAGAGAAATATTCAACAGTGCCCAACCAAATCACATACCCTATCGTTGTTAATCTACGACACGTGGGAGGAAAACGAAACACAAGTGCCAGCACCAGTTGAAATCAAGAAAAGACGATGCATTTCCTGCCGTTACCGCTAACTCTCTTCATCACTGCCAGCATGGTAGTCGGAGCCCCTATCATAGCCTCACGAAACAGAACTGCACGCGATTGCTTCCAGCCCAGGTCAGGCGTCGCCAATCTTCTTGGATATGGACTTGTATTACGCGATGACCCCAACATGAACAGTACCACTATTCGGATTGATGGAAGCGCCGGCACACACATGGATGCCGTAGCGTGGGGTGCGGTAATTGGTGGTGGTGTTGGTATCATCCTTTTGGTATTTCTCCTGTGCTGGTGCGGAAGGCGACGAAACTGGTAGAAACACAGAAACATGGAGGTTGCGGCTCCGACGGGTTGGCAAATTATACGGGCACATCAAGCGTATTCGATGGAACCGCCATACTTGCATACTGGTAGTACATAACTCTTCAAGTTTAACTATCTCTGACCCGTTACATTGCTGGCCGGCATCCAGATCGTGCTGAGTGGCTTGCAGATTATAGATCAAAATTATATAAATGATTATGCTACCTTAGAACTCGCCTTCATATAGCCCCTTGACCTCCTCGTACGGCTCTTCTCGTTGATAAAAACACTCAACACGTTTGAAGCTGACGTCAAGTGCTATATAGTCAGGGCCATCAACTCTTCCCCAAGGGACCGAGAGTGTTCAAGATTTGTTCGGGTACTGTTAATTTGAACTTAAAATAGTATGCGGACCATTTCGACATGAAATCGATTGTCTGTGTAACAGTACCTCGGTCGATGCAGTCAAGATATGTACTGAAGCAGCAATTGCAGAGCCGCCTACCCGCACAGCAGGCCGCTATAAAGGATGCTTGATTTCGTAGGTTGGCTCAACCTCACGGACTGGGTGTGACACGCATGCCCGCCAGCATAGAGCTGGCCTAGCCGATGGGGTGCCGGTATGGATGGATAAGGTGATTCGAGGAGGATTCTGCCACTCCAGGTCGAAGTGATTTCTTATGGACCTGACCCCTGGTGACGGGGGTTTTGAAGAGGTGAAGTCACAGCTCAGGAGACGCCACAATTCGAGCCTCTTCTGAGGACGTCCTGTTCCATTCTCTCCCAGCCCTCACAGACCAAATCATCCGGGTGCTCCAGATCTATGGAGCTGGGGAACATTGCTGGTGAGACGTGGAGGCAAGTGCTGCTGCCGACCAATGCCGGCCAAGCACGCGCTTGACCAAGCTCCTTCTCGCAGCTCATCGTCAGTTGCGGCCATGTTTCTGCCAGCCAACGTCGGACCCCAAATCGCTTCTGATGTTAGTCGTGTCGGTTGAGCCGGTCTGTCTGGCGGGAAAGTAGGTGGCGTTGAATTCATCATGACCACTGCCGGGCCTTCTTGCAAGGGCCGTATAACCCGCCGGCACGCCCTCGTACACTCGGCCGTTCCTCAGGTGCTCAGATGACGTCCTGGGCAGCTGCCTTTGGCTGCAAAGACTTGGCTTCCTTGCCCATGACGAGACGGTCGAACAGAACGTACGAGGTGACGAGCAAGATGGGCGTGGCGATCATGACACTGACGTATTTCCTCGATGCGGCCTTGTACGCCGGGCTGGAAAGGTCGACTCGCTTCGGCACAGGGGGGCGGAGGCTCTGTGGAAGCTGCCCACCAAGGCCAACGGGAGGCGCGGCAGGCGTGGTGCCCTTGTACGGGAGTGCAGGCGCGGGCGCCCTGGTGAAGGCAGGCTTTGTCACGGGGCGCGCAGCCCTGGCCGCATTCGAGGCTGCCATCGCGGGTCTCGCCCTTTGCCTTTGGCTTGGGGATCTGCTCCGAGGTCGATCGTGGGCCGCCGACTCGCTGGTTTAGGCTTTAGGCTCGGGCTCGGGCTCGGGCTCGGGGAGCGCTGGGGGAGAAGATCGCGGGCGGCCTGCGTTCGGCAGACTACAAGCAATAGTCGAACTTGTGCTTGGGTCAACGTCTCGGGCGGCTCAAAGCGAAGTTGGCAAAACACAATTCTCCACTGCACAGCCACAGGCCCCGCTGCCGCTGTCGATGTTGCCCAAGTTAGCGGTGTTAGTGCAGGACCACCACCTTGGTATTGGGGGGAACTGTTGCTTTGAGCGCACCTTTCCGCTGTAATTCCTCATCTCTATAGGAAGTACATAGAGGAAAGACGAAAAGACAAGTTGTCCGCAGAGTGGAAAAGAACAGTTCAAAACAGGTAGAATCGCCTCAAGTTACCCACCCAGTCAACCACCCCCCCCTGTAATCCGCAAGCAGCGGACGCTCATCACCGCCGGGCACAGCGACAGCGACGGCACCGGGAAGAAGCGCCAGCAACAGATGTAAACGCAAGATCGAAACACGACCGCGGTAGCCTGCCCATATCACTTACCACGGGCCAGAAAGGCGCTTATGTTAGCCCCGCGGATCTGACACCATTATTGGACAAAACACCTGCAGCACTTGGCAGCACACCCATCGGGTTGGTTGGGAGTATGCCATATAAGATACCGGGGAAGGTATAGCTAAAGGTGGAAGGGATGCACCGGGCAAGCCCGGGGCTTTCCGTCTCCTCGGGACTTCCTCCTCTCCCCGTAGGCAGGGCAAGATGAGATATCTCTTGACAATCTCCAAGCTTGGATTTGCAAGACCGTCGGGTGCCGGTACCGGTGCCCTTGGGCACCCCCTACCCCCCCGGAAAGGCAACGGGAAGGTGCTCGAGTCATCAACGTGGCTACTACTGCTGCTGAATTTCTTGCTTTCCCCCAGGATCGTGACTGGAGCCCGTCCTGCGAAGTAGACATGTACCTCAGTGCTATCCAAAGCATCAGATCGGTCGCTGGGAGCCAGGCGCCTGTGCCTCCCATCTTCCCCTCCTCCCTTCTACCCCAGAACCATCTCGTCTCTGCTGCTTGGCCAGCAGGGCCATCTCCTCCTCTCCCAGCATGCGCCCTACCACCAGCATCTTGTCTTCTCGTGCCTTGGTCCAGCGCGCAAATAGTGTCCACCTCCGCCTCCAGGAGTCGCGCTCCTCGTCATGGGACGACTTCCTGCGCCCTCTCTGGGAGACGGCGAGCGTCCACGAGCATAAGGAGATCTAGGGGATCACCCTACAGGATCCATCCACGCACCTGCAGACCAGAGTCATCCTGCTGAAGATCCTCTGGTACAACATGTGCAACATTGACGACACGGCACGGCAGCTCAAGAGGATTCTCGACTGGAGACAACGCCATCAGCCCGGGGAGATGCTCAAGAAGGCGTTGAACCGCGATGCGTATGAGCAGGCCTGCAAGGTGACATGCCACGACCTCGGCAGTGGGCACCTGCAGGTCATCATCTACAACAGGTACTACGACAAGGTCGAGGACGTGCAGGCCACGTTCGGCGACGCGGCAGCGTGAGTTGCGCCACGCCTCCCCGTCCTGCCCGGGTGCCATGTTCTGTCACGTCATGCCGCGCGCCGGATCGCTGATACACTGCTCGACGCAGGTTCTACAGGTTCCGGCTCTACGTCGTAGAGAAGGCGATGCGGCTGCTGATGTCGTCGGTCGAGACGCCCATTGCACCCGACCTTGACTACTACCGGTTCATCACGGTGGATGACTTGCGCAGACGCCCGTTCCCCCAGCCCCGTGTCATCCACGAGGCCAGGGAGCAGGCGAGGGGCTTGGGCTACTACTACCCGAACTGCCTGAGGGCCCGCTACGAAGTCAACGTGCCCACGCTGTACGGCTGGTACGTCTGGTTCTGGGAGTCGGTGAGGAGAAAGCAGGAGGACGCCCTGTTTGAAGGGTGCCGGCCTGGAAGGTACAGGGTCAAGGACGGGAGAGATCTTGCACGGGAGATGTTCAAGCGCGAGGCCGGCTTGGAGGTGGCCCGGCTCCCTCACGAGTACGGGGGCCAAAACGGCACATTGAGCGGGCAGGTGAATGTGTTGTCGTACACTGGGGGGAAGAATGCACACTTTGCCTAGCTACAGGATGATACGCACAGATTATTGCCCCAGCTCCTGTTGGATCACGGAATATCGAAGCACTTGTCTTCTTATCGCCATTTGATCCTTTCAGCCACTTACCTGCTGTAGTTGCCCAGATGCGAAGGTACGCCAAGGCAAGGTAAGGTCGGGAGAAAGGGGTTGTATGTATACTCGAACGTGAAGTTTCCTACTTGCACAATGATTGGCAAGCTTAAGCTTGAACGGGAGCCCAACAGCTCGTACTGCGTCGGACTATGCAGAAAGCTAGGTACCAAGGTGATCACCAGGATCGGTTTGACAGTCTGGTTCTGGTACAGGGGCATGATGTGTAGAGAGAGCCGGACTCCCAATGCGGCGACTGCTATGAAGTGGAAGTAGGTAAACATTAGCTGTAGGTTGGTAAGGTAGTACCCGTGGACCTTCGGGTGGTGGCCAAGGTGCGGGTACCGAGTCGGCCGGTCTTCCAGCTTCTCGATTTTCAGTGTGGGGCACCCGGACACCCGTTGGATTTTCCAAAACCGCGACACGGCCAGCAGACTACCCACCCCGCGCGCGCGACGATACGCTGCCACCGACACCACGCCCAGATCGGAGACGAGGCAGACCAGTCTTGAGGATCCCGTGTGCAGCACAGCGCCGTGACACCTAGGCCCCTTCCACCCCTCTCCCCCCAATTCCCTGCATTAGGTGCGCACCACCTCCATCATGGGCGACACCGAACCCCCCGCAAAGAAGAAGTGTCTGGGCGTCGACTGCGAGAACGAGGCCGGGTCTCTGCAGTGCCCGACATGTCTGAAGCTGGGCATCAAGGGCAGCTTCTTCTGCTCGCAGGACTGCTTCAAGAAGAGCTGGGTAGGTACAGCTGCATAGCACAGCACAGCATAGCCTGCCCGAAGTTCGGGCTCGCAGGAGAGGAGATGCGCCGGCCGGGCGAACGAAAACTGGTCCATCAAGGCCCTCGCTGACCCCGTCGTCCACGCAGGCCGACCACAAGACCATGCACAAGACTGCGCAGGGCAAGTCCCAGAACGGTATTCTCCACAGCTTGATCCCTCCCAAGGTCGTCTCTAAGCCTGATCCAGCGACTGGTTTCTTCAACCCCTTCCCGACCTACGCCTTCACCGGCCCTCTGCGCCCCGTCTACCCGCTGTCGCCCAGGCGCCCTGTGCCCAAGTCCATCCCGCACCCCGACTACGCCGAGACCGGCATCCCCCGGAGCTCGCGCCTGCTGAACCGGAACAAGATCGAGATCCTCGACGCCAAGGCCCAGGAGGGCATGCGCAAGGTCTGCCGCCTGGCTCGCGAAGTGCTCGACATTGTCGCGGCCGAGCTGAAGCCCGGCATCACCACCGACTATCTGGATGAGGTCTGCCACAAGGCATGCGTTGAGCGGAACGTAAGTATCTGCGCCCCAGGGGGAAAGAAGGGGGAGGGGGAGAGAGCGGTCTCACCAGGTTTCTATACATGCATACAATTTTTTTTGGGTTTGTACCAGTACCAGTACCGGCCATGACTGACACCATCTTCACACCTCGCAGTCGTATCCCTCGCCTCTGAACTACAACCACTTCCCCAAGTCGATATGCACATCGCCGAACGAGGTCATCTGCCACGGCATCCCCGACCAGCGCGTGCTGCTGGACGGCGACATTATCAACCTGGACGTCACGCTGTACCACGAGGGCTTCCACGGCGACCTCAACGAGACGTACTACGTGGGCGACCGCGCCAAGGCCGACCCGGACGCGGTGCGGGTCGTCGAGACGGCGCGCGAGTGTCTGGACGAGGCCATCAAGCTGGTCAAGCCGGGGACGCTGATCCGGGATTTTGGCAACGTCATCGAGAAGCACGCCAAGGAGAAGAACTGCAGCGTGATCCGGACGTACTGTGGCCACGGCATCAACAGCATCTTCCACTGCCCGCCAAACGTGCCTCACTATGCCAAGAACAAGGCCGTGGGCGAGTGCAAGCCGGGCATGACCTTCACCATCGAGCCCATGATCGCGCTTGGCAAGTACCGAGATGTCACCTGGCCGGACAACTGGACCAGCACCACGATCGACGGGAAGAAGACGGCGCAGTTTGGTAGGTGACACCCGTGGGTCGAGCTGGGACATGCATGGCTAACCGTGGTACAATAACAGAGCACACGTTGCTGGTGACGGAGACGGGGGTGGAGATCCTGACGGCCAGGCAAGAGAACTCGCCGGGCGGCCCGGTAGCGATGCCGGCGGCGCAGAACGGAACGGCCAGTGGCTAGGAGCGCATCCGTTGGCGCGGGAGGCTGGTAAGACGCGGGCTGGACATGATGCACCACTGGACGAGCGCCCATCACGCGTATTCTGTCACGGGGGGCGACGAGTCGTGCAGGTATTCGTAGTGACAATCACCCTCGGATACCTAGAGCGGATACCTAGAGGGGGGGCCCGGGCTATGGCGTTCAGTATGGGCGGACATCTCGAAATCCCCAGACGCATTGCGAGAGAATGCTTGCAAGTTGGGTTGAGACGGGACTGCTCGCGGGCATCTATAATCTGTATACATACGGCGGTATACTCGGTATCTTTTGTGGAACTCTGGCCGCCAGTGCATCATGTTTTGTTGTTCACTTCCATCGTTAGGCAATTATGCAATCCGTGCATAACGTGATAGGGGACGCATCCCAGCCCCAGCTCTTTTTCTTTCTGGTCAAGCTATGCGCCAAGGGGCCGGGAGTTGTGCAAAAGCTCTTGGTTACACTGTGGGGATTACGGATCACCAACCACCGAATTAAAGGGATACCTAACTAGGTAGCGTCTACAGTAAACGCCTACAGTAAACGCCTACAGTAGCTAACTACCTACGAGTGCGGGTCACCCTCCTACTGTGCCGATACCTAGGTAACTAATCGGCCGGCGAGCTCATCCAGTCATCAATCAGAGACTCGGGAGCGTAATTGTAGCAGAGAGACGGCTTGCAAGCAAGCTATTCCGCCTACCTAATGCTGCTCCTGCTCCTGCTCCTGCTCATCGTGATTCTACGGTACCTGCGCAGCACGCCTCTATCCAAAGACAGCCAAAGCACTTTCAGGCTTGACAGGGTACCTAGGTTAGGTATCGCAATCGTTTGGGGCCGGCGGTTTCCACTCCAAGACGTCACTGCGGTCGCGAGCGCCAGGATCCTGGGCAAGCTTGGGCAGAGAGCGCAGGTACTTCGAGGCCCGCGGGTAGGTACTTGAGCAGGCGGGCAGGCGGGCAGGCGAGCAGCAGACGCTTTAGACGCCAGAAGATCCGTGCAGGCGCTGGGCACGACGGGCACCCCTGTGCTTCGCAGCAGCTACCTAGCTAGCTAACCCGGAAGCTCCAGCTCGCTGGCTGCCACCATTGGCTCCCGCGCTGTCTATCTACTGTTACGTGGGCCAGTCTTGTCAGTCAACACTCTCAGTGGGCAAAAAGAAAAAAAAGAGCTCAAAGCTCGATTGCTCGAAGGGGGCCCCCCCAAGCCAAAGCACAGGCGAGCCCGCTGGTGGCCTGGCCTGGCCTGGCCTCTCTGCCTCGGAGGGGGGGCCTTGCTGCCAGCCCAGCCAACCAGCCCGCCCTGCCTGCCCCTGCCTGCCAGCCTCGAGGGAAAGGAAAGCCACCGAAGTTTTTCGCGTGCGCCCGAGCCCGAGCCGCTTTCATCATTGGAGTTGGCGCCTTTTTCCCACCACCGGACCAGCACCACTACTACCACCACCATTACCACCACCACTACCACGACCCGTTGCCGGATCTTGCCTTTTCGCCCACAACCTTGAAATATCAGGCCCAGCCAGGACAGATCATCATTCCAAACAGCCACCTCCGTCGACGCCGACCCGACACATCGCCTCTGATCCGGTCTCTCCATCTTCTCACAACTCCAATTTGTGACCGGCCCGCGCGCCTCCCCAGCTCCGTCCTAACCTCCTCCCCCCCTCATCGTCCGAAAGCTAGCTCCAAGCTCTTTACCCCCCCAAATACCACCGTTCATCATGTCGGGCGAGGCGTGGTTATACCTCTTTGCGGTGTTGATAAACGCCGTCAACCTGTTCCTGCAGGTCTTCTTCACCATCATGTACAGCGACCTGGAATGGTAAGTCAACAACCCCCTGCCTCCTTTTTCTTTCCCGCCCACCCGTGAATGAAGGCGTTCGCGACTGACCTGTGCGCCTCCTCTCTCCTCGCAGCGACTACATCAACCCCATCGATCTGTGCAACCGTCTGAACACGTACATCATCCCCGAGGCCGCCGTGCACGGCTTCCTGACCTTCCTGTTCCTCATCAACGGATACTGGCTGGCCCTCATCCTCAACCTACCCCTGCTCGCCTGGAACGTCAAGAAGATCGTCGAGAACACCCACCTGCTGGATGCCACCGAGATCTTCCGCAAGCTTAATGTCCACAAGAAGGAGTCCTTCTTCAAGTTGGGCTTCCACCTCGTCATGTTCTTCTTCTATCTGTACAGCATGATCGTCGCCCTGATCAGGGACGAGACGCACTAGGCTGGACGGCCTGCTTCTCCGCCTGCACATCGATTTGGCCCTTTCCAGACCCATGCCTCGCTGCTGCGGTGGCGGCTGCTCCCTGCTGCCTCCCCCAGTTACGTGGGCAAGGGCGTTGTCCATGGTCGGGCAGAAAGAGATCTCAATCCTCTTCAATGGAAGGAGGGTTGGCGGGCATCGGCTTGAGGCCAAGGGAATGAAACGGGTCAATGTAGCTTGGGATCGACATGGCAACGACACCGCCCTCGGAAGAGGATTGCATATGTACCCTTATATTCCTACACTCGACGATACAGTAACGAATACGACTTGGACAGGTCATGGACGATTAGACGATTTGGGCAGGTGCGGCGGAAGATCAAGACAAGCGGTTCTTGCGTGTGGCATTCTCTTGTCGACCTGGGACCAACAAGGCAGATCCTCGAACTGCCGGCGTTGTGTGGTTTTTGTAGTACGACGATTTTCAGACGTATAGTAATGACAACTAAATAATACCCTGTAGCGTTCATCACCCACTGGCTACGGCGCCTGTCCGTGTCTCCCTCTCTCTCTGTCTCGCACTGAGGCTAGGCGTCTTATCTCTTTAGGCAGGCTTGAGGCCCACTACTGGATAGAGTGCGTGCGAGCGTCTGCCTGTATGATTGGCTATGCACGGTCCGCATCAACAGAATGCGGGAGGGGCGATATGTTATTGCTTTGAGGGTACAACTCGGAGCCATCCCTGGCGGCCTTGTCCTTCACGATCAGAACTGAGTTCTCGTCCTATGGACAGAATACCAGCCCGAGGCGCATTCCACGTGGAAATCGAAACCGTTCCCGGATCTACAAAAGGGCGGCCAGAATCGGCCACTCTCATAAACTGCTGGTTCTATCCGGAACGGTCCATCTACATGTGGCGAAACTCGAACTCACTGGAACGAAAGGGGGATTGATAACCACGCCAAAGTCACGTGATCCTGACACATGGGGAGCTGGCAGCTGCCAAGACTTACGGCCACTCCCAACGTCGTGGCCCCAGCTGGCACAGGGCGGCTCGACCAAATTTCCATACCATACAATCCAGACAGACGGGAAGGACAGTCAGTACCTGGTAACAGCCAGCCAGCCAATCCTCAGGTCAGGGATCACTTCGTCGCGACGGGATAGGTAGTGAGGCGCCTCGACCTCCGAAACTCGACAACACCCCTACTCGGCGCAGCGACTCTCGCGCCATGGCCGACTTCGGCGAGTATCCGCCCAACATGGCGTCGCGGGATGCCCTCGTCTTGCGACAGGAGGCCGCCCCCGACCATGCCGTCGTGCCCTACACCGGCGAGCAGCTGTCGCGGCCCAAGCTCGGCCCCGCAAACCCCTTCAAGGACGACTCGGTGGCCGCCGCCGGCTCCGGCTCGGCTCTGGCCACCAAGCGCAAGAACGTGCCCACGGGCATCGCCGAGGAGACCTTTGTCAGCGAGCACACCTTCCGCAGCAAGCACCGCGCCGTCGAGCGCAGGGGCGGGCCGGAGCGCGAGTTCCTGACCGGCAGGCAGGTCAAGGACGAGGCCAAGCGCCTGCGCGCCGCCAGGCAGGGCAAGGGGGACGCCACCGTGGCCGACGGCGACGGCGCCTACGTCGGGCCCTGGGCCAAGTACACGCGCGACGAGTACGAGGAGGTCGGCGATGACGAGGAGCTGGCCACCGACGAGGAGGTCGAGTACGTCTACGAGGACGAGGACGCCGACGACGTCGTCGCCAGCGGCACCGTCGTCTCCGCGCCCGCCGAGGCCATAGCGCGGAGGAAGGAGGTCGAGGAGCTCGGCGACGAGACCACGACCTTCCACGGCGAATCGCTGCACGACTACCAGGGCCGGACCTACATGCACGTTCCCACCGACCTCGACGTCAACCTGCGGAAGGAGCCCGGCAGCATCACCAACTTCATCCCCAAGAAGACGGTCAATACCTGGAAATCCCACGGCGACAAGGCCGTCACTGGCTTGCGCTTCTTCCCCAACTCGGGCCACCTGCTGCTGTCTGCCGGCGCCGACTCGACGGTCAAGATTTTCGACATGTATCATCAGAAGGAGCTCCTGCGGACGTATTCGGGACACACCAAGGCCGTGTCGGATATTTGCTTCAACAACTCGGGCACCCAGTTCCTGTCCGCCTCCTTTGACCGCATGATGAAGTTGTGGGATACCGAGACGGGCACCTGCATCAACAAATTCACGACTGGCAAGACGCCACATGTCATCCGGTTCAACCCCTCCCCCGAGCACTCGCATGAGTTCCTGGCGGGTATGTCGGACAAGAAAATCGTCCAGTTCGACACACGTACCAAGGAAGTTGTCCAGGAGTATGACCACCATCTTAACGCCATCAACACCATTGTCTTCGTCGACGACAACCGCCGATTCATGACCACCTCCGACGACAAGTCCCTGCGCGCATGGGACTACAACATCCCTGTGCCAATCAAATATATTGCCGAGCCCTACATGTACCCCATGACCCGCGCCGCGCCGCACCCGTCTGGCAAGTACGTGGCGTACCAGTCCAGCGACAATCAGATCGTCGTGTATGGCGCCAACGACAAGTTCCGACAGAACAGGAAGAAGAGCTACCGTGGCCACAACAATGCCGGTACCGGGATCGACATTGACATCAGCGCCGACGGCCAGTTCCTGGCGAGCGGCGACTCGGCAGGCTACGTTTGCTTCTGGGATTGGAAGACCTGCAAGATGTACCACAAGATGCAGGTCAGCGACCAGGCCGTCACGTGTGTCCAGTGGCACCCGCAGGAGACGAGCAAGGTCGCGGTCGCGGGCATGGACGGCGTCATTCGATATCTGGATTAGACGTGGGAGGCCATTGGCGCCGCAGCCGTCTGGGCCAGAGAACCGGGGTTTCCGATGTTTGATAAGCGTTTGGCCGAACGGAAAACCACTTGTACATGAAATTGCAATGCATAGTATGGCGTTGGGGGAACGGCAACTTGGTAGATACCAATAAAGACTTTGTTTGTGGATTGGCGTGGCATATACGTTCTTGTTTTACGCTTTGATCTCAACCATCTTTGCATTCCTACTGTGACATCAGTGTGGATGACCGCTTCACACCGTTCCCAGTGAATTCAATCAGTCAATGAGTGGTGTTACGTTATTCCTGCTTACGGCGTGCCAAAAACGCTGGCAAGCAGATTATTCCCAAGGGACACGTCTCAACTTGTCTGCACTCGGACTCCTCTGTAGGGGATACACTATGAGTATAGAAACCCTGACCTCAGGTCGCTGTGCCCTCTACCAGGTCCGCCTTTGCCTCCCACTCGGTATAAGCTGACTTCTGATACAAGAGAAGAAAGAAGTAGGTACGGGCAGAGGTGTTGTGTCGACCATGACCATAACTCCAAACGAGAGTCCGACTCACTCTCTTTACCCTCCTTGGCTTTGAAAAGTTTGTAGGAGATATAGGGACCCGAGTTATTGATCCCGCATACACTCTAAAGTGGGCTGACAACGCCCGATAAAACTCTATCGCGTTCTCGTAGAGGCTCAAGGCGCCATGATCTTCGAAGTCCCGAGGGTGTGTACTACGCCCTGGAGAGAAATCCCCTTCCGTTTTGGAGACGATTTAATCGGGTTAACAACGGCCTGTTGACTACTGTACCTAGATATTTACTTTGTTATAGCATTTAGGTGGTGGGCTGTCAGTGAGGCTAGCTCGGCCAGGACGCGGCCCGGCCCGACCTGGCTCCTATATTTGACTTATAGCACTGATAGTGGAAACTAACTTCGATGAAATCACTATTTATCCCAAAGAGAACCTCAAGTCTTGTGATATCAGGCTGGGCATGCCCTGACAAAAATCAAATCGACGGAGTTACTGCTTTTGTCAAGTCAAAGCAAGCTTAAGCTTCCATCGCCAACAAGGCTGACGTCACATGCTGCGGAGGTCAAGTTAAAGGCGTAGCCCCGTTGCAGAGACATCCGATGATTGACCACAGTGCGACGCGCCCTCCCTATTGACATCTAATTGAGACGATATCGTTATCTACGTTTTCCAAATCATATATAAGTACGGCGGATAATCCTCGCAGAGGTTTCCATTTAGATCCCTTGGAACCAACCGTCTCATGCCAATGTCACGATCGATATCTATTACCTATGTGCCTGCGGATTGCGGGTCCATCATCCCAGGAAAATCCAAAGCGCCCAAAGCTTTCCAAGATGTGGGCATCGTGAGGAAACTACGAGATGCAGGCCTCTCTTCCGTCTCGGAGCACCACCCTCTAGACTCGCCGGCGACATACTCGGTAGCCACGTGCGCCCCGGGCGGCATTCGCAATGAAGATATCAACATCGAAGTCTGTAAGCGTGTATATAGCATGATCACGCAAAATCTGACCTCATCTTCCACATCGCCCCAATTCCAGCTCATCCTCGGCGGCGAGTGCTGCATGTTACCTGCCATTCTCTCCGCCTTCTGGAAGCATGCAAGCCTGCAGTCACCTCCAATTCGTGTCGGCCTGGTCTATGTTGATGCTGATACCGACCTCGCCTCTCCAGCGAATGCAGATTCCACAGGAATCTTCGCTGGCATGAATATGACGCACCTCGTCCGGGCCCCCGGCGCGCTGCAGGTCATGGAGCAGTTCTCCCGTGCGTCCGGGGAGCCCGTCTGTGACGCCTCCAACACGGTACTGTTCGGCACCAATGTATCCTGGCCGGCCAACAAGCGTGAGCACTTCGAGTACCTCCTAGATAGGAACTTCAAGGTTCTCAGCTCGGCGTCTGTGGCGCGCGAGCCGGAACAGCGCGCCAGAGAAGCGCTGGACTACCTTGAGGACAAGGTCGATGTCATTATGGTGCACCTGGACGTGGACAGTATCGACCCGCGCATGTTTCCACTCCCCAACGTACCGAATTACACCGGGGTAACGTTTGAGCAGATGATGCGGGCATTGGGAGTCTTCCTAGGCAGTCAGAAGGTTGGGGGACTGACCGTGGCCGAGGTCAATCCGGACCACGACCCGGGGTTGCAGATGGTGGAGAGGTTGACCGATCAGATTGTAGAAATGCTAGCCGCGAGAGGTATGAAGGGGTAGGGATGACGGAAGTTGACATGTCGGAAAGGGGTTGTCGGTCAAAATGCCATAAGGCAGATATAAGTCTAAGAAACGCTTTCTATGTCATTCAAATTGCTGGTCGCCAGTGGTGCGTGCGCAGATTTTCCGACTGCAGGTTCTCTTAACTATTCAACGGCCTTTCAGTTGCCTGCTGCAGTGACAATTTACCCTGATAGGTACAAACCGAATGAGTCAGATATGAATGTAAGCTATGTCATGACCGGACGCGGTGGTGATCAGCCGTCAACTAGCCCATATCATGGAGTCAATACACGGAAGCAGATTCCGGAAAGCACGCTGGAAGCCTGACCAACCCGAACCTGTTAGAAGCCTAGGTGCTAGAATTCAACAAGCTATTGAGTCTGCTGATTCCGCCGTCTTGATCTCATGGCTACGTTTTCAAATGAATGCCAGGATGGGCGAAAGCCTCCGCACTTTGCTAAACTTTCTGCAAGAAGACTAATTGACTCGACTCATGTTTGCACGCACCTCCACGTACAAGTTCACCACTCATTTTGACACACTAGGCGTAAACTTGCTTCAGAATCCAACTTTCTTAATACTCGTCCTCCCTACGAGAAGCTGACAGGTTCAACAAGTACTGAAAGACACAAATCCAGTCCATGGTCGACCAACGGAGTACTGTATGCGATTACATAACAGAATACAATGTTCTGTAGAAGAATGTGATGAGTTTTCGTGCGCTCCAAGTTATGCCGCCTAACTTGCGCCGGCGTTGAAATAGTCGACACGAAGTTGATGGTATTTAACTTATGTCCCTGTGTAGCGTGTCTATTGATAAGTGAATTATTCGGTTGTACTTGGTGGTGTTGCTATATCAAGTTGTATCAAAGAAGTCGGGATCGAAGTCGGACACACCACGCTCGGTACCCGTAAGAGAGCTTCATTCCTGAAAAGCTTAACTACGTCGGTAGGTTGCATTGGTATCCCGCAATTGGATGTCTTTGTGAACCCAGCGATGTGGTTACTGGTAGAGTTGAATACAACCAGGCCACAGCGGAATGCCGCCGGCCGCCGAGAGCACCACTCTTTAGCGTGCATTAGCCCCTGTCTCGCTTATCCTCCCGCTACCATCTCCAGGGTAGTACGCCGGTGCCCAGATTGGCCTTACTCAAGGGGGCAGGAGATACGCTGCACCTAATCTCCATAAACCATGCTCTAGTTTGTTCCTGCATACCAACCGTAGATAGAGCTGTCATGTGTCGCGTGCCTTGCTTCTGTGGATGCGAATCTGCATAAGAGGCGCGGCTGGCCGCGCTGGATGTGGCGAGCTTCGACCTCTTGCGATCTGTGTTGCGTACCTACCGGAGAAAGCGCTGCTATAATTCACCGCTTGTTGAACACGTCCGTACGCGAGCTAGACCAGCAAATATGCGAAGCTCATCCATCCTCGCCGGGGTTGCCCTGTTGGTGGGTTCTGTCCAAGGCCTGAACATCTTGATGAACAATGATGACGGCTTTGGAAGTGCCAACCTCAGAGAATTCTATAAGGTGCTCAAGGGCAAGGGACACAATGGTAAGTCGGTCGAGTGCTTCAACCTGTACAATAGCTACTTATACGAGATCAGTCTGGATTGTCGCACCGGCTACACCCCAGAGCGGCCAAGGAGGACGGTCTGATTTTACGACATACCCGAATTTGACGGCAAATTCGCAGTACAACCTGGTTCCTGCCGGCAGCCCATCAGTTGGTCCAGATCCAGTTGATAGCCAAATCTGGGTATGCAATCAAAAAGTCCAGAAACCATATGCTGTCCCCTGCTAACTCGTTGTCTCCCCCCAGTACTACAATGGAACACCGGCTGCGTGCACTTTCGTCGCACTAGATTACGTTTTGCCCAACTTTGCCAACTTCAGCGTGCCCGATCTCGTCGTCACTGGGCCCAACTATGGTACCAACCTGGGCCCGTTCGTGTGGACCTTGTCAGGAACTGCCGGCGCTGCCTACGCCGCTACTTCCCGAGGAATCCCGGCTATAGCATTCTCGGGCTCGAACTCCGCAGCGTCGTATAAGGCCATCACGAATTCCACCAACGAGTATACTTGGCTTGCTGAGCTGTCCGGTCAGATCGTGGACGCATTCACTGCCACTGCGCAGAGGCCGATTTTGCCTCTGGGTTACGGCGGAAACGTCAACTACCCGAAGCTATATTCAAACTGGAGCGATCTCGAAATCGTCAAAACTAGATACACCGGAGGAGCCGAGACTAATGAAGCCGTGCCCGGAAGCGTGCCAGGGACCTTCACCTGGGCCAATGTGTCTCCCAGGAGTCCTGGCGTTAACACCTGCCTGAACGGAGACTGCTCCTTGCCTGGTGAGACCGATACTGTGAACGCAGGCAAGGTGGCTATCAGTCTGTACACAGTTGACTACACTGCGCCCAAGAACTGCAACACGACTGCGATCCTGCAACGCCTCGATGTCTTGACAGAAAAGAATTAGGAGAGGATGTCCCGATCACGTCTAGAAGGCGAAGGGCGGCACACGAAGAGGCAGAGTGCTACCCTTGATAATAGTAATAATAATTTTAGAGTATCATACCAATGTCTTGTGGCGTCATGAATAATGACAGAGCTGTAGCCTGGCTGAAGAAGCCTCGACTCCGACCTGTCATACTCGTGGCGACGGGGTGACATGGTGAACCAAGAGCAGCTGGACTATCTAGTAGGGTCCGCTCTGGTGTACTTGTTCTTCTCTCATAACCAATGCGGCTGGTTCATCAACGAGATGGGAGCACACACGACAGCATAACTGAACAACTTCAAGGATGTGAGCCTATTGTACATGTTTCATAGAGAGTGAGACTGAGCCCAGCCGCTTAGTCCGGTGTATTCTGCACACTCGGCGCGCCACCATACTTCGAGGCGTACTGGCAGCCACCAGTGCGATGTACATAGTATGTCGGAGGAGGAATGAGAAATATGCGAAGAAACCTGGTGAGACAGAGATGTGTCAAGTCGCCCTAGATTACTAGACTCTCCTCTTCCCAGGAGATTTTGTATACTCGAATCAGTTAGATCGACTTCGCGGCCGCATGGCCATTCACTGGTTGACTTCTGTTTTCATATCAATCAGCCAAGCTCTAAGGCCATAGTCGGACGATGACAAGCCACTTGGGAGCATATTCAGGCAGTCTTATATATGTTATTTCTCTTCCTGTTCTCCTAATAAATGTACCTAAAATTGAGATTTTCACGATCCGTCATGTCGGCAAATGCAGTGGAGTCCAAGTCTCTCCCGTCTAGACCACCAGTCATCGCGGACTGAATTTTGTCCCTTCTTCGGTTCTCGTAACTCATGAGCACCCAGAACACAACGATAATGAAAGCCTCTAAGAGATGAGACACAATCATCGACCAGATGCCCAATGCGTAGTAGGGTGCCTGGCTCGATAAGTAGAAGAACGGACCCACGATCTGCCATCCAATTGTTAGCAATGTGTTCAAAGATAGGGTCGGAGGAATAGGGTCGGAGGAATAGGGTCGGAGGAATAGGGACTCACGTTGCCGGTACAATATCCAAGGAAGAGAACCGCATTAGTCACCACTTTCTTCGTGTGACCCGCCGTGTTGGCAGTTGTCAGCGACAAAACCATGACAAAGGCGGCGTTGTAGGGTCCCGTCAGGTAGTAACATATCAACCTGCCGACCTGTTGATCCGTAGCAACATAGCGCAATCCAAATGCACCCGCAATATTGGGGCAGAGGAAGAGAAGGATGAACAAGCATCGCTTGTTAGTGAATCGATCATTCAAATACACGCAGATCAAAATGCTGATGGCAATGATGATACCATATGGAATCTGCATGAGAGTCGTGCCAAGAGTGCTAAAGCCGAACCCTTGAATGATCAGGGTCCCAAAATTCGAGATACCGCCGTTCGGGACGTTGCAGACAACTCCGAGGAAAAAAAAGAGATAAAGTTTGATGTCCATGAAGGCTTCATGGACTTGAGGCCACTTCAGATGCTTGTTCTCGATGCCCGTCTGGTTTTCACGCAACCGTTGAACGGCCATGCGTTTTTCGGCACGAGTGAGCCCCTTGGCTGTTACCGGTGAATCTGGGAGGAATATAAACATTACTATGCCCCAGATGCAACAGAGGGCACCGATGATAAGAAACTCATATTTCCACGAGGGCAGAGAGCCCTTGATGCTTCCGATTCCTATCGCACCGGTGAGTATCTCGCAACGGAGGTCAGTCAGAGACTGCATACCATAACCAAGGAGGCCACCAAGTGCAATGCCAAACCCATTCGCAGTATACCCTACATCCGAAAAGTTTAGGAAATCGTTCGTTAACTGCTCCATGGGGGCCAGTCTCATTTCACAGCCCCCGAGAGGGTTTGTTACTTTCGAGAAATCAACCACTTCGAGGCTTTAAAGTGGTCTGGAGGGTGGAAATGTGTTGCCTGGTTTTACTCACATAAGCCCATTCGAACAGGTTGCTGTCGTCGAGTATACTAAGGCATGTTTAGTAAGGGGGACCCAGATGGGCTTTCGTGGAATTGAGACTCACCCACATGCTTGTGATGAGCATGAAAGAAGGGTCAGAGCAGGCTTCGGCAGCACCCGCTAAGAAACGCAGGGCCATAAGCCCGGCAAAGTTGTGGACGGCGGCCTGAAGCATGAGAAAGAACCCTGGAGTGACTTCAGTTCTCCGAAGGTTGAAGCTCAAGGTCTATGACTCTTACCCCACATGAAGATGTTGATGCCCAGATACTTCCCTACAGATGACTAGTTGGCTTATACGACGTAAGATAGCAAAGGGGGGATGATCTCTCACCAATTGGGAATCGTTGCATCATGAAATTCGTCGGAAAAGCCCAAAATAGGAACCCGAAATAGAACATAGAGCTAAGCCAGTTATACTCGGCCCCCTGCAGATCCAAGTCCGTTCGGATGCCAAATATTGCTTTGCGGCAATCATGTTAGCTCGGGACGGGACAGCAGAGAAAACGGAGTCTTACCAGCATAAGACAGCGTTGTTTTATCAATATAAAAGAACGCATAGCATACGGCCAAGTACGGCAGAATCATGAAGTCAATCTTTAAGACAAGCTTTTTCTCCTCTTCGGGGTCGCGCGGCTCGTGAATCTGGTCTGGATGATCGAAGAGGGTCATTGCCACATCGGCATCTTGGTCAAGTGCGGGTTTTACACCAGATTTCACAGATTCGAGGTGGCTTGCCACTGCGGGTGCAGCCTCGATATCCTTGTGTATTGATGCGCCCGAAGCCTTTGGAAGCTCCTTTGTTCTATCGTCTGCCATTTTGCTGCAATTGGTCTGGTGAAACTCAATGAGTGTGTCGGCGCGATGTATTTCTCCAGACTGTTAAAATTTGGAGGTGATGTTAGGACAGAATTGGCCCCCAGAAATTTTCTTCCATCTCAAGATCGTTGCAGAAGCGACCGAGCATGACGTGTAACCGGACAACGTCGGAGGACTTGTACCCTGTCAACTGATTCAATGCACAATTGTGTATAACCACCCAGAGGAAGGTACATGAGTAAGGTGCGTAGGCGCTATACTGTTTTCTCGCTTGGGGCTATGCGGGGAAGCGATGATCGACCCCCACTTCTCCAGTTACATGGGGTGCTAGTTCTTTATTTTGCATTTGGTACCTCGGAATAATGTTGGAGCAACGTGAGGAGGTCTTCCCTGAAACTCGGACAAGTCACCGAGATGGGATACACTAGGTTTGGTAGCCGAAGTCGGTGTCCGATTGACAACCTTGATGTGGCATAACATCGCAATCGCACGACGATTTCACGCCTCAGTTACTGGAAATCTCCGAGATAGACTCGAAAACAATTAAATTATTGTGTGAACCCGTGGGAAGCAATAGCGCCGAACAGCATGCTTCTCTTGGATATGTCTATGTATCTCCAGTGTTAAAACGTGTCTTCCATAGAGTCAGAACTATGGCGAAGTAATTCTAGCGAAATGATCAGTCATGAGCAAGACTCTGTATACATTTTTCACTGTGGAAGCCTTACCGTTTCGTTCAGAATCTTCGGTGTCTTGCTTCATCGTGCCGTCCTCTACGCCGAACAATTCAGCCATCTCCTCAAGTGATCGACCTCTTGTTTCCACTGCAGGATGTTCAGCTAAGCGCATGCGTGATAGAATGTTGCAACATACCAAGAGCAAATCTTACGAATAAGAAAGCGATTACACAAAAGAATGCCAACAGGACGTAAAGACCCCAGCCTATAGCGCTGGCTATCGGAGGCGTTGTCTGCGCAACGATGAAATTGGATATCCATAACGAGGCTGTGCAGAGTGCATTCCCCTTGGCCTGTAGGTACAGCAGAGTTCAGTCAGTTACCGGAGACTCCAACATAACTTGGGTATACATTTTAACTTTACCCGAAGCGAAATAGGGAAAATCTCCGCAGCGTAAGTCCAAGAGCCGGAGCTCCAGCTCATGTTGAAAAAAGTGTAGAAGAGATAGGGAAAGGCCACGATGCCATTGTTTGTTGGGTCGCCAGGATAGTGTTCGGCGTGGCGGAGAAATGCTGCTATTCCAATCAATGAACCGAACATTCCGACGGTACCAATCTGAAGCCAGGTTTTCCTGCCAAGTTTGTCGAAGAAAAAGACTGGTATCCACGCTGCAAAGAAGAGCACGACACCGACTCCTGCAGTTGCTAGGTTCGCGCTCTCGGCACTAAGACCTCCCCTCATAAACAGTGTCGGTGCGCTTGTGGAAAGGTTAGCAGTTGGGTACGACCAGGAAGGACCGCATGGTACGCTCACACTACAGAGAAGAGATGTGTTAGCTTTCCAGTTTTCAACAGCTTTGGCAGAACATAATCGTCGATGCTTGTGATGAACACGCCGAAAGTCTAGTGGACATGCCAGCTGCTCCAAATAGATCAATCCATAGAGTAGCGAGAAACGAACAATATGGACGTTGGGATTACCGACAGTAGAAGATTGAGTTAGTCCCCGTAATTTGCTGCAAAAACTGGATCGTGGTTCCAAGAAAGGTTATCCGAAGAACAGGCTGCCGGAACATGTCTGCCCATATACCCTGCGAACTTGCCCCCTCTACGGAGAGCGAGTTTCGAATCTCCTTCATCTCAAATTCAGCAACATCCGAGCCATGGAGTCTAGAGAGCACTTCATGCGCGCAGTCGTAACGCTCTTGTGCCACGAGCCACCGAGGTGACGGCGGAACCCAGCTCCAGCAACCCAATGCTAGGACCAAAGCCGGCAGAACTTGAATTCCGATGGGATACCTCCACCAATCGTTCGACTCGACGAAGAAGAAGCCGTAAACAACGAAGAAAACAACCATCTCGGCGAAGCAAAGAATCATCAAATTGATGGCTCCGATTCTGCCGCGAACGGCGGCCGGCGCGATCTCCGTGATGTACAGCGGCACGCCAGCTGAATAGGCCCCTACACCGACGCCCAATATCAAGCGGCCCAAGGTCTAATAGGGTTGTCAGCCACAGCATGTAATGATAGGAACTTCGTCCGATGGTACCATTTGCGTTATAGTATATGACACAGCTTGCAGCAATGCCCCAGCAATGAAGATGATCGTTGCTAGGGAAATTGTTCGCTCTCGTCCAATCGAATCAGCAAAGAAACCAACTGTCATGGCCCCCAAGGCACAGCCTATATTGTATATACTGACGACAAAACCAATGGTCCCTATGAGATGTTGGCATATACAGAGAGTCGTACTTGAGAGCTGCGCATGGGCGGGGCCTACTCACAATCATTGGCAGGTTTCATTAGGTCCAGCCATCTGGCATCGGCAATGATCATGGACATGACGCCTTGATTCCACCCGAAGAGAAAAGAGCCGAGGCAGACGAAAGAAGTGAGGGAGTATACATAGCGAATGTTTGCGGGGCGGCGCTGACCCGGGATAAGGCCTTTCGGAGGTCTGACGACCTTTTTCTGCTTTAATATGCCCATCGTGGCTAAGCTGCAGCAAACACTAAGTTACAAGCCGACCAGCCTGGAAAGGCAACATCCACAGTAATGAGAGGCAGCCGCAGAACTTCTCGACCAACGAATGTGACAGTGTGTCGACCGGGCCTTTGGAAAGAGCGCCTTCTCGCCACGGATGATGTACGACAAGCGGCCGCAAGGGAGGGTTTATGAGGCTGCGCCGTGGCCGTGCTGCATGAGACGTTGAAACGAACCCGACCCCGTGGGGTTCCGGGGCTCAGGAGACCCCCCTCCGCCACGGACCCATCGGCGCGCCTGGAGCCCAAGCCAAGATACCGTACGGATAATAACTTCGCACCGTGTCTCGGACTGTCCGGCAGACAGTTGATTGCCTCATACGGGGTGACATAGTGAAATGTCATCTTTGCTGATGCATAACAATTGCAAGCTTTCTATTCTGCCTCTTCGGGCATGAATCTATCTGTCATTTAAAACACAGTCTCGCATTTGTGTAGTTACAAGTTTTTAGAAGTGGCCAGAAGCCTTCAAGATGACGAATCTTGTGAATCCTGACCACAGGATCGAAGCATCAAGTTCCCGCATGAACTGAGAATTTAACCACTGCTTCAGTGTGACTGCGTGAGTCAAGTGTGTCTTGTTCATTGTGAGAGCGGCTGGCTTCTGAAGCTTCCCAGTCGGATGGAACATATAACTTGTGAGTGGCATGTGAAAGGGTTTGCTATGAACAGACGATTGCAGGAATATGTAAGTGTTTCACACCAACTTGGGGTGGCAACCTTTGCAATGCAACTACCCCATTACGCGGCACCGCTTAGGTAGTGGGCAACCAAGAGGAGACTGCATAGGCTGCTTATTAAATCACCGCAAAACAGACACAGCAGTAAGCAATGGAAGAAGGCGTAGAGTGAAACGGAAGAGAAAATGCTTTAGGACGAACGGGCGTGGGATCATCTTGGACACATCTGGCTGGAAGTGTGATATATGCAAGCAGCTGGTTTCCCAAAAAAAAAAAAAAAAAAAAAACCTTTTGGCAGTGTGGTGAGATAGGAGGCCGTCCATGACCTTAATAGGCCAATCTCCCACGACATGTCGAAGTACATATGTGCTTAGCCAAACGAACTGTGCTGGTTAAATTAGACGAGGAACCTAAAGGACTGAGCTCCCGTCTCGGCATTCAATCCAATGCATCCTGCGCTAATGCATCTCTATCAGACGCCGATGTACGGATTGCATTACATGCCACACTAACACAACGGTGATCCTGGCTCGCCTAGCAACGCAGTGATTATCCATCGTAAATCGAGTCCCACACTGAAGCCATGATTTATGAGTCTCCACGGGACTTGATGGTAGATCTGACAGTTGACATAAATAATCAACTATAAGCACACCCTTGAACACTACTGTGCACCACGAGATCCAGAGTGGTGCGCCCGAGTTCTTTCTCCAGCTCATAATCCGGTCCTCATGGCCGTCCTCGCCCCAGACGTGAGTGCAGGGCGCAGGATGAAGAGGTATGGAGACCACAGTTTCCAACGCCTGGTTCCCTCTGGCTAAGCGATTATCCACGATACGACTTAGAATGTAACAGTCACTGGTTCTATTACATAGTCTCCCGTCAGAGTCTGGTCTCCGCCACCGAGATCCTCCAGCTCCTTGGCCGAGACCTCGTCTGCTCTCTTCTGCCAGACACTCAACCACCTTCCTTGACCGGATATCTTGACATCCCCTTTGAGCTTATCTATAGGAACCACAGGCTCCTTGAGCTCTACTTGGTGCTCTGCAGTCTGCCCCGGCTCGATTGTAACCAGCGCGTCCCGGCCAGGTGGCATTCGTCGTCGAATCTGGACGATAGGAATATCCAGGGGCATGTCACTATCGGCTGGCGAATACAGCTTCAGGACGCCTTGATGCACGGCCGACGGATCAAACGGCGATTGCCATTTCAGCACGGTCAGGGGCGCGTCGTGCTTGTTGGTGACACTAAAGGTCAGCGAGTAGGAACCCGAGTGGCGGACCGAAACCACCAATCGCGAGAGAGTATCTTCAGGCATGGTGATGGGGGCGGGCTGGTGTTGTGTCCAGTAGACAAAGACGAGGAGAGCGGCTAGGACCGAGATTATAGTACGCAGAGGGCAATGACGTCGGAAGCTGCCCATGGAAGCGACTGGAACGTCTTGGCGGCTGAGTTTGTCTGGATACGGCAGAACCCTCGGATCTCTATTCCGGGAGCAGAAGAGGAGGTCCGCAAGTGTGCCGCGCTGGGATACGGGGGTGGACCGAATGATATGTAGGTTGGAATCTCGGGCGATAGCCTGGTTGGCGGGGCCGCTGGGAAGAGGCTTAGGCGAATGGAACGTTGGCGCAGAGCACATCTAAAGATCTCTTGGGTCGATGCACGGTCCTGGCCGCAGGCATTCCGAACATTCTAGAGCGTCTTGGGGAGCCGGGAACCGTTGGGGACGGCCTCTTGATGGCCCTGGAGCGCGGCCGGGCCTCGGTGGTGATTTGGCTTGGTGCGGCGTGGGGGAACTGTACTAGGACTGGGCAATGCCAACTTCTTCATCCGGCTACCGGCTCGGGTGTCTATGACGACACAGCTTGGTAGCCGCGATCCTGTCACTCGTCGTCCGAAGTGGGCTTGCTCTCCCCTGGCAACCTGGGTCGCGCCGGCTCGCGAGACTGGACCAGGACGAGGAGGAGGAGAGGAAGAATTGGACGGCCCAGTGGTTTGCGTGTGGCACCGCAGCCTTGTGGGGGGATGTGCATTGCAAACGTTCCGGGCGAGCCCCAAACAGGCAGGTGGGCTTGCCGGGTATTAACGAGCACCAAGTCGTCAGAATAAGGTGAGGCTTGTCAATCAATCAACCAGCCTGCGACTCTGCTTGTCTGTGTGCCATGGCCCGTGGGCATGAACTTCCAGGTAGCAGTCGGCTGCGGGTGATCCTGACAAGCGAGGCCGCCGGCACTGAGGGCCCTCTCGACCAACCTGCCAACCTGCCAGCCTGCCCGCGCCAGGCACTCCTGGCACGGTCTACTGTAGCCACCAGATGGCGCGGAAACGGGGCTCGATGTCGGTGAAAGACCAGCATTTCCCACGGCCGCCGGCCATTTTCTCCCTCTCTCTCTTTGGGCATTGCGACGCCTGTGATAGCAAGGTTACCTTGTGGTGGCGATCCCACCTCTAATCTCGGCGTCGTTCACCCTTGCGCGTTTCATACTGATTGCAGCGCGCTGCTCCGTATATTCCACCGACGGGCATAAGGCATGCGATCCGCAAACCACGGTTTAATATATCTAGTCTTGGCACTGCCTCCCCGCCACGAGATGGGCTGTTCGCCTTGGTCAATCTTTGGTGACATTTGTCATATCTTCTGCAAGCACTGGTTGCTTGGTTCTATTGGCCGCCTACCGCCATCCATATGTGTCTCATATCTTCGATATAGTAGCCCGCCTGTGATCCCTCAGGACTGCTCACACGAATGTGATATTCATTCCACCAAAGGAAGATGGACGATAGACATATCGCTGCTTCGCAACAATCAGCAATGCAGGTAACTATCGGATGTTACTCAAGCATGTATAGATTGTGGAGCCCTGAAATAAGCTTCGTCGAGGTATACCAAGCTTTATTGGCGGTCGAAGGCTGCATGTAGACCACAGTGCTACGCAGGGGTACTTGCTCCGGAGGTTGCAGTCGAACCTGCTGCATTCCTACTTCCAGCCCAGCATCCCATCACACAGCGCTTTGGCGACTCTTGGCGCTTTGGACGCGATCCTTGGCACTCGGACGACAGCGACCAAATAGACATCAACTTCCTTTTTGCTTCTAGGTGTCTTCGGCACTCTGTGCCCATCTGACGTCTGGAATAGCTTTCATCCCATCTGTCCCAAAGCATTAGACAACCGCTGGAGCGTGGACTTAGCAAAGTATAAAGACGATCCTTCTTGGCCACATGGTGGGATGAGAACCCTTCAGGCCAGCCCCTTCAGTCTAAGGTTCATCCACTGCCAGTTTTCCAGCCAATCACAACTCAAGCCTCGTTGCATATACTCGAATCTCTTCTAAAAATGAAGTTCCTCGCCGGTGTTTCCCTTCTTGCCTCCTTGGTCAGCGCTGCGTCTCTCGCAAGACGTGCCGAGCCTCTTGATGTTCAGCTTCAGATGGTCGGTAACACCGCTGTCAAGGCCACAATCAAGAACACCGGATCCGACAGCCTGAAGGTGTTCAAGACTGGCAGCTTCCTGGACAGTTCCCCTGTTGAAAAGGTTCAGGTCTTCAAGGGAGGTATGTATGCAAACCATCCTATCCATTTGTCCGAAGCTAACCTGTCATCAGAGACCCAAGTTGCCTTCGCTGGCATCCGTCTCCGTGTGAGCACCCAGAACCTTGACGAAGACGCCTTCCACATCATCGAGGCTGGTGAGACCATTGAAGCCCTCTTCAACATTGGTGAGCTGCATGACCTGAGCGAGGGTGGCGAGTACAACGTCGTTGCCAGCGGTGCAGTATCTTATGCTGCACTCGACTCCACCATCATCGAGGGCGTCGTACCGTACACTAGCAACTCCATCTCCGCCAAGGTCGATGGCGCCGAGGCTGCTGAGGTGCAGAGGCGCTTTGTTGAAAAGCGAACTACGGTTCAATCCGACTGCACTGGCAGCAAAAGGACCGCTCAGATTACTGCTCTGAACAACTGCGTCTCTCTTGCTCGAGCGGCTGCTTCCGCTGCCACATCCAACACGGCCAAGGTCACCGAATACTTCAAGTCTACTTCTGCCTCCAGCACCCTTGTCACTGTCTTCAACCGGGTTGCCTCCGAGTGCGGCACTAGTGGTGGCGTGTCTAAGCAATACTGCACAGATGTGTACGGCGCATGCAGCAGCAATGTCTTGGCATACACCTTGCCCTCAGGCTCATACATGGTCTCGTGCCCCTTGTACTTCAGTGCTCTTCCCGCTTTGACCAAATCGTGCCATGCTCAGGACCAGGCCACTACTACCCTCCACGAGGTGACTCACTTGTCTCAGATCAAGGGCACCCAGGACCTGGGCTACGGCTACAGTGCCGCTACCAGACTCTCTGCGTCCCAAGCTCTGAACAATGCTGACAGCTACGCTCTGTTCGCCAACGGTACGTTTCCGCCACGAATAATTTTGCTTGTATGGTTGACTAACCGCCACTAGCCATCTACGCTGGCTGCTAAAAGCTGTACTACGGCAAACGACAGCAGGGAAGCGACGGCTACGAGCCCTTTCGCAGTATCATGAAGAGAAGGAATAAACTGTGCCATTGTCTTCTGTTATATTCCTTTTGATCGATAGTTCATACAATTGTGTAGCGGCCAAATGAAAACCACCTACTTTTCATTCAAATCCATTGTGTATTCCCGACAACATAATTTATCTGCTGCAGCAACAGATATGACTTGCAAGGCATGTAATTGACCCAACAGGCGACGAAAGGTTATGAACTTGAGGCTGGACGCTACGTCCTATAGACCCCTCCAATTCACATATTCGCTTCCTCCGTCCCAGTTTTGATTTCTTACATGTATGATTGTGCAATTTCCCTAAGAGGAATGTGAAGGCCAATTATCGATAGGTAATAGTTTCAAATATGGATTGTGTGAGATATACGTAGGACAGTAACACACCTATAATGTTTGCTGCACATGTTGTCGTGCAGTTACGATGTATAATGGACAGAGAAGCACAATGTCAGCAGTATACTTTGAAACTTACGGTGCCGGAAGTAACTAACGTAAAGATCTAGTGTGCTAGCATATATATCTAAATCCCTTTGTACCTGCATATGAACCGTTTCACCTGATACAAACACATCGCATTGCAATATTAAGCAAGAAGAATCACATGGCGGGGTTCACGATACATTCGCGTACGGCATGGCTTAGGCGCGAAAACCAGAAGATGAGTTTGGTCTTACACTAACCACACGCGCAGGGTCTATTTACATCGCAAGGGGTAACCTCCAGAGTCTTATTGTCAAGACATAAATAATATATACAAATAGAACCGAACCAGACCTTCGAGCCCACACCGCCTTTCTTACGTCTCTCACCTACAAAGCTGCTGGACTAGTACTTAAATACACTGGGAGTAGTAGCTGTTCATGACTGTGCATGTACCAGCAGAGCAGGTGGTGCTTCCAGTATAGCCAGTTCCGCCACACTGTCCATAAAGGGCGACTCCCGTGCTAGAACCAGAGGTTGGCGCCGTAGAGGCTTGGGCAGTGCTCGTGCGAGTGACCAGCGTAGTGGGCACAAAGGTAGCAGCGGCTGTTGTGGTTTCCTCGGCCTCGCATGAGTCATCTTCTGAGTCGTCTTCGCCTTCGGAAGGAGCAGCGGAGGTCGTAGCCGGCGCAGCAGCCGATGAAGTTGAAGCTTCCTGGGTCACAGCTGGAGCGCTTGTGGTAGCGGCCTTGGTGGTGGAAGCCGCCGTGGTTGTGGGCGAAGATCCTGAGCCGGAACCAGAGCCGGATCCGTACAGAGCAGGGCCAGGGATGGTATAAGAAGTGATGGTGCCGTAAGGGTTGAACAGGATACCGGCGTCGTCAGCGGAGTACAGCTCAGTGCCGAGGGTGCCAGAGGGGCTGTCGGTACCAGAACCTGTGATTGCAATGTTGAAGCACTGTGGGTAGTTCTGGGCGCCATTCGCAGACCCGGCTCCGTGGAGCGCGATGATCTCGTGGCGGAATACGTAGTTGCCAGCAGCAAGAGTTGAAGGAACAGTGGTGGTCCAGGTATTGTTGTTGTCGATCAGGGCCTGGGCAGCCCAGGTTGAAGTAGATGTGTCGTAACCAGATTCATCGATCTTAACCCATTTGAGGGTCGTCTTATCAACCGATGAGCATTCACCGTTGCAAGCGGCAACGTAGGTCAGGACAGGGCCAATTCCATGGGGCCAGGTGCTCCACTGGAAGTCGACAGTGCCACCGGCGGCGACGGAGCTTGTCAAAGCAGCGTTCTCAGCGTTCTTGTGGCAATTGATGTCTGCGGTTCCATAGGCGTCAGGAGCCACAAAACCGTTATCGAGGTTCTCGGCATACCACGCAGCAATATCAGGAAACGAGCCCGAGTTGGCCTTCTGGTAATAGTAGTCGAGCAGAAATCCCTGGTTGTAGGTGCCGTCAGTCACGAATCCGGTGACAGTCCCGTGGGCCAGTGCTGTGCTGGCGAAAGCACCAGCAAGTGCGAGAGTAGACTTGAAAGCCATGTCGACTGATCGTGATACAAAGTATAGGATGTGCCGGGTTTAGGCGGTGGTGTAAAGGTAAGCTCGCTTGAAGGGAATGGCAGTAAAAGTCAGATGTCCCAGCTTCACACGGTGAAGTTGACAATTTATGAATCGAAAAAAAGAATGGAAAACCTCGGAGGGATAGAATGAAAGAATGTGTCCTGAACAATGCTGCGTTGCACAGGACTTTGTTGCACTGAGAGAGGCCATCATCGATATTTATGTGGCCTCGTGAAATTAGACGTCGCTGAACCGTATGACTTACACGGGCGGCTGTGGTGGGGACTGGCAACTCATCATCATATACGCGCAACGTCCCATGAGCGAACCAGACTGGTGGAATTTCTTGTGGCTCCAGTAAATAGCGGGTATTTGGCTGCTTTCGGCAGGCTTCCGGGATCTGAGACCAGGAGCCCCGGACGATGCGGCTCGATCATATCTAGCTCAGGGGCCGCCGTTGGCTATTCGCTCCAGAAACATCAGACTTAGCGCCTGAGTGAAACGATACCCCTCGGCCCAGCCCGAATCCCTTCATTTCAATCACAACTTGGCAGCTTGGCCGCAACTGCGAGGATCCACGATTACCTGGTTGGTGATCCCTATTCCCTGCATCGCGGCTGAGTTCAGATGAAAAGTTGCGCCAAGGTGTTTCTGGTTAATGGAGAAATAGGTGATGGGATGGTGCTTCGTCATCCGACCAGTACACTACGCCCCTTTCCCTACGACTGCCGAACGACCACCAGGCATCGCGATTCATGCAGCAGCATGGCGACGGCGCTTGATTAAAAAGTTCTCGAGTATGTATTTACGCAGCACGCGCGAACAAAATTACATAGTTTAGCAAGTGGTACATTGCCTGGGCGTCCTTCCTGGCTAGTTCTCACTTATTTTGCCCCGATGCGAGATCCCAAGGTTACTTCAACACCGTCAAGGAAAAACTAGCTGATTATTGTATCAAATACGATGATTCCGTCCACGATTCTACTCATGGTGAAGGTGAAGCTGTCGTTATAAAAGTATTCGGCGCAAACCACATCACCCCTGACGTCCATCACGTCAGCGACGGTCACGTTAGGATACATGTCGGACATATACAAAACGTGGTTCAGTGTCGTTACGCTGCCGTCGTCGCCATCATGGTTGGTCCACTCAGGTCCAGGCAGAGGGAGACCGATATTACCAACGTAGCTCTCCCGAGGGATATTACGGCCTCCCATGTCTTTAAGTCTGTTTGGAAGGTCAAGGGACTGCCATTTCCACCACATAGCGTCAAGCCAGCCGTGGTGTAAGTAGAAGACAGGGTCTCCAGGACTTAACACAACGTCGACCATCAGACCTCCAGTGGCCCCATGGCCAGAACTGTGAGGCAAGCCGGCCCAACATTCCCAAGCTGCAGTGTAAGTGCTAATTTGGAAGCATGCGTCAATTGTGGCCTGGGCTCCACCGATGAGCGTCCTGGCGTTGAGATCCCGATAAATCTTGTAGTCCGCAGGAGCAACGCCGAGGCGCTTGAGGTGCAAGGTGCTATTCGCAAATGGGCCATCTGCAATGTACTTTTGCGGGCCAGAACCCACACCGTTACCACCGAATGCATCGGGTTGGAAGATCGAAGCGCTTTCCGAAGATGGAAGTGCGGAATCTGCTGTCTCATCCCAGTATCTATATCCAATAAGTTATGTCTAGCATGAAAGGAACGCTTGAGCTTACGGTAGAGGTCCAGTGTAACCACACTCATTCCTCAGGAGGTCGCCGTGAATAGCAATGTAGTAACGGTGCCAAGGAAGGAACTGGCCAACGTCGTGAATGAAGTTGGCCTGAACTATGTGGTTCCAGTGCAGGTCATCCCACCGGGTCTCGGTACCCGGGATGTTGAGCTGACTGGGTGCTGCCATCAAACATAGTTCAGCATCGATATAGGCGGACCTCTCTTTTGATGTGAGCATGTCCCTAATTCATTCAGTTGTGCGCAACATGCATTGTAATTTGATCTTCCTTACCATGGCTTGCGTACAACCTTCACTGTACACTTGGCTCTTCTGCCGGTCTCTGCAGCGACCGCGAAGCTTGAAAATGCAAGGAAGACAGACGCGTATTGAAGTGATTGAAACATGTTGGAGCACCCCGATTGCTAGCAAAGGACGAGGGTTTTCTAAAGTTGGTGGTCCACCTTCCGACCGCTCGTTTTTGGGGAATATACTCGTGCGGGCTTTATGCTCCTTAACCGCTATTCTCCGTATTCAAGTCCAACCCTAGTACTGGAAAGTTTCATCCCAGCCTCATAGGGCGGTTGGAATACTACTGACGTGTATCGCTTGTGCATCATCCCGGGCTATTACTTAACGCTCATTCGTCAGCCATTATTGGCGTTCGTGTTCCTCCGGGTAACTGCGTATAAATCCACAAGGGTAGACCTGCCTTATCCTCGTCCACAGACCGACAGAATTCGAAAAGCTGTGCCACTAAGCAACATATTACCACAGAGTGGCATGTATGAGAGGTTCAGAAAATCAATAGTTCGGCTGGGACTCAACTCAGAGGGAATCGTCCCTCGCCGGATACCGCACAGTCAAATTAGCCACACAGCTATTGCATAAAACTATCAGATTGAGCAACTGGTCGCTGAACACTTGAGGGGTGGCTTGAGCTTGAAAGGTCCCTTTATCTGGCGTCGCTGGTGTGCCGTGCTCGGATAGCCGTTCCGGCTGCCGTCTTATGAGGCGCACCCAGTTCGGAAGCCCGTTCGAGGTGTGAGAGACTCCGCGTCCTTAGCACTTCGCGTGAACTCTTCATCACTGTGGTATGGTCAATTCCTATTTTAGAAGTGCACATAGTAGCGTGTCGGTTTATGTTCACAGCGGGCCAGAGTGCATTTGCAATTGCTTGGCGTAAGCCTTACAGATGCAGCGTACCGAGCCCCTCATAGAAAAAGGGATTTGATTTGATGTTCTCTGCCGCATTGACCTAGTCCACACCTCGTGCATCCATAATTGATTCAAAACTCGCTAGCTCTTACCATTTACTTGGGAGCAAGTCGCTGAACCCCGTTTTCTTAGCGAATCGCGAAGTTTCTTGTTTTCGTTGCTCATCGCCTACCTCGATTAGTTACCCATGTGTGACAGGGAGACCGATTGGCATCAGGTGTTCTAGAAATACGATGAGTCTGTTTCAGTGACAAGGATTGCTCGTGGCGCCCCCAGGCGAGGAAATCCCGAAATTGAATAGCAGCAAGTATGGCAATCTTCGCGGCATGCGAGCGATTGAAAGCTTATGACCAGTACTCTTCAACATGCCTACCCTGTCCCCACGGTACGAAATCTCAAGGCAGCCACACAATTTCTAAATAGACGTTGGTGCTGTTCTCTGCGGTTGGAAAATTCACACTTGTTATACCTTTGTGCCAAGATTATCCATTTCACTGAGAGGTCTCAAATGACCGATTACGGGGACTAATATGGAACGAATATCCGAGAAAGGCAAATAAACACCTAAAAACAGAAAAAATTTACATGATACACACCTTACAATGCACTGAAATAATTGAAGCATGGAAGACTTTGTGTATGCCGGTGCTATTATTGATCAGACTGCGCTAGACTAGCTGCATTGAAATGCTTTTATGAACACTCCCAGGTTTCCTATTTCCATCAAACAAACTCCCATATCTCGCAAAGGCTGATGCCGAAAACTGAGTAAATCTCCCAGACAAAAGTGGGAAAGGTCTGATACCAGAAACTGTTATTTCCAGACGCGTTATATGCACGTTTCACATGGAGCATTCTTCGTATGAGGATGAAGGTTTAGGCCGTATCGTTTACTACCATTCTTTCATGACCAGTGCTCGCCATCTAAACTCGGCCGATATAGGATGGCCCAACTTGGGGATTACCTGATCTTAGCATCCAGGAGCAAGGGAGTGATTACCCGACGATAAACCTGCCTTATAAAGTGGATACGGGTGCGTTCTTAACCCCGCTCCCACAGTACCCATGCCTACTCCACTAGACTGACCAGTGCTGCTGATCCGTTGAGATTAAGCTCTTCCATTTTAGTAACTAGGAGTCTTCGGCGTCCAGATAGTAGATAACGTAGATCCTGCTGATTTCAACTTCGGGTGACTCCCGACGGAAGGCTAGCAGCGGAGGTCCGACTTTGCAGTACGAGGATCCAGCATGCATATAAGAACAGTATAGGCCGGACTCGGCCAAAGACCGATGCCTATAACTTGTCCTTACATTCGCAGTCTGGCGCTGGCGTAGAACGAGTGTAGCTTGCAGGATGGGAATTCTAAACAAGAAAGATGCCGGCCGGGCCGGCAAGGGGTCAACCGGGCTCGGCCACCTTGCCTCGCTGCCGAACAACACGAACCCAAAGTGGTGGTTGGACCCTAGTCTCCGAAGACTCCATTTCAGTAGGGAAAAGCCCATCACATCAAGACCAAGGCAGTGCATGTGCTAATCGTTGCGTAGTGCTCATGTGCCTTACCATAACTTCCGTGACAAGCGGGTTCGACGGATCGCTTAGTGAGTCTTTCGATCATTTCCCGCCAACGGCGAAGGCCCTATCTAATCAAGAACTCAGTCAATAACTTGCAATCACTCTCGACATGGAAGTCCGCCCTAAACCACCCCGACGCCAACATGCTCGGCGCCATAGGCGCCGTGCAGACTGTGGGTGCTTTTTTCGCATGCCCCTTTGCGCCGATGATCAATGACCGCTGGGGACGGAAATGGGGCATAGTGGTGGGAGGTTCCCTCATCTTTGTCGGTGGGCTGCTTCAGGCTTTTTCGTATTCAACGGCCCAGTATATTGTCGGGCGCATCGTAGTTGGCGGGGGAAACATCATCGCTCTGGTTGGGGGAACTTCACTTATCAATGAGCTTGCCCACCCAAGGACCCGGATGCAGATCACGGGATACTTCAATGTGATCTGGTATATTGGTAAGTCAACCACGTCAGCTGTCCTTGCGACCAAATTTCAGGCCATGTTCCAACTACTAAGCGTGTATACAGGTGCCATCATTGCTTCATGGCTTTGCTATGGCCTTACCATCCATATCCCTGGCTCAGCGTGGCAATGGCGTGTCCCTACCTTGTTCATCTCCATCTTCAGCGCCCTCATGGTGGTACAATTCCCCTTCGTACCGGAGTCTCCGCGCTGGCTGATAGCACATGGCCATGATGAACAGGCACATCAGATTCTCGCTGATCTGCACGCCAATGGTTTCATGGACGATGGACTTGTTGCCGCTGAGATCCTGGAGATTAAAGAGACGCTCAGAGCGCAGAAAGATTCCATCGCCGAGTCAAGTACCTGGAAGGAATGCTTCGGAAGCCCTGGAAACCGCTGGCGAATGTTCATATGCATCGGCCTGGCAATTTGTAATAACTGGACAGGTCAAAGCATCGTGTCATACTACAACACTCAGATCCTGACACAGGCCGGTATCACTGAGACACTACCTCAACTTGGCATCAATGGCGGCCTTAGTATCTTCGACTTCTTTTGTGCATTACTTGGCGCCTATGTCTCCGGAAGAGTAGGGCGCCGACCATTGTTCCTCACATCATTCATTGGTATGTTGATTGGGCACACTATTGTGACCGGTGTCTCAGCCAAGTATGCGGAGACCAAAATTGCTAGCTACGGCTATGCGGTCATCGCCTTCATCTGGGTGGAGTCCGGGTTCTATAACATCGCACTCAACCCTTTGATCTACGCATACACCAGCGAGATCCTGTCGTTTGCGACGAGGGCCAAGGGCATGTCGCTGTTCCTGTGGACAGGGGATTGGAATGCCATCATTTCTCGTTACTGTAACCCCATCGGTTTGGCGAATTTAGGTTGGAAGTATTACATCGTGTTCCTGGTATTCTATGTGTTGGAAACTCTCTTCGTCTACTTGTACTTCCCTGGTAAGTTTCATTCGGTCGGCCTCTTCCTTATAATCACTTCTGACACATGTTCCAATGCATACAGAAACGAAGGGGCGTACGCTTGAAGAAATAACGGAGATCTTTGATGGGATCCAGGTTGCCAATGAAGTGGTATTGCAGGTTGAGAAAGGCGGAGGTGGAGATGGCTTGACCATCATTGGAAAGAAGCCAGAAGTCGAGGTATCCAAAGCTGAGCCTACAGGAGAGATTTTGGGTGGAAAGAAGTGACGTTCGAATCGGCTTGGCTTAAGCTCGAGATCGAGATCGACTTGCAGTCTACAAATGCTGGCTGCTTGACGGAATCCGAGTGTTACATGTTTCTTATGCCCCAGTAACATTACCAACAATATCTGACGTCCTAGTCAACGTCGTCATCGTTAGTTACCTGTATTTTCTCCTCCTCTACGTCTGATCTTTCGAGCCTCTTCCTCGCCTCTTCGATAGCTTTAGGGTCTTCAGCTTCGGTAGCTGCGTGGCTAGTGGGTACTGCTGCCTTCTTCTCTGGCTTATGCGATGCCAATGCTGCAGGTTTCAGAGAACCGTCCTCATTGACATCTTCCTTTAGGTACAGGGTGAAGAGGACGACCAGATACGTCTCACTGGTCGACTTATTTCGCAGCACATATCTAAGTCGATGTGAGCGCTTGGGGTTGGCCCTACGAGAGCCACATGAGATATGGAATCAGAAGCAAATGGTCCTGGCGTGCGAATGTCACTTACCTTAGGCCTTGGCCATCCCAGTATTTCATGATGGGAAGTGTGAAGCCAGGGAGTCGTAAGCTGAAGTCGCCAAAATCCAGATAGGGGTTGAAGAAGTCTACGCAGTAGGTCTTGTCGTGCTCAAAGACCCAATTTGCCTTGCTGTCGTCGCGAAGGGCCCACTTCATCCGTGCCTTGGCTGTATCTGGAGCGCCGATGGCTTTCCGTGCTTCCAGTCCAGCTTCATCTCCTCCTTCTTCAAACCAGAGGCCACCTTTCTCTGGATCATGCTCTCCCTGGCCGACGTGGATCGCATTGAAAGATGAGAGTGCAGGGCCGTACAGGTGAGGCTCATCGGCATAGGCATCACCGTCCAAACCCGGATCGATCCACCATTTCACGATGCTCATGGCCGTGTTGAACCCGGGCGGCAGACGGTCCCTGATGGGGTGGTCAAAGTCGTTGCCAAACTGCAGGTCTGACGCTGAAATGCCATTTGAAGGTTGACTCTCGCCCGACTCGTCTGACGACGCGCCCGGCAACTGTCCCGATGGCTTCTTGGGGGTGAAGCGAAACCCGATGCTGTATTGATCCTTGTTGTAGTCGTGGGGTGGCTGCGCAAAGTACTGAGACGTAGTGGGAGAGTTCCGCGGCAAGCCTTTGTAGTTCTGGACTCGTACATTCAGTTCAATGTCCATCAGATCATTGCTGATCTTGACCAGGTCAGGCGAGTTGACGGGCACGATCTGGTGCTCGTCGACGTCGTAGTTTGAGCCGGCGGTCACCCGAATAACATACTTTTCAGCCATCTCCAAGGCTTGTGTCTCTCTGTTGCTTGGCTGGAGGCTACAGGACCCCTGTGTGATGGTGGAGTCAGCTGCGACAAGGCGAGAGCCGCAATGAGGGATCGACAGAGCGGTGTCTCGCGACCGGAATGACTGAGCAGGGCACGGCCAGATGAAAAGCACTTGACAGAGGCTCCTTTGAAAGCCGGAAAGCTGGGGCTCCTTTGTGTGAGTCGTCCGTTAGTCTATGCTTGCCGTAGCTCTTGCTGTGGTCCAGGGTTGAGCGCAAACAAGAGACTGGCGGTGAAGAAAGCTCTTTGGAAACTGGAGAATCGTGCCTTCGCGTAGCAGTATAAAGTCCAATGTCTATTGTAAAGACGTTAAGCAATCTAGTCGCAGCAGAATATAGTGCCGTAAGGATCTCGATTCCGTCGCAGCACGTGTGACATGGCCGGAGCAAAGCTCCTGCCGGCTGGATGACGTCGAGATGCGGGTAGAATAATTTTTCTGCACCACCAACCGACCCACCGCTAGCCAGTAGTTCAGTTGGGTCCTGACAGCTGACCTGACTGTCAACCTGGAACCTACTTATCTAGGTACAGCCTGTGATGAGGCCCCACTCTTTCATTCTATCTTTCATTCTACGCAAAGCCTCCCTATGTAGGTACCATAGTCCGAGTTGCAACCTGGGTGTACGAAGTACGTTAACTAGGGAGCTATGTGCATAGGTTCTCGCTTGTCCTCTATCCACTACAAGTAGGCATGGGTTATGAGCTTGCTTGCCGCTGTCCAGCTACTGCCCGAGTTCATATTGCTTGCGTGAGATTCAAGGGCCGACTACCAAGGCGCATCGCAGAGCACAACCCACGGGAACACAGCTGCTTGGTTATGTGCACTTTTGGCCCCTCTTAACCCCCGCGCTATACTCATTCAGGGAATATGTACAATTCTGCGTGTCCGAACGGTGACCTGCCACCAATGACTGCATACACGGCGCAGTAGAGCCTCGAAAGATGCGTGCTCTGTTAGCCCGCCAACAACTTAGGACCCCACTAGTTTGTCAATGTCTACCCTCTCAAAGAAGCTGATATGGCCAAACCCGACCCAGTACTGGGCTAATCGGTCGTTCGAGATAAGAATCAACTGGGATTCCATGAACTTGTCTACAGCTGCTGTCAGTAGACCGTCGCGCCACGCTGTGCAGTCATCAGACTTACCGTTGCGGAATCCCATGGCTGCGATATGGCCGCGAGACTTGACAACTCGGCAGCCATCAAACGGTGGGCCATCAGAGTTGCCTATAAATCCGCCTTCTCCCAAGTCCTCGGCGATAAAAGTGTGCTCACCGCGTGGCACGTTCGGGTCGCCCGTCAGCTTGATGGCCTCAAGGCGGCCCTTGTATACCTTTTCCCGAAGGAATCTCTTCTCATAGTCCTCGTCAGACTCGTCGTCACTACGCTCGAGTGGCTGGTCATCACCACTCTCCGAGTCTGGCTGATGCACCAACAGAAACTCGCACCCGTGGCCGCTGTAGTCACCCACCCAGATACCCCTGTACGGCCTCTCCTTGGTTGGAGTGTATAGGTAGGGATTCAGAGTCGAAAATGTAACAGTTTCCTCGCCCAGCCGAACTCCCATGACGGATCCGCCTGGCTCCATCCACCGTCTGACCTTGAATGCCTGATCCGATGCCTCCGACGGCGGCGGTGGTGTATAGTAATCCCCCGACGATATCGGCATCAAACGGTGGTTCGAGATAGGCAGAACACCCGGGGCCTCTCCCAGGACGCGATGGGAGGCTGGTACCGCTACAGGGGGCCACACGTATCCATACGGAAATCCTCCAGCCATACGACCGTTGGCTAGGACAGGAGGTAGTGGCCTAGCCAGGATCACCTCGCTGCAGCGGGGATCCGAGAAAAGAAGGTTGGCGTCGAAATTCAGCACAGGCTCTTGGAGTAGATGCTCCAACCCGCGAATAGTGTTGCCGAAGCTCAGTGATCTCATGTGTTTTCCTTTGCGAAACATCTGCCCCGTGGGCTTCAACTCGACCACAGGCTTGTCGCGATGCAGCTTGACCTTGGGCTCGAAGTGGTGAACGTGTACCTCTGCATCTGCGAGCCACGGTTCACTTCCATCCCTGGCACGAATAGCCAGAATCTGGTAGCCCTCGATGGCACCCCTTCGCTGATCATACTGCACGGCGATCATCTGACCGGTCAAACCCCGGTCATTAAACCATATTTTATGTTTGGGGATGAACCAGTGGGGGTCATGACACTCGTACAAGGCACGGAAGGTCTCGAAAGGGTACGGTGAGGTTATGGGATTCCCAGGGAGATTCGAGAGAACATGCCGTTTCCAGTGGAGGTCATTCTCAGCGTGGACTTTGAGATGCTTGCATACTAGCCTTATCCCCACAAGCTCCAGCGGCGATAAATGTGACAGAATCCCGTGAATAAGCTCTGATGGCAGGTCCAGAATGACGTGGGAATTGTCACGACTGACATTCCCAACCGTGGAGGTCCCTAGTCCTCTCGTTAGCAGGTTTGTTGAGGGGCTTGAGAGCTACAAAACAACATAGACCGAGCTGCAAAGTATGAACCGGGAGCTTTCGTACCCTCGCAATAGGATAGTCAGACTATGCCAGCTCCATGAGGGGGTTACGTGGCAGTGAAAAGAGAGCCAGTGTTACTTTCAGCTGGCAACGAAGCTTGCTAAGTGATATTGCTTCAAGCAAGGGGTAGAACGTGTGCTAGTTTTCGCTCGTCTTACACCCAGCGGACGATAAGCCTTATGTTATGGGGGCGCGAGAGTTCCCATCAGGAAAAATAAAGAAGGTCTGCGTACCGAGAGTATTGTGGTCTTTTGCTGCACCGTCTCCGACACGTCTGACAGCAGATGAAGGCTCTTGAATGATCGTTCTTGGCGTATCAATCTGGGGTAGTCGTGAGCGGCTTTGTACGACGTCATACATATGACACCGATCTGGCGAGCATGCCACGTCCATAACGTCCACACGTCCGTATCGCAAAATCGGGAGGGACAGAAGACGAGATTGTATTCACGTGCAGGGCCTCGGGAGTGCAAAAGAAGTTGCGGAAATGGATGTGGCGTTGGCTTGAGGTCGTGTCTTCGGGCCTTGCTTTAAGGTTATTTAGATTGGCTCGGAGAGTGTGGATAACCGATGCCGGGCGAAAAGGATACGACGTACCCACGAGCCAACAGCAAGCGCCCGCCCGGATGACAGGAGGATCAGAACGGCGAGTGACCCGGAAAGATGAAGGGAGCCTCGGCTGGCAGCTACTATGCTATGTCCACGCCTGTCTTGCCGTTGGCGAACAAAAGACTGCGCGCGCGCGAGATATTTGCTTGGGGAGCTGGGCAATGACATAAGACCGAGACGCTAGACCGCTGGAAACCTAAGTGAAAGGACATCGTAAGTGACGGATTAACTAGGTTGCTCACTACCACCAAGGGTCTTGAGATTGAACGCGTCCATCTCGGGCCCACCGACCGCAAATTTGCAGGTCCCAAGTTCGGCAGTTATATGATATCTCCCGCCCTGCGAGCATGCAATCGAAAGAAACCGCCGTTCGCGACGCTAGCGATGAATGGTTGCTGTTGAGAGCTTTAGTCTATCGGGCGTTGGCGATAGCTACCCGCCGGACCTAAAATAGCATCCACGAACAGGATGGATACGACTCCAGGCCGCGTTGCGAGGCATCGAGGCCTGGAGCACGGTTGCGAATAGTCAATGTAGCCACCTGCTATTGTAGGAGTAGCCGCGTAGGCTGCCGCGAGGTCGCCACGTGCGCTGTGAAATGATTGATCTAGGGCCCGCGTGCATTAATTTCTATCAAGTCTGATATATTGCGCTGCAGGAACGATATTGCTGCAAGGCGGCCGTTATCAGGGCTGTGGAGGCATGCCGGCCAGCCGGACAGCACCGTGCTGGCGGGAAGCTGGGCAGCCATTGCACAGTAGCATAGCATAAAGTAGCGGTGATTGGCGAGAGCGCTAGTGCATCGATCTCGCCGATTTTGACCTGCAAGGCCGTTGGATGTGTCTCTGCCTTCGTGCGATTGGGCGCTGCACATATTTGGCAAAGAATGGGAGTGTTAGATCGGGCCTACAAGCGCAGTGATCAACAGCTATGAGACAGTTCAAAGCCTCATACTAGTTGTCCCTCCGGAGGTGGTCAAGATCGATCACGGACGACTTATTTCCACCGCCCACGAGGTGCCGAGATACGTACAGCGGATGATAGGCCCTGCCGGGCCGGTCGTGGGGGACGACCGGAACCAAAAGACATGGACCCGGGGCCTTGTCGCCTACACGGTCCTTGGTCTCTGTAGGACTCTGAGGACGTGCAGAACGACGCCCGAGTGCAAAAGGACCCAAAGCTCGTTGTGTTATTTATAATGCACTCAAGCTTCGTTCGTCGGTAGGACTTAGCTTGCACAAGCACAACTTGCATGGAGGCCGCATCTTGCATGCATACCTAGGTAACTTAGCTAACTTCCGAAGGCATTCGTCATTAGGAAAGGGTTAGGGGGATGGTGCTCTGCCACCTGCAGGTCAGCTTGGTGGGACTTGGTTCCAGCTGTGCAAGACCGACCGTACTGGAGCGTGGCCCATTCCAGGTGCAAGGTTGGGTCTGCCCGCATATGCCACGACACGGAAAGACGTTGGGCTTGAGCAATCTTTGTCGCGGCCGCACGAACAATTGGAATTTCTGGAGATCGCATGATGATTGAGAAGCGTGTCGCTGACCGCCGAATGCGTCCCTGCAACCGCCTTGTGTGAGCCCTCTCCAAGGCCTGATCCACCTGCTGTGCCAGCTACTAGAGGCTTGAGCAAAGACCAATATGTCGTTCTTCTCTTTGATACCAGATATCCTGCCCATGATCTTACCGTCCGCGGTTCAGGTTACGCGAGCAACCGATCTGGAGGCCCAGAGGGCTGGTAACAGCTCTCCCATGATTCGGCAGGGAGCCGTCATTGGTAAGAGCGACAGGATGTGCGCTACGGGTAGGTCGGTCTGTTCCTTTTCCAGTCCTAACCTCATGAAAATACTTCTTAGACGTTTGCTGCAAACGCCAGGCCGTCTCGAGCCGGTCTCTGTCTTACCCATGGTTTCTGATACTAGAATAACCTCAAACAGTCCTGATAGCCAAACCACAATGTTCCTCTGCCGTACATCACCATGGAGAGCAAGGTGAGCCGAACAGAAGTACTGGCAGCATTCACAATCTAACCATTGAAGACACCATCATATATGCCGCATCCGGCCGCGGCATCCTCGTCACTAATCCAGGCAACGAAGAGGAACCCAAACTGAAGAGGCAGGAGCTCTCGCCCGGCGATTTCGCTTTCATTCCGCCATGGACAGAGCACCAGGAGGTCAATGACACCGACGAAGACGTTGTTTGGATTCTTATACGCAGCGGGCCAGAGCCGATAGTAGTCTACTTGACGGATTGGGGCGGTGACGAAGCAAAGGCAGAATAATTTAGAACTATGAAATGCCCCTTGTATCTCGTTCAATCCGGTCGTTACCAGACGTTGCTTCTGGGTATCATTCTATCGTAAAGTAAGTTGCTAAATCAACAAGCGTTGTAACAAGTCTTGATCCATGCCCGACGTTGGTACGCCATTTCACACTTTACAGTAGCGGCGTAGGACCTTGCAAATACGCTCCTGGTCCGCAGGTGTGTCGAAGGCCTGCGCATGGTCTAGGCCCGGGAACCAAAGAATCTCAATGCCATCTCCTGTTAAGAAATAATTGCTAGATCTGTCAGGTTCGGAGTGTCCCGTCTCATCTCCACCCCCGCCCCTGCCTGGGACCCAGCTCTCACCATCGGCAAGATACTGGGCTACTGTCATGGTATCAACGATGAGGTCGCGCTCAGACAAGCAGATCGCCAGAGCCCGCGTGGCTTGATTCTCTGGCGTGGCAGATCCCCGTGGCTCCCGTGACTCCTGCGCTGTGAGCTGCTGTGGCAGGGCTAGCAGCTCCTCTTTCCATATGACATTCTCGTTCCAGAAAAAGTGACGGCCCAGGGCATGTGCAACTCCAGGATCCATGCTGGCAAAGTACCACAGCTGCCATTCGTTTGCTCGCCGTGGCTTCCGCCTTGTGAAATTGTAGGCCACGTCGGGCTGGTGCAGCATGATGCTGACAGGATCCACGAGAACTGCGGCCTTGATTCGAGGTCCGAATTCGGGCGAGCGAACCATATGAGATGCAAGGACACTTCCATACGAGTGTGTCGCCAGCACAAAGTCGCCCCATCCGTGGCTCTCTAGGATTATACCGAGTTGGCGCAAGAACTCTAATTTCGTCAAGGGAGAGCTGGTCAAGCGAAAGGATATCGGAAGTAGCTCCACGGCAATTATCCCAATCTGGCCGCCGTCATCCGAGGACCCATTTAGTTGCGAAAGAAAAGGGCCATACGTCCATAAGCCGATGCCGATACCATGGACAAAGACTACCGGAAGTTTGTCGGTGGCTGTGTGTGGGCGATGCCAGTAACTAAGCTCGGCTGACTTCGACCGCCGCCGAGCGAAGAGAGTCTGCACTCGGAGAGGAATGACGGAGAGGAACTTCGCCTTTGGCTGTGCATAATACTGAAACCCGTTCCAAAGAAACTGACAGTGCGTTATGAAGTCCACCAAACCTATGAGAATGAACCAAATGAAGCTCCTGTACCGGGTTTCGACAGGATCGAATGTAAGTCGAAAGCTCGGGGTATTACCCCGTCCAGGCTCCAACTTCATGCCACGTTTCTCCTCGATGGCGTCGACATACCGGTCCACCTCCCGCAAGTCTTCAAAAGCCGCGCTGTCTGGTGTGCGGTCGAAAAACGCCCACAGGATGAAGTCGCGAACGTTATCCCGCTGGATATCATTCTGGTCTGCGCCTAGGAACCATAGGCGCAAGTAGCGGTCGAAGTTCGGGACATGGTCAAGGGTCTTCACGAAGAGGGACCACCTTTGCTCTGAAGACAATGGCGGTGGGTGCCTTGCCTCATCCCTAAGTCGCCTATTGTAAGGAATCCAGACAAAAAGGGCATACAGAATGTCAACCACGGAGTAGGCAATGAGGCCGCCGCTGATTGGCCACGCCAACACCGGAGGCCCCCCCGCGATGAGCAGCACAGTGAGACCAAGAATGCATAGCGGCGTGGTGTATTGAAGAAGGAAGATGCATGCGCGGATGAAAATGTATTCGTAAAAAGAGTCCCCTATCATGTTGGGAGGATATTATCGCGAGTCGCGATACACATCCCAGCACTGGGACACGGTATGATCGGCTTGTAGCAGGCTTAAGTGCCTGTGAGGTTGCGATTCTTGTTGTCAGTTCGCACTTCGACCAAGTGAGGGACAGGTAAAAAGAAGGAACGAGCAAGCATGTGAATGTTGAGACACAGGCCGTTGTAGAAGGATTCCAGAGACGTATCAATTCTTTTCCACGTGAAGACAACAGAGCACTGGCACCCGCTTTTGGCGATGACGTGGGGTCGGCACTGGCAATGGTCCGCTTGTGCATCACGCGCCAACGAAACGCTGACGTCTCAACAAATCGCATCCTCAACGATAACATCCATGGTGAAAGCCATAATGATCGCAGGCAACATTGGAATGGTGGAATTTGCGCTTGATTCAGTTCTTTGCGCTACTTTTCATCGTGGCACCTATATTTCATTCACACTACGCACGGAACCGCCTACGTGTTCTGTGAGACGCCTGAAACATACCTACAGTGCTTACAAGTACGTATTCCTAGTTTCACCCAAGGGATACACGGTCGTTTCTGTATAATGGAGCTGACTTGTGCGATATCTCTGATTTCACAGGAAGAGGTTGAGCATACCGGCGCCTGTGCTGTAAAGCACAGTTCTCGCGCACGCGTCGAGCGCATACCATACGTATTTAGACTGCTGCAGCGAGTAGTTCGACAATAGCAGTAATACGATCGATGTAGGTGAAGTGTGTCGCTCATTCGAATGTGTTTTGACTTGGCCTGTGCATGACTATCTATACTTCCCAGCATTGCGCTATGTGCCGCATACCGTTGGCAATGGCTCCTAGTCTTTCGCGATCCTGAACGCCACTGTATATGCTGGTTCAGCCTATAAGCAAAAGCCCCAACTCCCAAGCGCCCAGTTTCCATCTCCCCACGATTTACTGCTCGCGCCGTAAATGCTCTATTCTCATTAAATCATGGAGCCCCTAAGAGTAGGCGGTCATCCGGCGGCGGGACCTCCACCACTCGCAACCACGGCGAGTAACGCCTCTATTTTCTTGATGAGGTCGGTGATGCGGAATGGCTTCGAGACGACATCATCCATGCCACTTCGTTTCGCAACGGCAATCTGCTCATCGCGGACGTTGGCAGTGACAGCGATAACCGGCACGTGTCCGCTGATCTCACCGGTTCCCTCCATCTTTCGTATCTCGCGGACGCAGGTCAACCCATCCATATTCGGCATCTCCAGGTCCATCAGAATGACAGACAATCGCTTGCCTCCTACCTTCCGGAAATCGGTCTCATCCAAGAAGGCGAGTGCTTCAATGCCATCATTGGCTGCGTTGACACCAACGCCCTGCTTTTTTAGTTGTTTGACCAGAACTGTCTGGTTTACAAGATTGTCTTCTACCACCAGGACCTCTAGGTTCCGTGGGTCAAAGTTGGGCGGGACCTTGGCTGCAACAAGATCTGCCAGGAGACTCGGCGAGGCCAGATCTTGACGCTGTGGCGTTATCGCCTGGTTGAGAACCTCGGTCTGACCAACCAACTCGCGCTCGAGAGTAGTCACATTAGCTGATGGATCAGAAGAGGAGGGCGATGCCTTCCGCGCGGCTATAAAAAAGCCAAAGCAGCTCCCTACGCCCGCTTGCGAGGCAACACCTATCTGTCCACCATGTAACTCTGCCAGCTGACGCGAGATAAAGAGGCCGAGGCCACTGCCACCATATTGCGCGTGTGTCCGTGGCGATGCCTGAGAGAAACGTTTGAAGAGGACATTCATCTCCTCTGGAGTGAGGCCGCAACCAGTATCTTGAACCTTGAATCGAAGATGCACTACATCCCCGGAGCCCCATTCGTCGCCAGCGACCACATTCGGATTCACAGATCTGGGTGTGATGTACTGAAAATCGGGCGTGTTTGTACTGAGGGGAGGGTGGTATGACACGCCGACCGACACGGTTATTACTCGCTTCGTGGCGGCAGCTGTGAATTTGATAGCGTTGGTGATGAGGTTAATCAAAATCTGGAGGACTCTGCTGGGGTCGAATGAAGTCCAGTCCACTGAAATCTCCTGAAATGAGGTATGCGCTTCATAGACCATCTCGATATCCTTGGCTTGTAGCTCCGGTTCAAACATCTTTACCGCCCGCCTCACGACCTCAATAGGCTGCGCCACAACCGGCGTTATTACTAGGAGGTTAGAATCGAGTTTCGAGACCGTGAGAATATCATCTACAATCGATTTCTGATGTTGCACACATATAGAGATCGTGTGTGCGGCATCTAGACAGCTGTCAACATCTTCAGACGATGGCGGGCTGCCTTGAGCGCGGTGACTGCTGAGCGTCGACAGAATATCGTCTGCGCATTGCAGAATCGCGCTCAAGGGGTTCCTCATCTCGTGCGAGGTGATGTCAATAAATTCATTCTGTTGGCGCCTAGTTTCTTCCGCTTCCTGTAGCCTGCGGTTCTGCAGGCCCTGGGCCCATTTGAGGTGCGATATATCGGTGATAGAGCCCATGATCGAACGCACGGAGCCATCGGCAGCAAATTCAGGCTGAGCATTCACTAGAACCCAGTACTGAATATCATCACCATTCAGATCGACTGGCTTGACAAGCAGCCTCTTGAGTTCAAGCTCGCCGCTCCATGGCTGGTGATCCACAACCATTCTACTCCAACCGTCTTCCATGGTCACCTTGCTTCCCTCTTCAATCTGCTCCATGAATGACATTTCATACGACGACACTCTGGAATGACCTGTCATCTCGTAATATCGGTCGTTCCCTTCACGTAAAACGCCTTCGGGATCGACAAGGAACATCCCCAGTGGAGACAGTTCGGTCATCCGCCTCAGACGGTTAGTCTGCAACGCGAGTTGCTGGGAAAGATGTTCAGATTTGATGGCTGCTGCCTCGGCAGCGTCCCTGCTCCGGCGGACTTCATCTTCGTAAAGCATGAATGATGCGAGAGAAGTTGCCAGCTGTCGGTGGAGCATATTCGCAAATGCTTTGTATCCATCGTCATAGGGTCGGCGGGGGTTAACTCCAAGCACGAGGAACGCGAGAACAGACTCGCCGTTGGTTGGCCGCACAGGAAATATGACAGCCTTATCACATGGGTCGCCGAAGCCCCGCCATTCGACGCCGTCAAGAAGTTCTTCCGGGAGGGTCCCGTCCCTGGTATGCAGGAGGGTAGGCTCTCGAGTTCGCATGGCTTCTCGAAAGGCCGGGATAAAGCCCTCCCGGCTACGCTTCAAATCTAGTTGCTGCGGTGCGGCTTCGTGGCCCGCGGGAATACCGAGCGCCCCTTCGAAGTAGCAGCACTTCATTGAGATTGTGCTCCCAGAAGACGTGGATGACTGGTCGTTATCTTCGCCTTCACCTACAGAATAAAGTAAAGCAAAGGGCACATCGTAATGATTGTCCTCGAGGGCTTCTAGCAGCAAGTTCCAGAACTGCTTCACACTCCTGGCGCGAGACATGTAGACACCGACCTTGCTGATCGTTTGCATCCGACGTTCGCGCAGCACTGCCTGGGTGGTCTCGAAGGGTGCGTTGTAGAAACCAAGGATGCGCTTGGTCCCTCCGTACAGCGGTGTCCACGACCACGAGTAGAAGGTCTCCTCGAGGAAGCCGTGGCGGTGGATTGGTAGATAATCATCATCCTTTCGAATGCTAATACCCGTGCGCGCACATTCCGCGAACAGCTCGACAACCCCGTCCCAGAGCTCCGAAAAGGGGCCAGAGAACCCGGTGCCCATGAGATTTGGATGCTTATGGCCAGCCACCTCGGCGGCATATGCCTCATTGTACAGCATGGTGAGATCTGGGCCCCAGAACAAAGCAGCGGGGAAAGGATTCAGCATGACCAGGTTAACAACCTGGCGAAATTCCGGCGACCACTCCTCCATGGGCCCCAACGGGGTTGTTTCCCAGTGAACTGTCCTGGCAAAGGCAATATGGTCCGACATGGTTCCTTTGGGATGCCGGACTGTCCAATCAGGGCATGCCTTTTCTGGCGCTGCGAGCACCAGCCTCCTGGTTTGGGACGAGTCGCCCGTGCTGCTGGAGTTGGTAGCCTCAGCCGCGGGCAGGTGCTGTTGCGGCTGCGGCTTTGACGAAGCCACGGTGGTCATGGCTGTGTTGCTTGCGCTCTCGTGGGTCGGAGCCACCGACGCCTTGACCACTGATGACTTCTCGGATGGCGGGAGCGACTTTTGCGCCGTTGAGGCAACAGACAGCTCGCGCGCCGAGATGCCGGGGTTCCACAGGTTGCCGCTGACCAGCCTCCATCGCCTCCGCACTGTCGCGCCGGTCCAGAGCATATCAGCGTACAGGAAAGACAAAGGGAAGACATCCTTGGAGTCGTCATGCTGGGTGACGCCCGTGGCCCAAGATTTGAAGTCGTCGTAGGAGCAGCCGGTATGGGGCTCCGGTTCGTTCCCAGCGGCTCCTATGATGACATCCAACAAGCGCTCATGGAGCCGCAGGGCCGAGTTGCAAAATATGGGCGTTATCCTGACAGTGTTCGTGACGACCTCTTCGTCTGGGTCCAGGTCGATGACAAAGGTAGGGCGCGAGTCCGAGTCGAGGATCTCGGCCACGTCAAGCGCGTTGAACTCGCGCATTACGAGGCCGTCCTGGTCCACGTCCATGGGCCCGCCGCCGTCGCCGCCGTGGGAAGCGAAGGCCTCCGCAGCAGCATGAGGCTCCGTCATGGTAGGGTCTCGCGAGGCTGGAAGCGAGGTGAATGCATCGAGAGACAGCTCCTAAGGTCACATATCCCCCCGCCACGCCCAGATTCCTCGGGGTGACCTCTGAAGGCTGACTACGGTGTTGCGTGCAAATAGTCCTGAGAGCTGTCGAGCGTCAAGTCAAGGGAGTCAGGCGAGGCCAAAACCAGGCCTGGGAATGGTCGATCGTGTGTGAATCGTATCTGGAGTGCAGATCGGCCCCGGACCTGCCAAGCGCCCTACAGTAGCTAGACGTCGCTGGTGCCCATGCCGTGCTCTTGTTCCTTCTTCTGGGACACTGCCAATCCGGGATCTGTCCACCTGGCTGGTGCATACAGTGGCGGGGGGTCGTCCAGGGGGCCAGGCTAACTTTGCCTTGGCTTCCACTGCCTTGGGTAACTTGGCGGCAGCGAATGCCCGCACGTGGGGCCGCAGCGCCTACCATAGTACACCCTGACCCTGCCTGATTGCCTGACACCCTCACCTACATTCAACCTGGAACCTAGCCAGCCGGCAGGTGTCGTCATCCCCAATTTTGAAGTCCCTTCTGGACCGGCTTCAGCCCTCGTTTAGTGCTAGGGTAAGTTCCGTGATGAAGTTGTCTGATGTGGCCCCGGCCCCCTACTACCGGTATGTATAGCTGCGTCAGCCCTGGCTCTGGCCCTCTCCATGTGCATTGTGAGGTTCTAGTTCTCCGAAGGAATACAGCGACGTGTCTATGTAAGTAACATAGGGGATCAATCAGAGACCAGCCTGACTCCTTATTTCACGGGGTTGTACCCGACACCGCCCACTGACTGCCACCACAGGCTCAACTACGCTAAAAGATGGATCCGGCAGAGCCCGCCGTCCTCACGCTAGCACGACACATTTCTATCACGTGGGCTATTAAACCCAAAGGCGGCCCTGGTTGCCAAAATGCACAGGTCCACGGTGATCTAGATATACGTTGAGATGCTGGGAAAATGAAGCTGATTAGGCCACCTCCCTCCTGCTTGCACTTCGATGAGAGGAAAGACCATGCGTGATTAGGGTGACACACGCGGGCCCGTACATATAGAACAGTACGTAGGTGACTTTGCCGGTCATGTCGCTATAACCATCGTCCACTTTGCAATAGTCAGATGAACGCATAGAGCGACGAGGACATCTGCCGAGCTAGTGGCGCTCTATGAGTTGAATTGCATGACGGATTGCGCAAGACGGTGTGCTTCCAGGTAGATAGATGGCCGAGCAGTTCATTCACTGAGTAGAGGAACAATCGAAAGTCACCGCCGCAAGCATTGATAGCAGTATTTATCAGTGAATTGCTCGCTACTCGGTTATCACGATACGGAATAGGACATGTCAGTCGGTATTCGTCGCCTTCCTCACTCTGTATCCATACCTGGGAACTTCGAGGCTCTTCTTTTCACCTTACCAGCCAGTTAACTGCTCTTAGCTTTCTTGCTCTCTCGACTTTATCCCTAGGTCTAGATCAGGTCATCCATTGCAACATCGCCGGATTTCATAAACTACTTTACGATAACATAAGACAATCGTCGCAAACCCGACAAGATTGTAACCCTCATCGTGAATAGTTTTTATGGCTTCACTCTTAGGAAAAGTGCAAGCGACGAGCCTCACTGCTGCTAAGGTTAGCCACTCCCGGGCCATCAGCACCCTACAACATCGTCACGACTTACGAGAGTATCTTGCGCGAAGGAAGCTCATACTTCCCACATTTTCTTGTTTGACCAAGACAAAATTAACCTTTGCACCAACATAGGGAAAGGGTAACAAGGCTTTATTGAGCAGTCAAAGGGTAAGTCATCCCCTTCCTGTCACCGAGCGAGTGCGCATGGCCTGGCGTTGTTGTGAGTACCTCCGGTCTACAAAAGACTGAGAAGCGAGTATAAGACTATTGCAACGGGTGCTTACGTCACTGAAATGGGCCTGGCATTCATCTAGAGGGCTTTATAAAGTGGACTGACTTCAAGATGTTGAATAGACATAGTACCATGAAGCCCTAGTTCTTCCTTCTGTCCCCGTCGGACTCATGACAGCATTTCCTGCCCCTTCCAAAGGAACCCGGTCGCTCTGAGACGCTGATTGTGATCCGGCAGTGAATAACTGGAATACCGTATTGAAACAAAACGAGATCATCAAAAAGCCCGACCTCTCATCCACGCGGATTGTCGTCACCGCTTGAACGGGGTGGCAGCTCCCTGTGCCACTTTGCATTCTGCAAAACGCGAAGCAAGACAGCCTGTCTCCCAGTAGCCGGCTGTGGACTGTTCGCACTCGTCGTAATGAACTATTTCTACTACAATCACACAAGCTCCATGCAACAAGGCCGCAAATATGATTCGGACCCGTTCAAAAACGTGTGAAGGCACGTCGTTGTTGTCTGCTGGGAAAACGGCGTGCGACACAAATACGCATCCTCTGGATGAATACCTTCAAGACCTGCTCGCCAAAGAGCAACAAAGCGACGACAGCAATGACGGCGAGGACGGCGAGGACGGCGAGCACAGTGACTACCGCGAGGATAGTGAGGACGGCCTGGAAGGGTGCCATAAGAAACTGTATTTGCTCCTCAACGGGCCCCTCAGCGAGGGTCGTTATGAGCGAGCTCTACGAGTTCACAACCAGATAGGACAGCATCACCGAGCCCCGGCCGAACTGGCCAATTCCACGCCGTATGGGCAGATTCGCAGCCGCAGTTGCAGGACCCACCGGCACAAACTCCCGTTCGTGATCAGATTCGCTTTGGGGGATCACCTTCTGCCTCACAACTTCACTCGCAGCCTGGGGCGACCAACAAATCTTGCCACCCTCCTACAGCAGGAAATCTCCATCCTCGAGGACTGTACAACACCGAAGTGAGACACCAGCAACAACTACGCGAATCTGCCGCAGACTTGGTTTCTGGATCTCACCACTTGCCAAGCCAACCCGGCATCAACGCGCTGTCCAGTAAGTACGCCCTTGTCCCGGAACGGTACCGTGAGCCTCAATTCTGAAAACGCGCCAGATCTCCCACCTAGTACCGATCACACCGCTCTCGCCCCACGCTTCCTCGATGAGCAACATGAACAACAAAATGGCCTCCCCAGCCAAGCAGGATGGCTCGCAGCTTGGGGAAAACGCACGTGGCCCTCGCGCGAGAAAAGACACGGCGAAGAGTGCAGGCAGACTGCGAAAGACTCCCAGACATCAGAAGAATCCTGCAATCTTGGAGTCTCCAACGCGCCACGACCTGATGAACCAACAATTTCCAAGTATTGGTTCACAGGCAGGTCAGAACTTGACACCTACGCTCGGCACACACAACGCCATGGAGAGTATGTTCGCCCAGCCATAGAACGGCGGCGCAACCTCCTCGATCCCAACGCTGAATTTTAATGCCGACCAGCGCTTCAAGCCGGCTCACTCAGGAGTCGATGCCAGCTCACCTTCCACCGCAGCGACAAAGGCAACCAAGGCCACGAAGGCTACAAAGGGAATAAAGCCAGCGACGATCAAGCGCCCCGCTGTTGGCCGAGGCCGAGGCCGTGGCCGTGCTAAAGCATCCGCTCGAACGAAGGCAGAGTCTGATATCTCTGACGAGAGCCAACCTTCACCCAAGATGCCCACCACAGGCGCATCAACCCCTGCGCCATCGAATGCCCTGAACGCTAACTCGCAGTTTGCGTTTGGTATGCACCCTATGCAAATGCGATCGCAGTACGACCTCTCAACGTACAGCCGCGCTAATGATATCATGCCCGGCCAGAGCAATGCCTTCGGCCACGGACCTTTGGCTAATGGCACATTTCAACAGCCTGCATTCCAGAATACCTTCCAAAACGCCCAGCCTACGTTCCAGAATGGCCAGGCACAGTTCCAGCATGGCGGCGGCATTCCGAACTTCTCTTTCGGCTTCAACGGTATGCCGGGTGCACAACAGGCGAACATCTTTACCGGCATCAATCCTGGCGTTCAAGATATGAGTGGCAACCATATGGCAACGCTTCCCAATACGTTCATGAGTGGTGCTCTCCCGACATTCAACGGCGTGCCTAGGGTGAACAACTCTAGCATGAAGCCTGTTGCTCCTCCGCTGGACCTGAACAACTATGCGTTTGCTCAAATGGACAATGACATGGACGTTGGCATGGACGGCAGTCTCATTGGTCGTGCCCCTCTTTGGAAGCCTCCGATGCCTCAGCAACCGATTATCCTGGATGATGGTTCGGTTTTCAACCCCTACGATCACCGTGATGCCATACTGAGAGTTTTACACGATTTCCTAGGTCACGCTGGCAACCCTCCCTATCTTCGACTTGACCCAACGGGTCTGAGCCTTGACCAGATGCATGAGCGTCAGCAGAAGATAGCCATGGTCTGGCAGACAATATGTGGCGATCTGCTCATAGCCCAGGGACTCAAGTCTGTTGACTTTGTCATGGTGCGCAAGCACCTCGCGCACCCACAGACAGAAGGTGAAGAAGCCAATAGTTTCGACGCTACTTGGAAACCCTGCCCCAGCACGCCTGCTGGCTGGGCATTTGTCAAGCTGGACGGCAATATCTATGACCATTCAGGCAAAACCCTCATCGACATGCAAGCCATTTTCGAGCAGAACTTGCAACTCTACGGGGGCAATCTCGAGGCTATGCTGGCTAACGCAGTTATCAGCAACGATGCTCAATGGGAGAACCTGGATGAAGAAATGGTCGATCCTAACCTTTTGAAGCGTGAGCCTTCTGGTAGTAGCTCTGAATCATCCTGAGCATTCGCCCTGTTGCACGGTGATGAGCCTTTTGTTTGATACTATGCTGAGTGGCAAGTACTCATTCAGAAAAGACATGTTATCAGCTGAGCGTCGCATATATTAGCACATCGTCTCAGGGATAGGCTCCAACCTGAATACTCACACCTGACCTTTGTCGGATGTCGAATTCTTCTCGAGGTTTGCCGTCCTGCCCTCGACTCTTTGAAGATTAAATATAATCTGACACACAGAAAGATGATCAGGACCTTTCGAGCGCGATCCAGTCCGGACTTTTTGAGACGGAAAGAAAATAGGAAGGAGGTGAAAAAAGTTGCATTGATTTACAGACGAAGGGACAACAGCGGTCATGGAAGTTATCGACATCGGACTCCATCGTCGCACATTTCAGCAAAAAGACTTCCATGGTCTCGAATGATCTTGGAGGTTGCGGTGGTTAAGGCATGATCTTCCGTGACCGTGAAGTTGTTGCGAAGCGCAATCTCTTAGATAATTTCCGGCCACGCCTACACGATAGAGACCAGGAAACACCACAACAAACTTGGCTTTTCAGGCTTTCAGGGGATATTTCGGCACCAGGAAACGCTGCGGAAAAGGACATTGATAGGTCTTCTGACATGGTTTCAGTTTTAAACTTGCTAGTTGCTATAATGAACCATGATGACAACACAAGGATTGAAACCTACCGTAATCAAGGTGATTTACTAACACATCTAGCTATGCGATACCTGAAGGGCACTCGCTCCATTCTCTTTGGTCTTGATCAGCTTCACCCTCAAGTCGGGTAATAAATTCAGTTACTGGCAGCTCCCGGGAGTCGTCTCCTACTTCCGCGAGCCACGTATATACTTCAAAGAGCTGCGTGAGGGTACCGACGGGGTAAACGGTATCTAGCGTCGAATTCGAACTGCTGCTAGTCAGCGCCGCGTCGCTTTCACCATCGGTGATCGGCCGGCCGAAGAGACCTGTGAATGTCTCTGCTACTGATTTTATTGTGCTGGAGTCTCTGTTTAGGGTTGGTACCAGATAGTGAGCTCAAGGAGTGGGCAAGGCTAGTATGTTCGGGAATTGACCACAGCCGCCATTGCCAACATGCTGACGACAATCTCCAAATGGAAGATAATGAGGATGAACGGTAGTGCTTAGAATTGTGATCAGTTGATAAGATATGAATTATTTTGCGACGAGCTAATAATGTACCTGATTCATGGCCTCAATTTGGGAGAAGGACCGATCTGTATCAAGACAGCTCTACTAGGGACACTGATTAAGTGTTTGTATACTCTATAGACATTCCCGCAAACCTAGCCTCGAAGAACTCTACTGATTGGCTGAGCTACAAAGATTTGCACAGGAGAGCGGGCTCGACCGGAGCTCCGTGGGAAACTGTAAACTACAGTCCTGGAAAAGTGGATATCGGCGAGGCACAGCGAGCACACATCAGGCCTCTCTTGCGCGTATCATTTGTTTCTAGGCAGAATCCTGAACCGTACTTCGTCGACATATTTTTCTTTGTAGTGGCTGCTTGTATTGATGCACTCTAATTGGAGTAATGTCATTATTTACTGTACATTCCATTATTGCCTTAAAGTTAATCAGACACTACATACGGAGTGGGATATTTGTATGCTGCTACTTTGACGAATTGACTGACCTGACACTGATGCAGCAGCTCTGCGAGATATTAAGTAGTCTCGACAGAGATATTTCTCAGTCACCCCGAATTCTTGAGAGAGATATCCAGTCTGCGTTTACCCAAGACTACCTCTGCCCATACAGAGGCTTCTCAGCCCCGATGGGACGTTCGAATCCCGGATCCCCCTTCTCCGTTGCGGTCTGGAAACCCACTCGCTCACTGACTCTCTTTAAATAAGCTACGATTGCGGGGTATGCCTCCAGGCTGTAGGGGTAGAATACCCTCATTGTTGTCAAAGAGCAGACGTTCATGATGTCTGCCGCCGTGAACTCGGCTCCCGCAAGCCAGGGATGCTTGCCAACGCGATCCTCAAGGATCTGCAGAGATTGCTCGAAACCTCGCTTTGTGAACTTGGCGGCAAGATCATCTGATGAGGCTCCAGACCTCATGACAGGGCCATATCGCAAAAGGGCTGGTTGAAAATATCCGTTTGCAAAATGAAGGAAATACAGGTAGTCTGCATAGTCGCTGGAGGTTGGGGGTAGCGCCAGCTTCCCCCCGCCGTACTTGGTCAGTATGTATTCCACAATTGCGCCGGATTCAGCAAGTGTGATATTCCCATCTTGGATAACAGGCGCCGCCTTTGTTGGGTGCCTATGTGATCGTTAGTCCGAAATGCCCTACCGATGCCGGCTCCAGCGTGCTGGCTTACAATGCTTGTAATTCTGGGGGACACATCATTGTTTTTGGGTGCCTCTGGTAGATTTTCAGCTCATACTGGATCTCAAGCTCTTCACACAGCCAAACTATGCGTTCGGATTGTGACCTTTGCAAGTGGTGGACTATAAGCATGGCTTCGAGGTTAGGGATAATCGTCTGACCAACACAATGTAGCAGGGAAAGAAGAATGGGCGTGTGCTCATATTCTCTAGTTCCAAATTCAATAGTCCTCTCTCTGCATGGGAGTACTTCTATTCACCTTTATGTATAATGTTAGGAACTTGTGCTTTGAGATTGGTCTCCTACACGGACTTAGGCTTATGTCCTTGTTAAGCCAATACATCATAAGTCCCGCCATTGTGACTCAGTGGAAGCGAAATTTGCCCCAGCTAAATAGTGGATCGCCAACCACGTTAAGGTGTCTTTCCAGCTCAACCCGAGCAATCCCTGCACTGTTATGCATGCTTACTATGTCAGATTAAGTTGACCAATTGTTGGCTCCGGATGAGTTAGTACTTACTTTCGAACGGTGAATCATTCTGTGGAAACATAACCCGCATATACGTCCTGGGAATCATCCGCGCTCTGTTCTGACGCTCTTTGTTCCTTAACGTCGAACATGAGCATGGTGCATAGCTGGCCTTGTACTTTCCCACTTAAGGCGCCAACCGCGAAATGTACCTGTTTTCTCGATCTGGCTGCGGTAGTTAGGTCACTGCTTTCAGTCGCTCTATGCCTTGTAATAAATTTATGGCTATTGGAGGGTCAAATTTCTTTCCGGCGTGTGATGGACTCAAACGGCATCAATGTATATCGCCGTACCTCGGCGCGAACCGCGGGCACTGGAGGCGCAGCCTCTACGGCTGCTGCTGAAGACGTGGCGGAGACAGGCGTTGACTAGGCCTCATGGCAAATACGCCCGTCGCTGATGATGACATGTCCGAAAAGGGGTCGTCGGGGTTCTGCAGCGCCACTTCGCTGATTCGTGCCGCGGTATAGGCTAGCACATCGCCGGTCCTTCTCTTCCTTCTCGTCCTATCCTCCAGCCGACCCTGCCAGTGCAGAACCTTGTGCAGAACCTCGTGCGGTGTCATCCTCATGTGCTTTTCCAGGTTATGGGCGACGCTCCTCGGGCCTCTCCACGTCGTCTCTCGCGGGAAAGCGTTCGCCTTTTGGGAAACCTTCTTTGCCTAACAAGAAATGGCCGTTCCCCGGAAACGCAGGTTCGCTGGCCTGGTCCTTCATGGCGTATTGCCTATAAGTCCAATAGAGTATGTCTGTTGGTCAAATGTCGCCTGTCCGTAAGTCAAATGGTGTAAGGACCTATGCTTATCGATTGTGAATTACTATATTGTGACTTGAGGTAACACTGCACTTGGGTTAGCCTACTGCAGGTTTGCCCTTCGCCGGCATATCTTCGACAAGCTAGGCGAAGAATGCGGCCTCTGTTCTATTAACACGAGTCCACCATATCACAGCACGTGTTGACGTCTGGTAGTACCGTTGAAACTCAGAAGATTCGCACGCCTGGCCACGGATCAACACCACAATATGTCCAATCAAATGGGGAGAACTTCTCACTGTCCCTAAAATGGTCTCTCTTTTCCTTCTTATTACCAGCCTTCCCATGCAAGTAATTACTGGCCAGTGCGTTTTGCTTCTATACATGGGAGCTAGTCCGTGTCCAGGTGTGCGAATCTTCTTAGTTTCAACGGTCATGCATTGAACATGGCTATACGTATCCAAGTCCATATATCTCCCACAAGCGCAGGTTGGCCATGCGCGCGCGAGTTTCAACTAGATGTAGTCCTGAAACCAAAACTCGACCAAGCAACACGAATGGATGCGTCGGCGCGGAAATTGGAAGCCGGCTGACTCTATTTCAGGCGCACCCCCTCCCTGCCCGAAAGCTCTCCGTTTCAGAACTAGTTGCAGCAACTTGCACAGATCACGAGTAAGAACGGGGACATGACTATGCACATTTTCGATGAAGAATGTAAATCTATGTAAACAGTAAAGGGAAATAGGCACTGCCCTGCGCTGCTAGTATAGTCCCTCCAACCCAGCTGGTATCTTAACATTGACCGTACACCTGCTCCTTTCTTGATCCCCTAACCAACCCGGCAAGAAGTCTCTAATCCGAGCGACGGGCGAACCGCAGACCGCGCTTGTTGTTGTTATTGTTAGCAGCGTTGTTGTTGTTGTTGCCGTTGGCATTGCCATTGTTGTTGCCGTTGTTCTTGTTGCCCTTGCTCTTCCTGCCCGATGCGGTCGTGGTGGCTGCAGCCGCGGCCGAGCTGGTCGACGCGGCGGCATCTGCCGCCGTTGTGGCAGCAGTGGCGGTAGCGACGGCGTTGTTCTCAACAGTGGGAGTCAGGGTAGGGAAGGTACCACTGGCAATGCTGATTCCCAGGATCTTGTTGACGTTCTCAGCGTTGGCGAGGGCATCGGCGGTACCGGCATTCTGGTTCGCCTCAATAGCGACAGCCAGGTCCTTCTGATCTACCGCAACCTGAGCTGCGACAGCCTTGAGGTTCGAAGCAGTCGGAATGTTGGCCGGCGTGTTCACGCTGGCAACGGTGTCGACCTGCTGGACCGGGAAACAGCCACCGAAGGGGCCGGCCTGGGCATTGTTACGGCAACGCACGGTACAGACATTGCCGAGGGAAGCTATCGCAGCAGATTAGCAAGGTTGTCAATCCGACGGGCTGGTATTGGAGGGTTCACTAACATCCGGTGCAGGCAGGGAAGGTGTCGGGCATGATGACGGTGACGTTGAAATCCTGGGCCTTGGCTTGCGAGAAACCGTTGACACCCGGAACATTGTTCTCCACGGAGAGGTTGGCGGTGATGATGCCATTGTTACCAGCTGAGACGAGGTCACAGGCGTAAGGACCAGCTCCATCAGCGTTGACCTGGTGGATGGTGACCGTCATACGAGTGCCGGCCTTGACTTGGGTTACGGCATTTGCAGCAATTGCATTCTCCGTGTTCTCGCCGATGTCGATGTTTCCAGTCAATTCTGTCCTTCCACACTCGTTGACAATATTTGCTGCGATCTCGGCATCGCGGATGAGTGTGGCATCTTGCTGACAGGGGTTGATGGTGGTGCAGTTCCTGGCAAGGGCCTGGTCGACTGTGTAATAAGGCGGTCAGCGGCGAAAGCCACCAGCAAAGTATGGCCTGTCTTGTACTTACCCTGGAAGCCTATACTGGTTGGCGAGCCGGCTTCACCCACAGCGGCCAGAATAACACCGTGAGCCCTGGCAAGAGCCACGAGGGCGGCGTACGACAAGAGGTAGGAAGGGGACAACATGGTGTAGGCGTGGAAGACGAGTGAGCACCTGGCTTCTGAAGGGAAAAGAAGGACTGTAGCTAGAAAGCAGGACAGAGGACGAAGCGAACTAAGAACAAAGATCCACAGGATCGTGATGTAAGAAACGAACTGACAGATAAGAGAGAATCCGGCCTGCTAAGGAATACAACTAGACTTGGTGAAGAAAAGCAGGCATCACTGACTATATACAGCCCACCAGAAGGTTCGGCCTTGGACACGCGAGACGACAACCCATACTCGTGCCCCTGTCGTGGGAGACTCGAGATGAAAGGGCGAATACGACTTGGGAAGACATCACGAAGCCATCTCCAACAGTTGCCGTCGCAAGCTTGTGGGCTCGATGGAGCAAACGTACGTTTAAACCAAGCATAAAAGGAGCTGGGCGAATGGGGGATCAAGGACTGCCATGCCCTGTTCAGAACCAGGTTCAGCATCGTAGGGGGGGTTACTCCACCAAGAGCCGCACCGGTAAGGTATGCCGAGTTGGGCGATGAGCGGGTGGGCAAGGGGCTCAAGAGGGCATGCCGCGCTTTGTGGTCATGAGTCGGAAATAGCAGGGTATATTCCTGAAGCTCTGACGGACAGGGATGCATGAGCCCACCTTTGAAGCAGCGCACCAAAGAGGCGTCGCAGCGGGAGGAAGGGTCTTCGCGGACGTCTGATGCTTGGGCGCTTGATCGTTCCAAGCAGCAGACAGCTGCAGGTGCCCTGTTGTACGGGCGAGTGGAAGCAGCAGAGACGTTTCGAATGGAAAGAGAGGGACGACAGCGCGACGGTTGGGAGTCGGGGGCCCGACGGCTGGGCACGTATCGCAATCTCGTCTGATGGCGAACAGAAGGAGACTGGAAAAGATCAGGCTAGGGTTGCGAAAACCCAAAGATGCGATGCGACCGAGCGAGTGCATTTGAGGTCGACGTGCGGCACTATGATGTGTATAGCAAGCCAAAAAATTTTTTTCAGGTGTTTTCTCCCTCCCCTGTGATCGTCTTCTTGATTGACTGGATAATCTAGATTACATGGTCTACAACTGGCAAGCTTTCGCGAGCGAGATCTGCGCGGCAATTCACGAACAATGATGCCAGGCTTGCCAGGCACATCAACCACAGGGGCAGATCCGAGCCGCAAGATTGCTGGCAGCGGCAGCGGCAGCGAGGCTGGGCAGGGCAGCCAACTGGGCGGGTGTTTGGGCGTTGATCAACTCCCATGATGTGCCGGTTAATGGCGATCCACCCGCGATCCACCCAGGGTTGCCAAGGCGTTTCTTAAAAGGTGGAAACCGTCACAGTCGGGCGACTCGACACGGCCCGCATGCCTGTCCGCATGCCTGTCCGCTCCACTCCCCCCAGTCTCAACTCTCGGCCCCTTCAAACGTTTCGAGCTGTCTGAACGCCGTGCCATCGTTCGATGTCTCCCAGCCATCCAAGTCGACACCACGCCACACCCGACCGCCGTCGATCGGATGAAACCCTGCCAACCTGCATGTCAGGATCCACGGTCATGCAAATCCTCCTTCTGCTCACGGCGCAGGCAGACTCGGCGAAATCCAGGGCACGCCAGGTTCGACTCGACGGGGTTATTTTAGATATCCAATCTCCACCCCCGGTCCCTCGCCCGGGGCCAGCTGCCACTCCATGCGGGCCTGCCAGGAAGAAAAGAGATATAATGTCGCCTAAAATTCGCAGAGAAAAGCAGAATACCTTCCTCGCCTTGCTGTGACCCCTCGGGCCCGCCTCCCCTTTTCTTGATATGCCGTCAAGGCGGCGGTTTGGTGCGTAGGTAGTTGGGCAACAGGGCTTCGTCATGACGTCGGAGCCAGGGGACCGGCCGTCACGTGGTGCTCGGGGGTTTCTGCGCGCTCCAGAAGTGCATCAAGCCGTAGGCGTGTACGCTATCATCCCTCATACATGCTCTGCACTGTGCAAAGAAGACTTCCATCTCCGCCTGGGGCGTGGGTTGTTAGCATACGATGAAACAGAGAGGGCGCGGCCGTTTGGCAGAGGACGCTTGCTTACCTGGGACCAACCAAGGAGGGGCATCTGTATCGCGCCCATGGCTGGGAAGAAGTCCTCGGCTGCCGTGCGATAGTATAGACCTACCAACCGCATGGTTCTGCCAGAGTGGTGAGCATCAGAAGGGGAGGGGGCCGGGGGCGACGAACCTGTCTTTGGGCCACGTCCCGTACGGGAGCTTCGCCGTGTGGTGCTGTATATTTACAAAGCCTGCCTCCTCGAGATATTTCCCGCCGAAGGCGGCAGCATGGGAGGTTGTACCTAGCTTGGCGAACGCCTCAACCATCAGGTTGCAGAACACGAGTACAGGCCAGTCGTCAGGGAGCGTGCCGTCGTCGCAATGGACGGCCCCGTCGACATCCTGGAGCTCAACCCACCCGCCGGGCTTCAAATTTCTGCTGACAGTCAGCTGCTGGCTGGACGGTGTAGCGCATCCAGCCTAGGTTTGACCTACTCGTAGACGTCCTTGAGCAGCTTCACTGGAGACTTGAGGATCGGAATCATGTTCCGCAGATGCACGAAATCGATGTTGTCGCCGTTGAGCCAGGTGTCCTCGACGTCGTCGACGAGGAACTTGACGTTGGGCGGGACCCAGACCGGCTGTATGGGGCTCAAGTCGAGGCCGGTGACTTCGGCGCTGGGATACTGGTCTCCCACTGCAGCGGGGGAACAAACAGGTTAGTCTTGCTTTGATCGAGTATTACTTTGCACACGCTCTCGGCGCCCCGAGTAAGGGGCTGTGCGGACTTCCCATACCCTCGATGGCCCAGATGCCCGTCCCCGTGCCCAGGTCCAGAATCTTCTGCGGGTGGTCGCCAATGGGAGCGTAGAATAGCCTGCCGTTGGTGACCTCGAGCATCATGGCGTGCAGCATGTCTTCGCGGTTCTGCTCCGTCTCATCGTTGGGGATGGGGTAGCGCCCATGACGATACTAGTCCACGCCACTCCTGGTCAGATTTCAACTTGGTTCTTGTAGCATAGCACCCGTGCAACAGGTATCAAAGACATGCCTTGTGATATCGTCTCCCGTTGTGGAAGTTGTGGCCGTAGACGCTCGAGCCCACCGACGTCGACTCGGCGAGCGATGCCTCGTCATAGTCGCTGGGCTCGAACTCATCCTCCTCGACGGCGCCGGGCGAGGCGGCCTCTATTGCCGACGTCTGCGCGTCCTCGGTGGTCGCCGCTGCCGAAGGTTGCGGCGCGGGGCCCTCGGGGCTTCGGCTGTGTTTGCGCTCGACATCTACAGACACAAGAGAAGGGATTGATCAACATCTAGACTGCTCTGCAACCAGACATGTGTACAAATACGTCACTCTCAACCTCTTTGGCTTTTCTTTTTAGAGAACCCTTGACGGGCGGCGGGCGCGTGGCACGGCTGTGGGCGCCTCCCCCCGGTCTCGGTTTGGTGGCCCCGTTCTCGTGTGCAGACAAGACCAAGCCCCGTCCCCCCAAAAAATCAAAATAAAGATAGGTATGGGTGGGAAGCATGCGGGGGTCCAGACTCACCTCGTCCGTTTCCCATGGTGAAGAAGGTCGCGGGCGCTGAGCGAAGTTGGCTGAAGAGGGTGGTGGCGGGTAAGCCAAGGGCAGCTGGAGCAGCTGGAGAGGCAGAGGCAGAGGCAGAGGCAGAGGCAGAGGCAGAGGCAGAGGCAGAGGCAAAGGCAAAGGCAGAGGTAAAGGTTGCGGCGAGGGCGTTGACAGGCTGTTGTTGTTCGGACCCAGGCGGACCAGGGCCGGGGCGAGGGTGAGGGCGCGGGCGAGTCTGACAATCTGCAGCGGCAGAACTCGCAGATGAAGCGCTCGCGAGGGAGGAGAACGGAGCTGCGGGACTAGCCATTCTCATCGGCACCTCTTATGGGGCGTGGGATATACCTCGACCAACTTTAGTTGCTGCTATCGGTACTTTTGGGGCGCGATCAGCCTGGCTAGCACGGGCGCCAGTCCGGCCGAGCGAACGCTGGCCGCGCGCCGAGCCCACCGCGGCTTCGGGTTCAGCTTCAGCTCCAGGTCTAGGTGCAGGCCAGACAAGGGCCGAAGGATGCACACACACACACACGCGCTTCAGGCCGCGAGCTTTGCAGGCAAGAAAGCAATCAGCCACGCACAGCAGTGTCCTCTGAAGACGTCCCCAGGTGCTTGCTTGCACTCTAGGGAGGGCGATTGCAAGTCAGCTGGCGAGTGAGCCGGTGCAGTAGGTAGCGTCTATATGTCGTCGCTGCATGCTGCGTGCAAGACCGTTGGCCAGCCAGGACAGCTAGCAACGTGGAGGCAACGCAAAAGAGGCCGGCGGGCTCTGCCCAGCGCCAAGAGGCCAGCGCGGCATTTCGTCCACATGCAAGTTATGGTGGCACGGTGTAGAGTCAGGAAAGCGCTGCAGCAAGCCGTGGGCACGAATAGGAGCGTAACGGCTCCCTGCATCAGCATCGCCAACCCTAGCCGAGGCCACGACTTCCGCATTGGCCAGAATCTGCTCTACAGTAGGCCGTCTGCAGCGTACAGAACATTGTAATTGCCCGAATGGGCGGCGTGTAGGGGGACGGAGATGTTCAGGGTCCGGAGAAACACGAAGTACTGTCACCCAGCCGTCGCCTTCGATCACTCCCGACCTCCCACCCAGTTAAATAGCTGTTGCCGAGTGGAACGACCTCGGAGGCACCTCAAGGTGAGGTGGAGAGGTGGAGCTGGTCTTGATCGATAGGCCCCTTCTGAACCATGAAACCAGATACTACAGTCGACAATACCAATCACTGTGACAGCCGGCCTCCAGACTCGGCTTGGGGGCTGACAGGGGCCGGCTTTCTTGACTCTGTAGTCACACGGCATGGCGCAAATGGGTGGATGGCTTATGCCGACGTCTGTATGATGCCATCGCATCGCCAGGTGGGAGGGAGGGCGCGCGCGGTTCAGTCGCCTCGGGGAGCCTGTCAAACACTACAAGAACGGCAGTGCACAGTATGTTGTTGGCTACCATGGTAGCCTACATGCACTAGAGTTTTGGCCGCGTTCTCATTCTTACCTATGTAATAAATGGCCGGAGGTGCTGTCCTTGTGCCGTATGCTCGGAGGCTGCCGGCCCACAGTAAGCCAAGTGATGAACGGTAGGTTAGGTATAGAAGCCCGCCCGCATTGATGCGCATGAGCCAACTGGTGTGTGTGAGCAGTGAACGAGCTGAAGAGTGGTTTCGTTCTGTCATGTGTTGGCGAAGGTGTGGAAAAGAAACCCGTTAGACTCGTGGCACATTGCCCAGATAATTGACCAGCAATCAAATTACGCCTCTGCATCCTAATCGAGTTAGGTGTCCTTGACAACTCTATAACCCGCTCTCGTGGCGGTTGAAGGCAATTGCATAGGCGCGTGTGCTCGACTTGCACTCAGACCTGAAAACATACTTGAGGAGTGGGCCACAGGAATAGGCATCAAGGTAATCTACCTACGGACGTCCTATGCGTGGTCGGTAAGAACACGGTTGGAATTGCTAGGTAGCCACCCCTACTGTGGTATAGGTGTGTCAATACCAAGCGGAACCCACTAACAGTACTTGAGTCTAGTGCTAGTAGTCTGCATAGTACTAGTTTAGCGAATCGAGTGGATCGACCAGAATAGTGGCGCGAATCACTGCTATCATAGTAGTAGCTATCTGGGCACGCGCCGCTTACAACTGCCGAGGGCATCGCTCGAGACACGGCGCCGGGCCCGGCGAACCATGATTGACGATTGCATCGCTGGTTGCAGCACGTTGGGGGACCGCCCGTGCAAAAGCCGCCCGTCACCTGTCGCTTGCTACCAGCACCTTTGTTTGCACAAGCGTAACAAGCCAGGTAAGTCAGACAGCTGGCTACCCAGCGGGCTAGGCACGCTGCGAGCCCTCCATGCTGTCAATATTTGATCGACAACTCAAACATTGCCAACGCCCAGGAGGAGGAACATTGGTTCATAAAGAGCGGCTGCGCGCTTTGTGTCTGAATGCAATCTTGGGCCCATCGACGCGCAACTGGTTTACCCCCTTCGCCAACGATATGTGAGTTTGCTTCTGCGCCCCGTCCGCCCACCTACACGTAGAACTCTGAGCTCCCTGGGTCTGGGTCGGGGTTGGGGTCTGATGGGTGCGAATGGTGGCTTGCAGGGGATGAAGCACCGACGCTGGGTTAGGTGTCATCGCTTCCAGACGGGCGGCGGAAGCATAGAGTGTCAGTTGGAACCCCGGAGCTACCGTTGGTCAATGTACAGTAACCCAAGTTACATACTGCACATGCCATAGTTACCTAGGTAAGCAAGTTACCGGTCCAGGTAGTCACCTCCTGCTTGCTCTTGGCGCGAAAGGAAACAAAAAAAGAAGAAGGGAAGAGAGAAAGAAATCGGAAGATAGGGACAGAGAGCAGAGAGCAGAGAGCACACACACACACACACACAGAGAGAGAGAGAGAGAGAGAGATCCGGGGTTTCGGTTCACTAAGTTAGTGGGGTCCCGCTGCCCAGGTGCCAGAGTGCCGGGCCAGGCAAATACATTGAGTGACTAAACCTTAGTTACTCGACCCGATGTTACCTGCTCGCCAGGCCTAACAACACGGCGCCAAACGATCAGGAGATCCGCCAATTTATTTTATTTAGACGAGCGCGTTTTCCTGTCGTCCACCCCAATCCAGCCAGTGCCCCTTGCCGAGGAGCTTGCAGCATCCATCAGATCATATCATACCTGGACGTAGCTGCCCGCCCTCCTATAACCGCCGGGCTTCTGTCTTTTCCCAATTTTGTTTTTTTGCTTTTCCCAGGTTGACCGGTCCCCATCCCAGCGATTGCTTCCGCGGCCCTTGAGCGATGTCTGTTTCAGTTGGCGTGCCCGCAATCCTGCAGTCTCGATTTCTGGTTCGTTACCAACCGCTCGGTACCGTCGCACCGCCATCTCGGCAAACCCGGACAGCGCCCTTGGCCATCACGTAGCAGGTAGCAGTGGTAGTAGCTGGCCCAGTTGCACTCCCCTCGCGCGCTGCTCGCCCTAGCTCAGCGATGGGAGTCACGGCCGCTCTGGCCGCGGCGGCCCAGCACGCCGATTGTATCTCGCTCTTTACCCTCTTGGTCGCCCTGGCTCTGGCCGCCCTGTTCGTCTGGCGCGCATCCTCGTGGCATCGCCTGCGCCATGTCCCGGGCCCCTGCTCCGCCTCGCTCTCCTCCTTCTGGATGTTGAGGAAGGCGCTGAGCGGCCGGTTCCACGAGCACCTCCGTGACGTCTCAGACGAGTACGGTAGGTTCCCGCTCTCATTCTACCCACCGCATGAAGTGGTCTGCCCCGTCGCTCACACTCAAGACAGGGCCTCTTGTCCGCATCGGGCCCAATGTGCTGCTCTCCACCGACCCCGAGGTCCTGCGCATGATGTCTGCGGCCCGCTCTCCTTACACCAAGGGCGTCTTCTATGAGACTGGCCGCATCATCCCCGGCGAGGACACCGTCGTCTCTCTGAGGGATGAAGGCGAGCATAGAGCGCTACGAGCCAAGATGGGCACTGCTGTAGGTTTAATTCTTCGTTGTCGTTGTTTTCGTTACGTTACTACTGGTCTTGCTCATCCCTGCTTTGCCGCTTCGGTGACGGACCCTGCGGCTTGCTGGCGGGATGATAAAATCGATCACCACCTGTAACTGCTCGAGATCAATTGATTGACACGTCTCTCGTCCAGTTCGGCGGCAAGGAGAACGAGGGGTTCGGTTTTGGGGCTGGCATCGACCGCCAGCTCCTTGCTTTCATGAACCTGATAGACTCCAGGTACATATCCACCGCCACACAGTACCGCCCTGTACAATTCTTCCGCAAGACGTCCTTCTTCGCCCTCGATGTTATTGGTGATATATCCTTTGGCGATGCTTTCGGCTTTCTGCAGCAGGATCAGGATCTCTACCGCTACAATGAGATCCATGATGAGTCGCTACCCGTCATGAACATCATGTCGACTATGCCCTGGCTTGCCCACATCTTGTATCGGTGGCCCTTCAACTTGTTATTGCCCAAGGAAGGCGACCAAGTCGGCTTTGGCAGACTCATGGGGTATGTGCACGCGTCTCTTCGAGATGCGGACTCTCCATTGAATGGTGAGGTGCTGATGGAAACTATAGATTCGCCAAGTCGTTGATTGATAAACGGCTGCAGCCTGGTGCGAAACCCCAGAAAGACATGACGCAAGCTTTCATCAACAATGGCATGAGCCGCTCCGAGCTCATCCAGCAGGTTTTTGTGCAAATGTGAGAGACTGCGTTTCCATAAATGTCATGTCATTGGCCTAACATTTGGCAGCATCGCTGGCTCTGTTTCTTCAGCAACTGCCATGTGCATGACGTTGCTCTGCCTCATAACCACACCAACTGCCTACGCCGCCCTCCGTAGGGAAGTTGATGACGCACTCAAGAACGGCAAGATCAGTTCCCCGATCGCAGAATACGAAGCGAAGAGGCTGCCCTATCTGCAAGCCGTCATCCGCGAGGGCCTTCGTATGTATCCACCCGTCACCGGCCTGGGCTCCAAGCAAGTCCCGAAAGGAGGCGATTTTCTAAACGGCTTTTTCATCCCCGAGGGCACCCAAGTTGCTACTAACTTCTTTGGTCTCATGCGTTCGCAAAGCGTCTGGGGAAAGGATGCCGACGTCTTCAGGCCGGAGAGATGGTTGGAGTCCGATGACGAGCAGCTCAAGGTCATGAACGGCGTAGTCGACTTGGCGTTCGGGCATGGGAAATATTCATGCCTCGGGAAGCCGATTGCCATGATGGAGCTCAACAAGATCTTTGTCGAGGTACGTGTCTGTCGTAACCTACCATGGCCGCATTCTACATACTCACGAGGACGCTAGCTACTACGGAGGTACGACTTCACCATTGTAAACCCGCAATCCCCGATCAAGGCATGGAGCGCAGTATTCTGGGTCGCAAATGATTTCTGGCTACGAATTACCAAGAGAGCGTGAGACAAGGATGAGACGCGTACGATTTGCTGCAATAGAACTACTCTGATACCCCCCCGTATGAGGCCTGCTCCATTGTGGTATTGCCAAGTGTTGCCCACGAACGATCGGTGATCCAGGGTAGTGTATAAGAAGACACAGGGGTGGATGCTTTGATGTACCGGGACGAATGTCACTCAGAACGGTCGAGCTAGGGAAGCACTAGGCAATTGGTATCCCCGCACAGCAACGGCCAGGATGCATCGAGGGACTCTATGCCATGTTTCTGACTCTTTTGCACTAATCCGACCCATGAGCACCATCTTTTATACCATCACAAGGGCCAGCATCCGATTCATCAACTTTTATGTTTCCCAGCCCTCACGAAGCTTACAACACAGAAATACCACGGGTATTGGAGGATGACAAGGCAAAAATACTGAAGACCAAGGAGCCACGGCGTTCCCCGCCCCCTTTCTTCAATGCACACATTCCGCCGCTACCCAGAAGACCCCTGTTGTAGCTTGATAACACTCTGTGAAGCTGCGATATGATGCCAGTACCATTGAAGAACGGCCTTGGCACATGACCGAGCACGCCACAAACCATGCATCCTGGCCAGCCATGTTGTGTATCAATGGGGCGGGATTCTTTGAAGTACGTTGGGCCACTACACGGTTGGCCACACCGCACCAATTCGCTCCTGACTTCCAAACCACTGCGGTATTACACGGTTAGTAGCAAGAACTTGCAAGGGTCGTAGGCCCGTTGAGTATTCTCTGTCCTGACAGGGGACAGTGTAAGGGCGTCAATACTCCGCATCGAGCCCGCCAGACAGTCCTGGTATGCCATAAACATCGTCCTTCCCAGGAAAGCCCATCCTGGTGGAACATCATGTCAGCGAATTGTAGATGCGTGCCTCCTTAGAGTTGACTCTATCTGCGCCGTTCCACATGGGTATTTTTGTTCTTCCCTTTCTTTCTGCTTGGTCGTATTTTTCCAAGCCATGAAGTGATGGGGTACAAATGATCAAGAGCTACTCACCAGGGATTCAGGTCAAAAGACACTTCTTCTTCACCACCTTCGGCGGCATTTGGAGTTTTGGTCTCTTCAGACACATCATCCAGAGACATGCGATCATCCATGCCTGGCACGTCAGTAGTATTTCTGAGTGTGTCGTTCTGTACTATGCCGCAACCTTCTTCGTCAAGTCGAGTACCATGGGTTACACGAGCTACCGGGGATATCGTAATTTGATCGCTATCATCGACGAAGTTGGACTGCAATAGAAGGCTCTGCACGGAAAGTTTCTGCCGCGAACTTGCGTATTGGGAGATCCTGTCTGAGGGCCGCGGCTCTGGAGGATCCGGCTCCCTCAATGCTTCTTTGTGTTGCAACGCGAGACGTGCTGAATATCCGCCGATGATTCGTTCCAATTTATTCCTCTGCCCAGGTAAATCAGTGCAGGTCCGATCAGTGTCCAAGCACGCCCGTACATACCAAAGTTCTCGTTGCGGCAGAGTGGGTGAAGAAATGGGTTATCACGTCAAGACACAAGGTGGCCTTCCTGATGGCCGTGTCCATCAGCGACTTACTCGACGAGACACTCGCAAGGAACATAATGATGCGGGCCGCCTCAAAGGCGCAAACGGCAGTGTCACGCTCCAGTATCGATGTCCTGTCGCAGTTATTCCAGAAGTCAGATACGATCTGGACGTTGTTCTCGGCGTGCTCGAGGCATTTCTGTTGCATAGCCTCCCTGTTCCCAGGATGAATGGCGGCTAGCACTGGCGACGGGGCCGCCTCAGAATAGCCATCGAGAAACAGTCGATACATGTCACAGAAACACTGGTTCCAGGAGAGGTGCAACATTGTGAATTGCACCGGCAGCTTGCAGTTCACCAGGTTGAAGACAGAATACTGCTCCGAGGGACTCAAGCCGGCCTGGAGTACTTTCAGCTGCTGTTCGAATCGCTTGATCGACGTGGCAATCGATGCAGGCTGCATTTCCTGCAAGCCAACCCGACGTTTGAACCTGTTGGCGTTAGTTACAAGCTGCTACCGGGGTCGACGGAGGCACAATACCTCATGACCTCTCTACGTATTGACACGAGCCGCAGGGAGACTCCTCGGAGGCCAATGGTTGCCGGAACCTCCAATGGATCCTGCTGGAGCATCCCAGTCCGGCAATACTGGCCCGCCTCGAAGAGTTCTTCGTCGCAGGGGAGCTGTAGATGTATGGTTTCCTGGGGGCAGAGTTCGAATTCACGCAGCCCAACACAGAAGAAGTCATCCAAGATGAACAAGGACCAGAAGAGGCGGCGCCGGGCCTCCTGAGCCAACGGGGGCAACTCGGTCCGCTCAAAGTTCAGTCGCAAGCCCAAGGCCGACCGAGCGGCCAAGGCGGCCAGCATGAAAGCTGTCGGAAATTCGCCGCTCTCTATGCGGTACCTGATGATAAGCAGGAGAGCCTGCAGCCGGAAGATGGAAGGCTGTCCGAGCTGCTGCAGTATCACCTGCTCGGCCTGCTGGATCCAGACATCATGGCAGAGCGCTGTGCGACGGAGCAGCAGAGCTACGATGGCACATATCGCGAGCTTCAATGGTGCGTCGATGGTGCCGTCTTGGCAACGCTGGACCACGGTCGCCTTGTGCAGGAACGCGTAGGAGGTGAGGGGGTACAGATGTCGGAAATAGTCGTCAACCAGTCCGTTCAGCGTCTCGGGGTCGGGAGCCATGTCCGGCGCCGGGCCAGCGACGTCGAGGTCGGATTGGCCCTCCCATTCCGTCGAGGCCGCCGTATAACTGTCGCCTTGGCCCAGGCCGCCGGCTGGGAGACGTTTTCTGGGCTCGGGATAGGCACACCCCAAGCCCTTCTTGACGCAGTTGGAACACTCTGGCAGCTCGCCTAGGCACCGGATCTTCTTGCTGCGGCAGCTCAGGCATGCCTGCATCCGTCGACGCCGTTCCGGGAGCCTGGAGCCCTGCTGGGCCGCTGATTGGCCGGGAGACTGTTGGAAGGAGCACTCGAAGTCCAAGCGCTCGCAGTTCCGACACACTTTGTGCCGGCCATCGCACCTGACCTTGCGCACGCGACACTGGAGGCACGTCTGTCTCTTGGACGAGTCTGCTATGTGTGGCGCGGGAGAGGGAGCTGCTGGCGCTGCCGCCGTTGCTGCTGCTGTGGCCACCTGCCCGGGGACGGCGACGGGCGCGGGCGCGGGCGCGGAGACGGGCGTGCGGTTCGGTGCTCTGCTGGCCCCCTCCACCGGCCGGAGTGGCCTCAGAATGTTGTCCATTGGAGTCCATCCAGCGGCCTTCTGGCGTCTGGGGCAATGATCATGTTCTAGCAGGCCCAGGAAACAAGAGTCAAGGTCCAAGTCCAATCATCGTCATTTAAGACCGGCAACCGACGTGCCCGGCCAATTTTGACGCCATTTGACGACATCCCAGCCACGCTAACGGTTCGGTGCAGATCTTCTAATCCTTAGCAGTGGGTCTCCTGTCTGGGGTAAGAGAAAGGCAAAACCCGGGTTAGGTTGCCGGGGGCGAATCCCGACTGAACCCCATTGCGAATTCCCGTCAGTAGCAAGTTTTGGGGGCATGCCCGCACCGTCCAACCTCGAGACACATACCGAGCCTCATCAGCGACCACGACCCTCTCGATTGAGGCGTGTGGCCAAAGCACGCCGAATTTGAGCATATCTGCGTCTGTTACCGATCCGCCAAGACGGGCAGGGATCGGAGGTTGCGCAATCGCCGCAGTGGATGGCACGATCGCACCATCTAGGTATCATAGGACGGCCAATTCAACCTGTGGTCCCCGGGGCGGGCTCGAACGGCGTCCACAGCCCGACAGAGCTCTGTCCCTGACTGACTAAGCCTTGCACTTAGCGATCCATACCTGTACATAGTAGACCCCGGCCAGGGATCCGCAGACCCCGGTCTGGGGTATTGGTGCACTCAGCATACCTACCTAGCCCGAGGTACCCTTCCTGCTAACTCAGGTTACTAGTCCCCAGACGCACATCTCAGTGGCCTGTGATCCTACCGACCATTACATGGCTGCCCTGCCGGTACTATCGGCTGACGGGTTGCTATGAGCTCACAGTGACCGCCGCCAGCTAAGCCAGTCCCGTCCGTCAACCTCCATCTTCTCTATTCTTCTCTAGTATCCTAGCAGTTTGCGCTTGAAGAATCCCCACCATTTCGTGACGTGCGAAGGAGCTGCATCTCAACGCTGGGGCAACTGAGCTGATATCGAGTAGTTTTTCGGGCAGCAGTCATGGGGAAGGCTCTGGGGACTTTTAGGGCAGTCTATCTGGTGGCCCTCTGTTGCACCGGATCGTTTCTCTTCGCGTATGATACCGGTGTTATCGGAGGTGTTCTCACCTTCGCTTCCTTCCAAAAGGATTTTGGGTATGGAGCTGCAGAGAAGGCTACAGTCGCTTCGAATGCGACGAGCCTGCTACAGGCTGGAGGCAAGTCCACACGCTTATCAACGAAGAGAAATGCACCATCTATATGCTATGTTGAGTCCCGCGTCCTCGGACTAACATACCGCCAGCCTTTTTCTCCTGTTTCTTCATCTGGCCGTTTACTGCCCGCTTCGGTCGACGATGGTCCCTCGTCCTAGCCTCTGCCGTATTCAATATCGGAGGTATCGTCCAGGTCGTTAACACGCATTCCCTGGCCGCTTTCTACGTCGCCCGCGTTATCAGTGGAATTGGTGTGGGCATGGCCACAGTCATTATCCCAATGTTCAGCGCAGAAATGGCACCCAAGAGCATCCGCGGCTCTCTGGGGTCCATGTTCCAATTTTTCTTCACGCTTGGCGTCATGACATCGTACTGGATAGACTATGTAGGTCACCTGTGTGTTCCCATGCCAGATCCTATGAAAAACTCTTAGTAGCCCTGAGTGTGCCAGTGTACCGTGGCGAAGCAAGACCTGTTATACATTGACGACTGACATGGATCACATAGGGTGTTACGCAACACATGGCAGCTACAACATCTCAGTGGCAGGTGCCCATTGGACTCCAGCTCGTTCCAGGGGGGTTGCTAGGAATTGGCATGCTACTGACCAAGGAAAGTACCCGTTGGCTTGCCAAGAAGGGGAAAACTGACGAGGCACTGAAATCTCTCATCTGGGTCCGTGGGGGAGAGAACAACGACGCAGTCCAGGAGGAGTATGTCTGACCCCATTGAACAGCTTCGTGAGTATGAACTTATGAGACCCCGCAGGTTCGCCGAGATACTTGCGGGCATCCACGAGGAGGTTGGAACAACTGAAGGCTTCACGTGGAAAGAGGCCTTGCTACCAGCGAATCGATTTCGATTTGTCATAGTGATCACACTCCAGATTGGTTCGTATCGGAGATCATCCCTCTCGATATGTCAATGCTGACCAATCAATAGGAGTTCAATTGACCGGCAACACATCACTAGCTTATTGTGAGTTGATGGAATCCAAAGGCTTGAGGCTGGGCTCACCCAAATTTTAGACGCACCTCAAATTTTCAACGCCATTGGGGCGGGCGACCAAAGCCTTTTCATTACTGGTTTCTTTGGCGTTGTCAAAGTTGTTTCATGTCTGTTCTTCTTGCTCTTCCTAGTAGAGCGAATTGGCCGCCGCGGCTCACTCCTAGGCGGGTCCTTTTTGATGGGTACTTACATGCTTATCATCGCTTGCCTAACGGCCACCCACCCACCCGTGTCTGGGAAAGGGTTTACCAGCACTGGGGCTGCTGCCGTCACCATGGTCTACCTCGAAGCCAGTAGGTCGCACCGGGTGGAGCTTATGGGTTGCACTAGCCCTTCCCCAAGAGTTCTCATTGATCTGGTCTATAGTGACTTACAATATATCGTGGGGCCCTGTATCCTGGCTCTACATGGGCGAAATTTTCCCAACCAGATTACGTGAAGCAGGGATCGCAGGTAGGACGCTACCATATTCCCGACCAATCCTTACGGAGACTAATCCTGACTCTGCAGTTGGAACTGCGACACAATGGTTATTCAACTTTGTCTTCTCGCAAGTTACTCCCTATGCTATCAACAACATCGGCTGGCGTACTTTTCTGATGTTTTGCATCTTCAATTGGTCTTTGGTGGTCTACACCTGGCTTTTTATCAAGGAGGTAAGTTTTTGCAACTTTTCTCGTTTGCGTCTGCTCACAGTATCCCACAGACTAAGGGGAAGTCATTGGAAGAAATGGAAGCATGTATGTTGTTGGCTGGAAGCTGCGTGAAACGACCTATACTGACACATGGCGTAGTATTCGGATCCACTCAAACTGCGATCAATATTCACGCCGTCCGCGGTAAAGGTTACGCCGAAGGAGACAATGCACATCATACAAGCACCAGGCGATCCAGTCAGCTGGAGCGCGTATGAACATGGAAAATCCAACCGGATGCTACTCCTTCACCGACCAGTCATGGTAGACTCGCTCGATCTATAGTGGGCTCCGTGAGAGAAAGCTTTCATTGGTCGAATTAAGGGTACTTGAATTTGAAGAGGAAGTTCGGGACACTAACTAAACATGTATGTGGTGTCGTTGTTTCGTTATGCACTCTGTTAAGGGATGTAACACTATTGCCATCATCTAACGCATCCTCTTGCTCCTTTAGGCGGTAGCGTGGGGGATTATCCCATACAGCCCAATATAAGACGCCGAGCAGAATCATATAGCTGTATAATGATTGCACCTGATGTTGATCCAATAGGTCTACTCTGCCGTATTATATTATATAACGACTGATCTCGTGTTGCACCTCCACAATATGGTCCCGTTTTCCTTCGGGTTGTGACTTCAATCAGAGCAGTGAAGGAAGAAAATTGGACCGGAAACGTCCTGCAGACTGTTAAAACAAAGGAGATAAAGGAAGATACATTCTCAATACTATCTTTGGTAATCTTCTTTGTGCCTTCTGTCAGCCAGCATGAAATATCCTTCTTTCCTTGGACTGCCACACGCTTGGGGCACGCAAATGACTTGGTGTCATCTCAGCAGTGCACCGTTTGATCAGAGCATCACCTGCGTCACCGAAAGCTGCGCAGCCCACATGCTGGCGAAACTTCCAACGACCCTGCAACACTTATAGCTCGACGCATTCAGTATTCATGTCACAACAAGGTCCATCTCCAGCCGTCTGGGTGCCCATTCTGGTTTTCATCGTGGTTTGCATTGGCTTTGGGGTTTGGAGGCATAAGAGAAATGTTCAGAGCCGGCATCACAACCAGGTCTGAGTGCAACCATCGCCATTTCGGTAAAAACCCATAGAGAATAGCGAGGCAAAACTTCTTCTTTCAAATGAGTTTTGGTCAAGACTACTGGATGTGAAGGTGGTGGGCATCAAATCAGGATTGGAGAAGTGTTAATTAGTGAAGGCCTTGAGAAGGAAGTCACGTAACTGCAATGGAAACGAGATGAGACTACATCTGTCTCTCTCAAAAAAAAAAAAAAAAAAAAAAATTCTTTTTTGGAACAGTGACATTGACATGAAATTTTACGTTGAAGCTTCAATTGGCTCGCTGTGTTGTTGCCCATGAAATTCATGGTATCACGTACGTATCCCGAGGTGGACACAACTCCGGCCACCTTGGACGGTTCTTCGCAGGGAACGCTAGGTGAGTTGGAAAGGGGCCCCATGCCCAACTTCGTAGATATCCAAAGAGAATGCAGCTGCTGAGACCTGTCATAGCTTGGTGCCGTTTTATACACGGTGCCAATCTCCTTGGAGTGGAATCTTCCTAACCTTCGTAACTCGTCGCATTCGCTCCTATCCAACTGCAAATCTCAATTGCTTCGATATAATCTTGGTATGATAGAAGCGTTCCAGCATACACTGGTGCCTTGATGCCTGCCTTGAGTACTGCTTCAAGATCCATCGAGAACGGCCTTCTAGTCGGGGTAACGACGTGGAACTCTAAGTAACTTATGGCTGCGAGTGTTTTCATCATCTCCCTCTGCGGAGGCAACATATGGTGCACACTCATTGAACATCTCGGCAACACTTATAGCTTTTCTGCTCTAGGGAGAGGAGAGCAGTGGGTTTGATGAGCTCAAGCGGGATCGTGGTGCACTAGAACCTTGTGACACGGTGGTAGTCTTTCATTGGCAGTTATCGATACTATTATCATTTACCGGTGAAATGATTGGGGCTTCAAATCGGCGTCATATGTGAACATCTGACATGTGTTGAGCGAGCTGCCAGGTTTAATTGTGCAAACTCAGGTTGGTACCTCAGGTGGTACACTACTTTGTTCCAATCCAACACGGTTCTCTGTCAAAGTAAACCTATTCCGACAACAGCCTATCTGCTTGTGAGAATGACTCTAAATAGGCTGCCAACAAAGAGACTGGTGTAAAGAAGAACCAGTCGCTACCCACTGGCAACCAGCCATTCTGCCTTCTCAAGACCGGGATGCGTGCATCTTTAAACATTCTTTGTAGCTGTCGCGCGAACAACGTTGTCAAAATGCTTGTAAGTCAGTTGTCCTCCAATAAAACAAGCCAGCATCCACTTGAACCATAGTAAACTGAATACCGGAACGCCGTGTTTGCGTAGCCTTGTCGCCGCAAAGATCACGCTCTCGATTGTATGGGCGCCAAAGAGGAAGTAGTAGAGGCCATACTGAGCTCGAATAGAATACTTCAGTGCGGTTGGCCGTTCAGCGAGTAGGTAGTCGTATATTGGAGAGCCTGGGGCCAGAACCTCGCTGCGCGACGACAGGAGCATCACTAACCCACAGATGAGTGTGTTGCGGCCAAGCTTGCCGCCTGGGATGGGGTACTCGCGGACTTGAACCGGGGAACTCATATCCAAATAGTATGCGTGATTTGCAGGCAATGTTGTAAGGTTGAGTAATTAGGCAGGCGAAGATTGATGACATGCGATGCTCAGCTTGCCAGTATTGTTATTTTCGCGGCGATACGCTAATGGATACCGGAAGAGGGGCTTTAGTTCGGCAACGTGCCGAGGTCTAGGACGAGACCCCTGTCGTTGATCTCATCATTGATTTCACGGTTGATCTCCGTCACGTTTTCTAGTAGATGCAACATATCGAGCAGTCGACGACGCGACGCGATGCTGAAAAGATGATGGTGATTACACAATTGGTATACCCGAGTCGCCCATTCGACCTCAATGGGGTTCGGTTATACATTTTCAGCCGAATGGGCCGTCTCATGTGGGAGGGTGGAGATGTTCTCGAGAACTGTGGAACCTGGACATTCAGCGGCGTATCTGTCAATCTGTCAATCTGTCAATCTGTCGGTTTCCAAGGCTGCAAACTAGCCACCAAGACGGAACGAGAGTAGATGACAGGTCGAGGTAACTGGCAAAGACGATTTTGATGCACCGTCATCACGCCTTTGGGAATTGAACCTAACTGTTCAACCGCCGAGACAGATAAACGTTCGCGAGATGCGCGATGGATACCCAAGTTCACACTCTGTGCCAGTTCCCTTCATCTTGTTACAACCCTCCACAGTCGAACCGGATCAACCTTATCAAACAATATGCAGACGTGACTCGCGCAAGCACGTAACACCAAGCCCCAGGGCCAATGACAGTTCATGATCATGGTGATCCGGCAAACCCATCCAAGACATTAGCTTACACTGCGGGGACGGGGCCGGCACCAGCCCCGAACTCGGTGGTTCCAATCGGTCCCGGTCCGACGACGAATATAATGCCCACGTCCGGTCATGATTATTCACAATCCTTCCCCTTCTTCGAACGAAGCCACAACTCCATAATAACGAAACATGGCCGATATTACTTTGCCCGAGCCCTTTGCGAGCATCCCCAGGGAATCGTTCCTCTTTGGCCCATCCCCTATTCAGCACTTGCCAAGGATATCTGAGGCACTGGGTGGTAAGGTGCAGGTCTATGCCAAGCGAGAGGATTGCAATTCTGGATTGGCATACGGTGGCAACAAGACCAGAAAGCTTGAGTGAGTGGGCAGCATTCAGGACTCTAGTGGCGGCAATTCGTGACTCGGTTACTCATGGTAAACTAGATATCTTGCCTCGGAGGCTTTGGCACAAGGATGCGACACTCTTGTCAGCATAGGCGGCGTCCAGTCCAACCACACTCGCCAAGTTGCTGCTGTTGCCACCAAGCTGGGGTTGAAGAGCGCACTGGTACAGGAGCACTGGGTCGAATGGGACGATCCCCATTACACAAAGGTCGGCAACATCCAGCTCTCCCGAGTGATGGGTGCGGACTCTCGTCTAGACCCATCCGACTTTGGAATCGAGCACAAGGAGACCCTCAAGAATCTGCAGAAGGAGTTGACCGACGCCGGGCGTAAGCCTTATTACATCCCGGCGGGTGCCTCGGACCACCCACTGGGCGGCCTGGGCTTCGCGCGGTGGGCTTTCGAGGTCGAGCAGCAGGAGAAGGCGACGGGAGTCTTCTTCGACACCATCATCGTCTGCGCGGTTACCGGCTCGACCATGGCAGGTATGGTGGCGGGATTTAAGCTGGCAGAGAAGCTGGGCTCGCGGAAGCGCAAGGTGATTGGCATTGACGCCTCCGCCAAGGTTAAGCAAACATTTGATCAGGTCCTGCGGATCGCGAAGGCGACGGGTGTGAAGATCGGACTAAAGGAAGACGACATCACAGAGAGCGATATTATCCTGGACGACAGGTATCACGCCGGTGTTTACGGCATACCCGACCAGCAGACCCTTGAGGCCATCAAGTTCGGTGCGAGCACCGAGGCGTTTATCACCGATCCTGTGTATGAAGGCAAGAGTTTGGCTGGTATGATGGACATCATCAAGAAAGGAGAGCTACCAGCGGGAAGCAACGTGCTGTACGCCCACTTGGGAGGCCAGCTTGCTCTGAATGCTTACTCTTCTATACAATAGCGGTTACGTGTTGCTCCTTAGAAGGGAATCATATAATTAAATGTCTTGTTGACCCATTGTCGCAGCGATTTCGTGACAATAGCAACGTAGTGCCACCCTGAGAAGACCTCCAGTTGGCGCTTATATCACAGGGTAAGGTACAAGGATTCATGCGGGCTGCTAAATATATATGTGCCGGCCAGATTTCGGCTTCGTATAGGTTGGGCCAACTACGCTCTACATCAACAACAACGCTGGAGCGATACAACATGAACTCTGAGTTGTATTAAGTCTCACGATTTATCCCCATAATCTTTCCTTCATATATATATATGAAAAGGAAGAAAAAAAGAAAAAAAGAAAAAAAGAAAAAAAGAAAAAAAGAAAAAAAGAAAAAAAGAAAAAAAGAAAAAAAGAAAAAAAGAAAAAAAGAAAAAAAGAAAAAAAGAAAAAAAGAAAAAAAGAAAAAAAAAGAAAAAAGGTAAGTATACTTTTTATGCGGATGGCCTGTAGCTTGGAGGAGTAGTAGCCCGGAAAGCAACTCCCCTTATTTTGGGCGGCCTCTGCGACCCGAGGTACGGCCGGGGGCGTGCTGACCACTGCTAATTTGCTTGTACATGCTAAGTTACCTTCAGCCCAGGCTCCACCCCCACCATTGGTAGCTCCATATTTCCAGCTCAAATGGGACAGCCTCGAGCAGCAACTCTATCCCTAACAACCAGACAACCAGAGACACAAGTTCCCATTGACACGAGGATGCACATACCGCGTTGCCAAAAATAGAGCAGGTCTCTCCGGAATGACACCTTCATCTCACGCTCTCCACCCTTGCTCAGTGCGCAGGTCCCCGACATGATCCAGGGCATCTTCTACGCGAGGTTCCTCCCTCAGGAAGGCAAGTCATCCTCGGAATTCACGATGCGCGCCCACGATCAACGTCCCGCTTGGCTTGACCCGGCTGACACACCTCCCAGGGACCAAGATTGTGGCCCAGTCACCGCCTGGCTGCATCGTGGCCTCTCAGTTGGCGCCTCACGCCAAGCCCTTGGTGGACTTTGATATCATTCAAGAGTACATCATTCCGCGCAAGGCCTTCTTCAACCGCTTCGTCACGGTGAACACCCCGGACAACAAGTACAGTATCCTGGGCTTCCCCGTCTCCATACCGAATGAGCGCTATGACCGGAATGAGTTCATCTTCAACTTCGGGCTCGTGGTCGAGTCCGACTGCGATTTCATTCCATATGAGCGCCTGGTCCGGAGGCTAGCCATGACCTTTGCCGAGATGGAGAAGCAAGGAGGGTACCTGAGCTCCGAGGCCAAGGTCGACGACGGCAGGAGGCCCATCGAGAGCCTGTTGGAGATCGTCAAGGAGGATCTGAACAACTACGGCGAATGCATGATTCCCGTCGGTACGCGAGGCCAGCTCTAATCATCTTGTGTGCTTTGCAGGCCACTCTTTGCTGACAGTTTCTCGTTGCACGCAGACGAGGCCAACACAATCAACATGAAGCTTTTTCCGTACCACCCGCCACCACCTCCCGTGCGTGGCTGGCACGTCCCAGTCCCCAAGATGAAACTGACGGAAATCGTGGACCCCACGTGGGACTTGACGCTCCAGAAACTGATACCGCATATCGACGGCGTCAACGATGTGCGGCGCATTGCCTGGTTGGCGGATGTGTCGCTGCCCCTGACCCAAACAGCTCTTCAGCACCTGCTATACTACGACACTATCCTGCTGCTTGACATGTTCTTCTTTGGCGGCTGCTACGCACCGCGACCTAGTATTCACGACTTCGTGGCCAACCGCGACGGGCTGGTAGACGAGTGCGCCGGGTACGTGTGCCTCGGAGGCCTGGGGCCGAGCGACTCAGTGGCAGCCTCCAGCGGTAGCTTGTCCACAGGCAAAAACACCGTCGGAGCCAGCACCAACGTCACGCCCAGCAAGGACGTCCTCGGTACCACAGCACAGATCCCGCCACAAACATCAGCCCTTGCACCGCAGAGGGTCTCCAACTATCAACTGATCAAGCTGATGACGACCTTCTGTGTCGGCCGCTCTGTCATGGAATGGATCAAGCTGCACACAGACGCCGGATGGCCGGTCCTGAGCCTCATAGACGTGCGGCGTTTCATCCAGTTCGGCGTCATCAAGGGCTTGCTGTACCGCGTTCACAAGTATGTCGTGTCCAAGCAGTACCTCGCCCTGCTAGCGACGGGGCAGGCACGCCCGCTGCGCGATGACGAGCGGGTCGGGGTCAGACCCGGCGGTCTGGGCGAGGATGAGGACGGCACCGCGGCCGGAGAGGGGCCTGCTGGCGGTCGAGGAGCCTGGATGGGCGAGGATCCGCTGCAGAGATACACCGACGGCTGTCATTGTTTCGACCAGATCATCACGGAGCAGAACATGACGGCTGCGGAGATTGTGGAGAAGCTGAAGGGCTTCCAGGCGCCAGCAGGGGACCTGACAGTCTTCTATCGATGAAGGCGCTGACATGTCTCCCATTTTTTTTCTGCGCTTGCGAAGACGGTTCTCGCTTCTCGCTTCTCTTTCTGCTCCGCTTCGTTTGGGGCGAAGTTGGATGGAATTACAGTGAATAGGAACCCAATGGGGGCACTTGAATCCCATCCATGTCGATTTCCACGGGGAAGCCCTCGCCCTATTTCAATTGGGCTGCTTCTCCAGGCTGATGAGGCACTGCATATCTGCATCACAGGTGGGGAGGGGCTGTTTCCGACCCGCAAACCTGAATTCTACACGGGTCTCATGTCTGTGGAGGAGATGACCCTCAACCGTTCTACCAAGATAGCTTTCCATGTGGCCTACTGGCTGCCGGTCTGCTGCTAATCTAGTGAAACCTGGGATCGGGTGACTTGCCGTCGTCATACACTTGGGCCTGGGACTCGCCGGCTGTACTGTAGACTCCGAGTCCATCTCACCATGCGTTATTTCATGACTACAGGACTGTACTCTAGCATACGCACGGGACGGAATGGCATGTGTGGGGGGATGACGCTCGGGGGGTTGCATAAGTAAGTAGCTATGGAGGAGTGTAGTGGAAATATGTGCAAATGCGTTCTACCCGGGATTGAGATTCGGCTCCACCTGGGCGCGGACTGCTGCGGACTGGTCTGCCTGTCGTCTCTACATGGTACTGACTGTCGCTATGCCGGCCTGCCCGGTGTTCCGGCCCTCTCTTGCTCAAGTTGATTGGCACATGCAGTTGGCATGGATCACGGTTTGTGCCGTGTAGTGGCTGGAGGGAGGAGTGTGTACAGCAGAAGAAAGCAGGCCCGAAAGACGCCGATAGTCTGCTTACCTGCTTGCTTGGTCGCGTGGCTCGACAAGGTGTCATCTAGGTAGAGCAGCCCACGACGGATTCGATCCACGATGGTCGATGGGCTGAACAAGAAACATGCCCGACCTCGGGCTAACAAAGCACTGACGACCCCACCAAAGCCGCGACAAGAGGCTCGAGGAGAGGGTTGCGAGGGGCCAGGGCGTGGCGCCAGATGCTGAATAATGAGGGGTCGTTGGCCCTTCTCCAAATAAATCTTCCCCTGGCGCTACGACTCAGCCCGCACCAGTCCGCTTCACTGTGTGGAATTCTCCCATACATGGCGCGTCGCTGCTGGGCCCGCCTGTACGCCTATGGGGATACCGACGGGGCTGCAGCCTCTGGCAACTGGGAGGGAGCAAATGCGCTCGCTGCCCAGAGCCTGGAGAGGGCATACGACGGTTGGCGGTTGTTGCAATGCCTACGGACGGCCCAGAAAGACGGTATCTGTTGCAGATTGGTAGTTATACTGGAGGTAATACTGGAAGTAATACTGCCAGACCGCTATACCGATGGCGGACTGTACCGCGAGCCGCATGCACTGTGCCCCCCGTGTGACGTTTCTTATCAGATTTTCAACCGTTTGACTCGCCTCGCCTCGCCTCGCCGCGTCCCGTCTCGAAAATAGGAGCCGCACGCACACGCAACGCGCACATTGTTCCTTGCCTCCGTTTGCTTGTAAACTAGCTTGCCCGTCAGTCTGATTACTGTCCCCGAGTGACATACTAGTCGCTCGAATCTTCCGTCGCTCCAACTAGTCTGCATCTGCTTAGACATCCTTGTTAGACCAGCCGTGCCCGCGCTCTCATCGTTCCTATAGAAAAGAAGGCATCGTCCGCCCTCGGTCCCCCGATCCACACACACATTCCTTCCTTCCTCTGCAGAAAACCGCCAAGCTGTTTTCCTCCGCCTTTAGACGAACCCTCCGTGCCGGCGCCCCCGGACTCTCAGTCGCTGCACTCGCTACCGCAGGCCTCAACCAGAGGACCGCCCCAAAGCAACCCTTCCAGAAGCTGTCGGCCGCCGGGATGCATAGCAAGGTCGTCATCATCGGCTCCGGGCCCGCTGCCCACACCGCCGCCGTCTACCTGGCGCGTGCCGAGCTGAAGCCCGTCCTCTACGAGGGCTTCATGGCCAACGGCATCGCCGCCGGTGGCCAGCTCACCACCACCACCGACGTCGAGAACTTTCCCGGTTTCCCCAAGGGCATCATGGGCTCTGAACTCATGGTGCGTACAAAAACAATCACAACCATACATGCAACTGCCAAGCCCTCTTGAACTTGACCGCTGGCGGCAGCAGCAGCAGCAGAGTGTGTACTGACCATTGCCTTTCCAGGACGCCATGAAGGCACAGTCGGAGCGCTTCGGCACCCAGATCATCTCCGAGACCATCGCCAAGCTCGACCTCTCGGCCCGCCCCTTCAAGTACGAGACCGAATGGGCCCCCGGCACCGTCCACACCGCCGACGCCATCATCCTGGCCACCGGCGCCTCCGCCAAGAGGCTGGGCCTCCCCGGTGAGGACAAGTACTGGCAGAACGGCATCAGCGCCTGCGCCGTGTGCGACGGCGCCGTCCCCATCTACCGCAACAAGCCCCTGGTCGTCATTGGCGGCGGCGACAGCGCCGCCGAGGAGGCCACCTTCCTGACCAAGTACGGCAGCCACGTTACGGTGCTGGTGCGTCGGGACCAGCTGAGGGCCAGCAGCATCATGGCCCAGCGCCTGCTCGAGCACCCCAAGGTCACCGTCCGCTTCCACACCCAGGCCGTCGAGGTCAAGGGCGACGACAAGGGCCTGATGAGCCACCTGGTCATCAAGAACTCCCAGACCGGCGAGCAGGAGACCCTCGAGGCCAACGGTCTGTTCTACGCCATCGGCCACGACCCCGCCACCAGCCTCGTCAAGGGACAGCTCGAGACGGACGACGAGGGCTACGTCGTCACCAAGCCCGGCACCCCTCTCACAACCGTCGAGGGTGTCTTTGCCGCCGGTGACGTCCAGGACAAGAGATACAGACAGGCCATCACGAGTGCTGGTATGTCCTTTCCCCCCAAACCCTATAAACCCCCCTCCGATACATGTTGAAACTGACTTACCGCACCAGGTTCGGGATGCATGGCTGCTCTGGACGCTGAGAAGTTCCTGGCAGACCTTGAGGTCGACGAGCGTGAGGGTGCTGCCAAGGGCAGCTTGTGATCTTCTTTTGGGGGGCGCCGATTATACCAGACCCGTCATATTTATGGCTGACGAATGATATAGACCATGCATTGATGTACATAGACTAATACCAAAGACCGTCAAACTCACACTCTTGGCCTGAAGCGCCAGGCTGCCCAATTCACATAGACCATGCCCCACCAACCACATCGGGGACTTGCAGTTGCATTCACTCTGAGCTGCCGTCTCTATCGTGAGCCTTGTCGTTTTGAGACAAGAGCAGCATGCAGAGCCACTTCGACTCGGCGTTGTTCTTCCAGCGGGCGTGGTATACTACCCCACTCCGTGAATTGCAAATGACATGATTTCAGTAGACAGCAAAGAGATACAGTAGAGGGTGGTGATACTCGGTTTGCGAGGCACAGATCCGGACTGGCACGGTAGGGTTTCCATGGCATGGCGGGCGCTTGCCTCGTAAGGAGGTGAGGAGAGAGCAACAGCCCATCTGCAAGAAGCAAACGACATATGGCACATCTCCTGGATACGTTTTCATCATATGAAGAGTATCAAGCCTGAGCCTGCCGAAGTCTGATTGGCGCAACCTAGGCCAGAGCAAACAGAGCTAGCTGCAAACCCCCACCCATTCATTCACCTGACGGGAACCTTGGCCAACGGGAGATTCCGGTGACGTGAAGTATAAATCCCCAGGCGCTCCGCAACCGTCGTGTTTCACTCCGGCTCCTTGCCCTGCCCTGCTTCTTCTTATCATCGTTCCACATACCCATCGTTGTAGTCTTGCAGACACCCAAATAAGTCCGTGAACGTTCGCATCGACACTGGAAGCCACAATGCCTAGCGGCAAGGGATACAACATCACGTCCTCGGGGACCAACAGCCAGGTAAGGATCACCCGGTCCCCTCTCGACCTACTCCCAGACCAAGGTTTACCAGCATGGGCCTTCGCTAACATGGGCTTCCTAAAGGGAAACCACTACTGTTCCCGTGACTACGGCTCCAGCGCCTCGAACCAGAACTCATACCATTACTCCAACACGCAAGTCTATCTTTTCCCTACCCAAAAAATCAGTTCTGCATTGCAGCATGTGCACATAGAGAGTGGCGTTCTCCTGACATGCTAACGGATGTGCAGCAATGGCTCGTACTACTACTCCAACCCCAATGGCAGTACCTACTACAACAACGGCCAGGGTGGTTCCACCTACACCTCGTCCAGTGGACAGAGCTACTCCGGCGGCTCTGGCAAGAAGTGAGTGTTGCCATGGTTGGTAGACTGAGGTCTGGAGTCCTCATAGAACTGCTGCCGTGTTTACTCGCCTGGTAGCAGTAGTTTGCGGCAACATGGTAGCTGTTCACAGCAGAGAGGAATGAAATGTCGTAGCCCCAAGCTCCCTTCGTTGCGCATGCCATTCACTATTTTCCCTAAAGGTGACTATTGGACTAGTTCCTCCATGTGCCATTATTGCAGCTGAAGCTGGAAGTCTTGCTGCCTCGGCAAATTCATCTCCAGCGAACAGTATACATCTCTTGCGTCCAGAAGAGAAGGAAGAGGACCTTCTAACGGACATGTAAGATAGCAACAGGTTCCATCTAACGACACGTCGTTCTCCAGCTGTCACTCACCCCCTTACTCCAGCCTCAATTTGACGTGTCCCTGTTATGTCTTGTCAAGATCCATACTGTCCTAAGCAGGCTGAATGTGGTTGTCTTTGGTCGTACGACCACTCGTTCATCCATCTCAAAGTAGTATCTTCCGTGACTCGAGTACCGTACGACGTGCTTTGCCTACTCTTGTGTCCAGCCTTGGGTCTCCCAGTGCGCAACAGCGCTCGCGGGAACCTTGATTTTCTGAATCATAGTCACGTACTCGTCCCGAGGAGCGCGCGTGTCAGGCTTGTCGCGATCCCAGAGCTGATGTACACGTGAACCATGTTCAGCAGGCCCCCCATATGCTGGCGAGAGCTTCACCCTCTTTGGTTCGCTTGGCCCATGATGGACCGTGTTCGTAGAGGCATCAGCGCTGAGAGCTCGCTTCGTACGTGTCACAGGCCCATGTTGCATGATCGGAGCAACTGGAGCTTTGTAGTTGTAGCCATCACCCGAGAGTGCAGTACTCGGTATTCCGGACGTCGATACTGGCGCAGGCTCTGGGGTTGAAGCAATTGAACTAGTCGAGCCCCTCTCGCGGACCGGAACTGCTGGGAAATGGTGAGCCACCGAGGGATACTGAACCATGTTAGCAGATGGGATTGTCTTTGGGTTTAGAAGCACACACCAGGGCAACGCCACGTGGTATTCCGGCTTGGAGTTTTTGTTTCTCGAAATACGCTCCATCCAGGGCGGTGACGGCCGCCGCCGCATCACCAGCGCACCCGAATTTCATTCTGCACCAAAATTTGAGTTGGTTGGGCGACTCGGTCTCAGGCCACAGAAGCTCGCATGGCGCAACGCCCTTTTGCCGGAGGAAGTGATCGAGACGCTCCCTGGTCGAGACTGTCTTGATCCTGGCGAGGTGGATGATTCGGCCACGTCCCGCCCATTTCTTCTGATCTTGGTTGCAGTAGACACGGAGCGGAAGATGAGTGTACATGGCTGTGGATGGCACGCTGCGAGCAGAGAGGTCATGGGCTGCGGTTCCTGTGGCATCTTCCATTTCGAACCTTTCAGGCCTTACACATGGCAGAAGGAAGGTGGTGGGTATTGAGAGGCGAGAGCAATGGTGGCTGCCCGTTTGTGCTGGGCGTCGCTGGGTTCTCAGGGTTACTGTAGTTGGTGTACTCGAGTGGCACTGTCGTGGGGTGCCTGGTTCGATTTTCTACGTGTAAAGATGAAACATATACAGAATCTACCGTCGCTCTTCAGGGGGTAGAATTAAACATGTGGGAGGTCACGCGGCCACGGATGCAAAAATCTGGGATTTCTTGCCAGCAGGCAACAAGATGGTTCAACTTGGTTTGTAGATGACTCGCCAGCCTGTGATCCAGTCAACAAGAGCACGGACATGTATGGTTCTTATATAATATTGAATATTCCTAGATCATGCTTTCATATTTTACTAGTCTGCTAGATATTGGCTTGAGAAACGAGACGCCTGTCAACATGATTTCCGCGTACGGAACAGCCCCTCACGGGATCCATGGGCGCCTGGCGATGTTTCAAGCATTCACCAGTCAGGAAAAAGCCCATGTTCACGAACCTGTTACGGCTGCTGTGCTTGCCTCCCACGGAGCTTCCAAGATCCACTGTTGCCATCTGTCAAGATGAATGTCATCTCTTTCCAGTTGCAGCTTAATCTCGATCTCACATTCCTCTCCACCGGTCCGGGGCTGGCGTACTTCCAATGGGTAGCCTAGGTGTGACAGAATTATGCTAGAGGCTCCTCCCTTACTCTGAGATGGGCAGACGGAGAGGTGGCAGTACACCGGATTCGGCGAGAGACCTCGCGATAACCACGACCCCGCCGTAGATACGGTGTGGGCCCCGGATAGTATACTCACATTATCATCTTCAGCGCTAGCACCAGGTTGATGACGTTTGGCGCTGTTGACCAGCTTGCGATGCAGATCTAGCACGCAGATACCAAAGGCAGCCGTATCTGGTTTGTCGAGGATTCGTATGAGAGATCTGGTGAATGATCCAGGACGACCAAAGCTTAGAGCGCTCTCATCTGCGCTTGCGCCGAGGTGCTCAAAGACTGGAGCGTTCGAGACACCCTGGCCGTGGAGACTACTACCACAGTCGTAGAGAGTCAAGACATGTGACTTGGCAGAACCGAGAATCTGCGGTACTATCAACGAGTTTACCTCTGCCCCCCACTTCCTGATAGGTATGTCAGTAACCATGGCATAATGAAGTTCCAGGGTGTGTGGGCAATGCACTCTCCAAACCACATGACGGGGCCTTTGCCGCCGTCTGTCTCTTTGGCTGATCCTGCATACCTGACAACGTTCAGTGTTGACCTCATAACCAATAGGATATCCCCGATCAAGATATAGCTATGTGACTTTCTGTCCAAGAGATGACCTACCAGAATATCAACAGATTACCCTCTTTCCCATGATCTCGAACGAATTGTGACAACTTCCCCGCTAAGAAATATTGCGGCTGGTCGACGGTCGGTATTAGCCAGGTCTGAACATCAAAGCTGTATAGCCTCCTGAAGACCTCAGCGAGGCTCTTTGCGGCCTCGTCCGCTCTAAAGCTAGGATCGTCAGTATCTGCCCAATGGGTGAGCAGTACTTTGACTGCCTGATACCGGCTTTGATGCCGAGTTCTCCAGTGCTGGTCAATTGCCTCTTGTAATCGCCGTGCCAAGTCGGATATGTGACCCTTCGCAGGATCTCGTCTTTCAACCATGTCGCTTACAGCACCTACTGCACGATTCCAGCTATCGCTGAGCCCCGCTCGATTGAAGAAACGACCACGACGGGTAGAAGTTCGCATGTTGAGCAGATTGTATGGTTCACTTTCAAGTTTGCCTCAAAATCGCTTGAGGAAGAAATAATTTGTCAGTTTGTTCGGGAGTGCAACGCGCAAAGAACACCAAATCCTAGTGTAGTTCGGTGGCTAGGTAAATAGAGCTCTGAGGTTTGCTCAGTTACCGGACATGACTGTTCCCTACCCAAAAAGGGAGCGGCTTGTGATGCATCAGATATGGATATCGAGTTTTCAATGATTCAGAGGCTGACTACAATCACATGGCTTGGCTTGCTCTGTGATTTATTCACCATATGTACCATAGGTAAATAATACCGCTAGGATTATTCTGAATGTATGGAAATACAAAGGCTGGGTAAACAAACTTCTTGTTCTGGCGAGAATCAGTCGATGATCTGTATTAGTCGGTGCCGTTTGGCCGATGCGCAAAACTCGTGGATCTAGATTGTAAGGAAGCATGCTGTCTGCGTCGAGCTTCAAGTTTGGCCGTGAATGATTACTTCATTAGCCTGCATCTAGTTGGCAGGTGGGTTAATCACCGATTCACGAAGTACTGCAAGCCGCAAGTAAAAGGCAAGAGAGATGCTAAGATGATGTCGCACTGGTATTTGGAATGAGACCGATACTAGCCACAATATACTCAACCCCAATACCTCTGTCGGCTTGTTTACCACATGTCGTGATTTTCCTTCGCCTCTAGCTGGTTCAAGATGACCTCAAGAATGCTTTCTGTCATGTCAGCACCCTCCCCCTCCTTCCGCGAATCATCAAGAAGGGTAGTTGCACAGGATAATACCACCAAAAGACGGCTGTAGGTTTTCCGATGTATATTGCTCAAGTATTCAAGAGGCAGGAAGTGAATTTTGGAAGCCAGGCCACTGGTTGTTTTCTGGTAATAGCATGTCTGGGAGGCTGATATACCCGCTATCTGAAGTGGGCTCCTGTGGCGTCTCCAATTTGCGGGACTGGTATGTAAATCGACTCTTGAACACCTGGGCTTTCTCCTGATTGAACTTTCGGCAGCTGTCCAGACCACCCAGTAATATGATATCAACATTGGCTTTGCAGAGTTGGAGAGCCTCAAGTGATTCTGGCGAGGACGTCCGGGTGAGGTGATCAAGATCGTGCGTGTTGTCCATATCCCAGAAGACTTTGAAGAAGGCCAACTCCTCGCTGAGCGACCACTTCTGTGCCAAATCGTAGAGCTTTCCCATGCGAAGTCCATCTGGAAACTCCAAGACTTTGAAACTCATACTGTTGTGTAGCCACTCAGACGGTCGCATCATCAAACACCCGAGCCTCCGAACGGGCGGTTGCGAGACAAGTAGGTGCCGCCAGCTGCTTCCTCCGCGCATGAACGCCCTTCTTCGTTTCGCCGATGCTAGTGTCAGCGTTTCATAACAGCTTGGGTATCGGCCGTTAGAATAATCGCTGTAGTAGTAGATGTGGCGATGCGCAAAGTCATCGAACCAGGGCGCGAAGGTTTTCTTAAGTAGTGGGCTGTGATCACGGTTGCGTTCATATGCTCCAGGCGTGGCCTGTAGGAAAAGTGCACGCTGCAATTTCAGCGATCCTAGAATTGTGGCCTGCCACTGCTTGTTAACGCGCTGTGCGGACGTGGTCAGGGTTCGTGGATCAAGGAATAGTAGGATTTCAACGAGAAGCTCGGGGATGTTGAAAGGGGTGCTTGATGTTTGTGACATTGTCGATACTGGGACTGGTGCGCTACTGCTGGTGGCTTTAGAACCGAGGTATAACTTAGTGCGATCACTCACACCAGGGAGACGAGGTGGCAAGTGACATGTAAGGGGTTGGGGGTCTTATATAGGCCAACCAGTACCTAGGTACATGGGTTGTCAACTTAGAACATAGGCATCAACGGCGTGAAGGTCCCGGCAATGTGTCTGATTGGTTAGCCGTAGGGTGTGTGGCCGCAAGGACCTGCAAGCACCAACTTCGGACGAATCATATCAATCGGAAGCGGTCGAGCACATTACTACTATCAGGAAGGATCGGCCTTCCTGCCGACCACGGGCTCTACAAGAGCTTACACTACCATTTCCCCATCCTTGATTTCCCCCAGCTGTCCCCCATCCCGTCAAAACTGCCAATATTGAGGTCCACAAAGTGAGATTTTCCATTGTTAAGATCCACCTACATATGCCAAGTGAGATCTATACAAGGCCGTTTATCCTCTGGGCCTCCATTGAGTCCCCTCCAGGTCAATACCAATTACGATTTCAAATCCCGGTCTTCATCCATCAAGTTCTCGCATTACCATGGGCTTCCAAATATACGTTGTGACGAGTTTGATAACCACCATATGCTCGTGTTTCCTGCACGAGTAAGACAGTGGATGATGATTTCGGGGGGGAGGGACAGTTTACATGTAATCTGGTCTTGGGTTAACATTACGCCGCATGAAACTGGACTAGAAATTTGGACGAATAAGTGAGCTTGAGATTACAAAGGTATCGATATCGAACCCAGTTCGTATCACATTATTGTCCATGGCTCGCCCAGTAGCTATGCCTGCCGTTAAAGTGTCGACCCATTGTATCAACTTGGACTCTGCTGCGTCATTCTCTAGCTGTTTAACGGTAATATAGGTGACTCTGAGGCATCGTAGAGGGTTCCAAGCGCTTGAGACAAAGCTCCACAGACATCATGGACCAGCTTCTTCCCAATCTGGTGGATGCTATGGACGAGATTGTCAGCTATATTCGCGCCCGCTGCGAGGCCACCTGAGATGGGAGGTCACATACCCAGCGAGAACCAGGATGCTATGTGTAGCCCCCTTGTAGACCTTTACAGTGGTGTCCACCCCGGCTTGCTCCAACACCTCAGCGTACCGAAGCGCCTCGGGTGCGAGCAGATCACATTCTGAGACACCGATGAAGGTCTTTGGACTCTTCGCTTGCAAGTCCGGCGGCGCGAAGCACGGGGATGCGTCCCAATTCGCTGCCTCAGAAGGAAGCGAGAAGTATTTCTCACGGTACCAAGTCATGCGGGAGGGGGTCAGCCACGGCGCGTGCTGAGACCCGTACCAGATCGTGTCTGTCGTCGCGGTGTTGTCTATGACGGGGCATATCATTACTTGGAAGACTGGTTTCGGCAAAATAGCGAGCTTCGATATCTTGAGCGACAGGATTGCCGTTAGACAGCCGCCACTGGGTCAGGTGAGTTCGTTTCCCGGTTTTGGGTGCAGGAGATTTTGGGGTGGTACGGACGGGGTACTGACGCTGATAATCCCCCGATTGCCAACTTTGATGTGTTGATGCAAAGTGTCTCTGAATTGTTGTCTTCTACGATCCATTGGAAGGCCTCGAGTACGTCGTTGGCAGCGGCTGGATAGACGTGCTCGGGTGCATGGCGATAGTTGACGGATACCACCACGCAGTTTACATCTTCACAGCTCCCAGTTCAGCGAGTGGGTATGACGGTCGACTCCGTCTCTTTGAGCGCTATTGACCAGGAACATAACTTACACTTGCAAACATGCTTGAGAAATCCGTTCTCGCTTCCTAACCCGCCCATCACCCATCCACCCCCATGAAGCCATATCAACGCCGGCCATCCGCCTTCTGGCGTAGCTCCCTCGGGAGTGAAGACTCGGACTTGGAAGTTGCCAATATCCTTGTCAAAGACTGCTCCTACTTCCACATGTTTCTGATCCCCCAGCGCCATGGGTGAAGGGCGATCCCGAGATTTGGGATCCCATGGCGTGGCCTCAGATGGAAGTACATATTGGATATGCTCATCATGAAATGTGGCGTACTCCGAATCAAGCGATGATCGAATGGACAGATGTATGGGCTGATGAGCCTCTCGAGTGTCGGTCGCCATCTCGGCAGCGTGGCCGCACTGTGTTCCGCAGGTTACCCGATTTGTTGGGAAACTGGCTGATGCGTCACGGAGTCGATATGGCCGGTTCTAATCGCGCAGTTGAAGATGACGCACAATCACACTTCTCGCGCGTTGCTCGGTCGTGTTGCAGGCACTCCGAGCAACATGTGCACCGGTTACTGGTAGTTCAGGGTCAGCCTGCCGGAAGATGTGGAGTAGACCCCGGAGCTCCACTTGGGGTTTGCTCGCCAACGACGCCGGAGCCAGTGGGCTGGCATCAACGTCTCTTAACAATGGAAGCAGAATGGTCAGAATTATTTACCCGCTGTACCCTAGCTCTGGTATCACCAGACGGGCTTGTATTGCGTACGAAGAGAGTAGCGCTCATCCGTGCCCCCACACACTCGGGGTCAGATCAACCTACCACCACGGGCAGGGTGTTTATGACTAGGCGGCCGGATCTGTTCGCATTGCAGAACCCCCCCGATGCGGCGGACCTATTTGAAGAGGTCATCTGGGGGTTATCATGAGCTACCTTTGTGTGGTCTGGATCCTAGCACCAGGTACGCAAGGGAGTACTTCTTCAGCGCCATCTGTTTATGTACCATAGCGAGCCTCTTTTGTTTCTCCCTTTGATTACACGCCCATGATACTCCTGAGACAACCTAGGCAGCAGACGGGCAGAATTCAACTGTTTTTTTAAGCATTTTCTTCCAGAATCCCGAACCTGTCCCACCGGTGAATTGAGATTCTCGTAGATTGTACAGTGGGTATACTATCGCTACACGTCATATATATATATACACATCTATCATCGTGTCCAGCATGAAGGGGACACCTTTTTCTTCTTCTTACACATCCACATACCATCGTTGAGCTGGTGTCTACATCCGCAAATTTCCCCATTGGGTTCCCTTGCACAGACGCCAGAATACGAACACCAGCAACTCTGTTGGTAGCGGGGCTGATTCCCTGCTTTCCTTCTCTCCCTCTTAGAGCTTGCCTGACTGTCGAGTACCAAGGCATCATGGTTTTTCATGAGGCCACGGGGGCGAGCCACCCGGCATGTACAGTTGGCCCTTGGCATGCGCCTCTTCCCGTGCCATGTCGTGCGACAGGTCCTGCTTCATCCGCCTCCACTCGGATTGCGTCAGGTCGACGCCTTCCTCGCGCATCTCGTCCAGCGTCTTCTTGATCTCACGGAACTTGCCCGAGCCGGGCATGCCCGGGTACGTCTTGCCGCTGGCCTTGTACTCCTCGTCGCTCACCATCTTGACGATGCGGAAAAAGTGTTTGCCACGGCGCAGGATCAGCAGATGCCCGTCGAGGAGGAAGTTTTTAGTGTCTGCCGGGAACCAGTTCTTGATGGGTGTGAAGGTGAGGTCGCCGTAAGTCATGCCCTTGTTGGTGGCCGACGCCTGGCCGGGGGAGCCGGCCACGTACGCACCCTGCTGCTTCGTGAGTCGTAGGCCGTCCGTGATGCTGGCCGCCAGCCCGGCTGCGTAGAGGATCCTGCCCATGGACTTGCCGAGGACGAGGGACTCGGGGAGCTCGATGTCGGGGTTGAAGCCCGTGGCGAGAGCGGCGGTGGCGGGTTCCGCACTGGGGTAAGTGTCGAGCTCGACCGTCCTGGTGCTGCCGGTGGACACGGTGGTGCCCGCCTTCTTGGCATAGATGGCCTGATGCTGCTCCCGAGCGTTCTTGGCCATCTGCGTGCTGTGGGCCAGACAGACGACGTCGTGGGCGAGGGCATGCTGGGCGACCCGCTGGGAGGGGTCCTGGCTGTGCTCCTCCATAATCTTGGCGATGGCGTCCGAGGGCATGAAGGTCAGGAGTCTCAAGAGATTGCCGACGTCGGCATCCGGGCGGCGCATGAAGTATCCGTACAGGTCAAAGGAGCTCGTGAGGAAGGGGTCCAGCCAGACGGCGTTGCCGGCGCTCTTGCCGAACTTGGCGCCGGACGAGTCGGTCAGCAGGGGGACGGTGAAGCCGACGGGGGTGTTGAGAAGGTCGTCGGGTCGGCGCAGCTCCTCCTGGGGCTCCGTGTCGCGCAGGTACTTGATGGCCTCGATGCCGCTCACGATGTTGCCGTACTGGTCGGAGCCGCCGATCTGCATCATGACGTCCTTGGGGGACGAGTACATGTGCCACCAGTCCCAGGCCTGGACGAGGGGGTAGATGAACTCGTCCAGGGGCATGCCGGAGCCGTTCTCCTCCAGCCTCCGCTTGACCGTGTCGCGCGACAGCAGCGGGCCCATGCGCATGCCCTTGAAGAGCCTGCCGACGACCTCCATGAAAGGGGTGCTGTTGAGCCAGGTGCTGTTGTTGACCAGGGCGCGCGACCACATGTACTCCTTCTGGAAGCCGTAGCGGGCGCCCAGCGTTTCGACATTGCCCCATATCCGCTTGAGCTGGTAGTGGCACTTTGTGATGTTGGTGGTCAGGTCGCTCCGGGGGATCTTGTCGCGGGCCTGCAGGCGGTCGGTGGGATCGCCGATCTTGGCGGTGCCGCCGCCTATCAAGGTGTTGCAGCCGTAGCCGTGCAGGTAGAGCCAGAACAGGGCCATGAAGGGCAGCAGGTGGCCGACGTGGAGCGACTGGGCGGTCGGGTCGACGCCGACGTAGGCGCCGATTCGTTTCCTGCGCATGAGCTCGCGTATCTGCTTGTCGGTGCTGGAACGGGGTAGCCACGGGTCAGCCACGGGGACAAGCAAGACGGCGCGCAACGGGAGGTTTTTTGATGGATGGGTTAGACATACCCGGCGGTGTCCTTGACGTAGCCACGCTCCTTGAGAAAGTCCCAGGGATTATATTCCTCTCCATTCTGGATCCTCTCGGCCTTGCGATCCCAGGCGACCTGCTGGATCTGGCGCTTCTTTTCGACTTTCCTGGAGATGCCTCTCCGCTGCGAGTAGGTAGCGGCGAGCTTCGCTTTCAGACATTGGCGGCACACGGTCGGGCGTGCGGCCAGGAGAGCGGGCGCTGTGAGTAACGGCCCGGAAGGCATGACGGAGAGAGAGGCGGGCGGCGAGCGAGACGGGAAGAAATGGGGAAGGGAAAGGGACTAGAATTACATTGACTGAAGACGAAGTAACGAGAAGTGAAGAAGAGAAGAGCCGGTCATGCGGCTGTCGAACTTGGCTACTGGTACATGGGATGGGGGGGGAGGCTCCCATACACACGCACACTGCTGCAAAGTCGAACCTGGTAGTGCAGCTGTAGGCTTAGGATAGGTATAGACGTACGTCAGGAATCAAGTACAAGTTGGGATATACAGAATTTCATGCCGACAATGCGCCGTTGCCAGCTGCGCGCCGCCAAGCTCCGACCGTGCCAGGCCCAGCTCTCTCTCTCTCTCTCTCTTTTTTTTTTTTTTTTTTTTTTTTTTTTTTTGGTCTCCCCTTCCATTGGGTCCAATTGGATGCATGGATGGACTCTCCACTGGGACGGGTCGCTAGGTGGTAGCCACTTGGGCGGAATATTGATGATGCGTCGACACCCACTGGTGTAGGTACTACAGTGACTATGTACTTTGAGATCGGAATGAGCCGTCATCGACGACGGAAAGCCGGGGCCGCCCTCTGTGCCGGGATGTCGCATGATGTCCGGCCTGGTCGAGCTGGTGGGTTGATCCCCAGCTAGTACAAGAAAGCTGTCCTACAAGGCATGTATCTGGATGACATTGGAATAGAAATAGATGAGGCTCGAGACGGATGCAGATGCGCACATGGCAGATGGTGGCGTCGGACACGATACATGGCTTGGTGGTTGTAGCTGTGCCGTCCACATAACTAGCATATGTACATGTGCACATTCCCGAGATGCCCAGGCGGTGGCCAATCAGCGGGCTTCCAATTGAGATCCTCGGCAATCCAAACCAACTAACCCGTAAGTTAGCCTGCCCCCGGGTTTGCCTACCGTACCGTGCAGCAGAACAGAACGACGACACCGACGACGACGACGACCTCTCAAACAGGCGATTGATTGACCGGTCGATTGACACAGCGGGCAGCTCTGATTGCGCACACCCACACTGCTCTCCCATCCGCCGCCCCCGATCACCTCCGAACAGCCATGGCCTCCATCATCAGACCGGCTCTGCTGAGGCAGACTGCCATGGCCGCCGCCGCCGCCCGCCCGGCCATGCGCAGCGCCTTCGTCAGGGACGCCGTCCGCGTCTCGGCCTTCCACGCCTCGAGCAGGAAGAACCTCTTGCCCCCGGGCCCTCGTACGTGTCTCGCTGCTGCTTTCCTCCCTCCGTCCTCGGGCACCAATTGGCTAACCACCGCGTCCAGAGGTCATCCAAGGAACAGGTACGACGACTCCCCTCCTCCCCATGCGAAATCCCCTCGCAGCGGACAAAACGCACCAGCCCATCTTGGGGGAAGCATTGCGATGCCATGCCATGCCATGCCAACGCAACCAATACCCTTGAATCTGAAAGAGGGAAGGAGATGGAATGAAATGAAATGAGATCAAAGAGGAAAACGAGAGACAGCCTCCGCCGGGCGTGTACCCCTCTGGCACCTGTTACTGACCATCCCGCGTGTCCTCAGTCAACGACCCGGCCCCCGTGCCTCCCACCTCGCCCTCGCACGGCTCCTACCACTGGACCTTTGACCGCCTCATCGCCGGCTCGCTCATCCCCCTGGCCGTCGCCCCCTTCGCCGCCGGCTCGCTCAACCCCGTCATGGACGCCACCCTGTGCTCCCTCCTCGTCATCCACAGCCACACCGGCTTCCAGAACATCCTCATCGACTACGTCCCCACCGGCCGCTACCCCAAGGCCCGCAAGTCGCTCATGTGGGCCCTGAACGGCGCCACCGTCCTGGTCGCCATCGGCCTGTACGAGTTTGAGACCAACGATGTCGGCGTGACCGAGGCCATCAAGAGGGTCTGGAAGGCGTAAGGGCGCAACCACTCATCAGACCCAGGGCGGCAGGCAGCACGTATGCGGGGGAGCTCCCAATCATGGGAAGGGGGTGTGGTGGATGATGGATTTTGTTTACCTAGGCAAGGACAGGCTTGTAGGACGGGACTGCAACTGTGTGCGGGGTTCCATCCGTCAAGGCATGAAATGACCTCTTGTGCCACAAATCGGCGAGCTCGAGTGTAGGGCATGCCGTGTACTGAATACGACTAGTATATACATTTCACTGTTCATACTCAGCTTGACGCTTGTGATTGTTTGCCTTCATTACAGCTGCCCGTCCGTCTCTGAAGGCCTCATTTGCCTGCAATCTAGTCCAGCGCGCTGCGTGTCTTTTCAGGGCCGCGGGAGCGGCTTTTATAGATGCGTTCGAGCTTCCAAGGCATTGGCACCGGGTTTCTGGCCATTTCGAACAAGCACGGCCGTTTTGATCTCAGGATGGCCAGACAGTGAACCGAGTAGGTGCACACGCCGTGGGCATCGAAACTTTGCAGATGCAAAGGTGAAAGGAAGGTTGCGATACCTATGGGTCGCTCTACAGCCAAGCACCCGCGCATTCAAGCCCCGCTCAGAGAGTACTTGCTTGACAATCGTCCTCCTCCGAGTCAGGCTGTGTGTGTGTATCATGTAGGAACAGGGGAAGTTGTGCACTCTCGCCAAACAAGAATAATGGGGGTTAGTACGAGCACTTTCTCGGACAACAACAACAAAACATGCGACGCGGCGAGACCCTAGTTGAGCTGGAAGGACTCATCAGTTACATACGCCAGAAATGGTGTCATTATCGTTTCTAAAATCAAAGCCGTTTCCTCCCAATGTTGCCTCAAGGCCATTCCCAGGACTATTTTTGGGTATATATACAAGTTGAAAGCCATACATATCTTATGCCTGCCTGCCCCAGCCGAGAGTCATCTGCTCCCAAGCAGCGACCCGAGGCTCTTCCCCTTTGTCGATCTGCCGCAACGCCAACATGTAAATGCTTTGCTGAAATGCTTGCTCGCTCGCTCGCTCGCTTGGTTCGCTTCGCTCAACTCCAGTGGTAGGATGATATAAGCTGAACCCAAAAAGAGACTCCCGCCGAAGGGTCGATTGACTACCAACTAAGGCGTATTCCCCTTCTTCTGCCATCCCTGGCAGGCCGCGGTATCGGTTTGAACCCCGTCTTACTCGGGCTTTTGTCCGTACCAGAAGTAAAAGTTCCAGTACCGATGCACAGACATGTCTTCGAGGGCCTTGAATGCAGCAGCTCGCCACAGCTCCCGCTCGACCGTGTTCAGGCCCAGCACCTGCAGCGGCTTACCCGCCAGGGCAGGTAGAAAATCCTGGATGACCAGCTTCAGGTAATGCCCAGTCAATCGAAGGCGTCGGTCCCTCGCCCATGTTCCGACTGGTATCTTCTTGACGACGCACTGCACGTTTGTGAATCCTGCTTGCCTCAGGGGTTCGCCGAGTTTCGAGGCAGCGTGCACGTCGTAGCCGAGTTTTGAGAAGGCCTCGGCAACGAGCCTGTACATGCCGAAGCCGGCGTCGTCCTCTGGCATGGTCCCGTCGTCGCATTGCATCCAGCCATGCAGTTCTTGCCACTCCATCCACCCGCCAGGCTTGATGTTGGCGAAAGCCTGCCGGCACATCTTGGGCACGTCCTTGAGAATCGGCGACATGGTTCGCAGATGTACCAGGTCATAATTATCGCCGTTGAGCCACTCATCCTCGCAGTCATCAATGAGGAACTTGACATTAGGTGGAATCCAGACTGGCTGTATCGGCGAGAGGTCTATACCCAGCACCGAGGCACTTGGATATCTGTCGCCGGCTGCGGATTGATCATGTTAGCAGCCGTGCTCGTGACACTATGGAGATTCAGGTGCCGCAAGGGGCGGCGGGCACACGTGCCACGGACATACCTTCAATGGCCCATTGCCCTGTGATCCGAGGTCAGCTTTACGTTCCCTATATCAACTGCGCAGCCAATCGGCAGGCCTACGAGGGGTTGCGAGGGCTTACCTGTTCCCGTGCCGACGTCAATGATCTTCTGGGGGTTGTCTCCAATGGGAGAGTAGCACAGCCTGCCATCCGTCATCTCCAACATCATCACATGCTTCATGTCCTCGCGGTTCTGCTCCTGGTCGTCGTTCGGTATCGGATAGCGGCCGTTCTTGTAGCTGTGATAGCGCCGTCCATTCTCGTAGGTGTGGGCGTAGATGCTGGAGTTGACCGAGGTCGAGGCGGTCGAGGCGCCCTCGTCGCCCCACTCGGACGGCTCGAACTCGTCGCTGTCGACGCTGTCCTCGCCGGCCTCGATGGTGTTGTCCTCAAAGGCCTCGACGTCGTGCAGAGGTGACGAGGCCGCCGGGGCCGGCTCGGGCGCCGTGGCCGGCGGTGTCGAACTACCGGCCGACGGCTGCCCCGCTTGGGCCAGTTGGCCCCTGGGGCTTCTGGGAGCGGTCGAGGGCTCTCCGACCTGTGCTGCTGCACCAGGAGCTTCGGAGGACATGGTGGTGATCCTGTACTGGTGCTAATGCCTGTGCGGCGGGTGCTGGCCTGTCCTGGGCTGTGACGGTTGGCTCTCGGCTGGCCAGGCTAAACCTGAAGGTTGGGGTCTGTAGCAGCGGCGGGCGGATTCAATGGGCGCGCGTCGCCGTTCAGGCCGTTAAGGGCATGGATGGCGCAGCTAAGGGAAGGGGGGGTTGTTCGAGGGAAGCAGGACGGCCGCAAGATATGGATTCGGGGGTGGGAGAGAGCGAATGCGCAAATCTGTCGGCGACAATGTGCGGATGCGTGAGTGTTGTGCCCACCGCAGTTCCCGGACGTTGTTGGTTGGCACACGTCCTAGTCCCAGCTGAGAAATGTACGCCGCGCGCTGAGCCTTAGAGCGTCACAAGGGGGAGGGGGGGAGGGGAGGGCGGCCAGCCTGCCAGCCAGCCAGCTAGCCAGTCAGTCAACGACAGCCGAGGACGAAATGGCTTCTTGCCATTGCGAGCGGCTCAAAGACCCCAGAGAGACCCAGAGACCGAGAGGGCTGTCGGACACACTGCCGCTCAGTTGACCAGCCCCCTTTTGGGTCATCTCGTACGAAACCCGCAACATGGCTCAATGCGCTCTCATTGTTTCCGGGGCTGCGAGCGACGGGGCGACCCGGGTCGGGCAGGCAGCATGCGATTGAACAATTGACGGGGCCTTGCCAAGCGGCGCGGCAAGAGGGAAAAGCACACATCGGACGACGAATCGGCGCCTCTGTTGCGAGTTCCTAGCGCTGATGGGCGAGACATGTCGACATGCTTTTGCGATATGATGCTCTTGTCCAACCCCCACAGTCAGGCAACTTTGTCGTGCAGTACCGGTACTACCACAGCAGGCAGACAGTTCCATATCGCCAGTAGGTACATACCTAGCTAGGTAATCGGAACGGTCTCGCGAGAAACCCTCAGCAGCGAAGCGACAGCCGAGAAGCTCTTGGCTCAGCGGGCCCCTTGTGTCTTGAGTCTTGACGAACCATAATGCCTACCTATATGTGTGCGACTAGGTAGTCGCAGTATAGGCATACATACCATCGACCCCCGCGCGCACTTCGGCTTGACCTTGGACCTTGACCAAGACCGCCGTCGCCGGTGGTACTTTGGACCAGGGCACCCGCCTGCCGTGACGGGCAAGTCACTGTCCATGTGATTCTAGATTGGCCTGAGTAACGGATCACAATTGATGTTGTGCGAATGTCGAGAGTGAGCAAGTCAATAATCGCGATAGAGCGGGCTGCAGGCACTGTATGTAGATCCTTGGATAGGGTCCACGGTAGATCCCCAGTAGATAGACAGCGTACGTACCTGGTAACTTACTGGCTATACTTACATACTTACCTACAATCGTCATCTGGCAACCAACCTAGGATGGGCAACGCGCCAAATTGGGCCCGAGGCGGCTTCCACATTTCAAGTCTTTTCAGATTGAGCTCAGTGATGACCTGGAATGGACGAGCCCGTCCACATGCAGAAGCCTACCCTCCCCCCTCCCATACATAGGACCTACCTAGGTACGACGTGGATGAGAGCACCCACCCGGCTATACAGGCAGCATCGTGGCCAACATTCCCGCCTGCAATCCTACCTCACACCTTGCGATGGCCTTGCATATCCTGCAGCGGGCGCCGGGCACGGTTGGACCTTGGTCCCGGAGAATGGGCCTAACGGTCCATCGCGGCGGCGGCAGCTAACCGAAACATTGCCCTGCATGTTTCATGCCAGTCCAGTCTTGATCTCGGTTTGCATCTCGCCGACGGCACTGCACTGCACTGCACTTGCACCGCACTGCGCACTGCATTGCATCAATACCGTTACCTCGACGCACACAACCTTGGGTGTCGTGAAGGCACCTATATTAGGCCCGCAGTCTTGCATGGTAGCTATCAGCTTTGGTCCTGTAAGTCGACGAGGTACCCTCGCTGAGATGACGGCTCACGGCCCAGCGCATCATATATCGGAATCTGGCAGGGTCCTGACACTGACACCAGCGGCAGCTGTGCCAGCCAGCATCCCATGTGATCTAAAGGCGACGGCATCACACCCGGTCGGCCGTTTCGTCCCATCACCAGCACCCATCTCAGCTAGCTACTCGGAAGGCCGCCGTTGGCTGACTTTAGCCGTACACCGTCGCGGCGCAGAGATTGATTGCAATCATTCTGTCGAAATGATTTCATTCACTTAAAGACGCCAGGTAGTCTTGGATGGGGTGTTTTTTTTCCCGCCTCCCGCTATGTTAGCGCCGTTAGAGGTCCCCCAGGTCCAGCAACAAGCTCAGCGGCTTTGTTAGAGTTGGCTTGATCCGTAGATTGCCCACTGCTGGAGCATTTCGCTCCCGCTATGTCTCAGCATGAGAGGCTAAGTTATTAGATCGTCAGAGGGGACTGCTTACCACAGCCAAAATTGCGAACCTGGCACGGTGACTCCGACATTCCACAACCCCGGGGCCTGGCTCGAGCTCTACAGCTACATACTATGTACATGCAGCCACATTTAAGGGGGCAATGGCAGACATGGTATGAAGTACCCGAAGAGTCCGGATGAAATGATCCTCGATCGGCCGTATTTCTCGTGTTGTTCTCGGTAAATCTCAGCGAGGCTCGGCCATAGTGTGAAGTCGACAGCGTGATACTTGGATGTAGTTTCCTGGCTTTCCACGCTCCGTGCCCCTCGAATCGCGACTTCGATGTGACCCCAGGCGTACCGATACCACCCCGTCGGGCATCACGATGCGGCCACCAATCAGCGGCGGCCCATTGGGTGCACGCATGTGCAGGGGCCCGGTCCGTCTAGAAGAAGTGGAGAATGCTTCTGGAAGGCCTAATTCAACTTGTATTTGTGGAAATGGTACTGATCAGGCAAGTCACAGTCTCTCGAAGCCGCCGCTGTTCGCTCATTGCTCACGCTCATTTACTGTTGCGCCCTTGGAGAAAGACTGTCGATCTGCTCGTCTCCCCAACCTTGTCCCGTCGGTTACCACAGTCCCAAGTCATAATTCACAACATAAGCACTTACGACATTAACTCATTAACTAGGCACTCGGCCAGTTGCTACTCAAGGCACATGTCTCCGCTAGGCCATTTCATCAGCTTGAAGCGACCTAGTTCCTACGATGGGCACAAATGACCCACGCTAGAACAATCAACTGTTAGGCTACCAGACAAGCTTGTTCCTTGTAGAACACGATACTTCAAACTGCGCAACGGTTCCCGATCTTGACACAAATCGTCGAAGGAAGCCGCGTACTTCCCTCGTCATTCATGGACAGAAGATGCCTCTGGTGCGTCTCAGCCTGTGAAGGTCCGGGTCTACAGGCCTGTTGGCAGGGCTCACTGCGTTTGGCCGAAATTCTCCGGCACCCCGGTCCGACCTCACATCCAAAGCCCAACTCTAACGTCTGTTCATCTGGAAAAGAGGTGCAACTTTGCATTCGTCTCCATCCGAGGCGAGGCTAATCCACCGGGCTGCTTCCCAAATCCGAATCTCGGTAATTCTCTTCGCTTCGAACCGTCACATACCAAGTAGGAAGCTCACTGGGTACCTAGGTAGGATCAATTGGGCACAGGTGACTCAAGGCGTTCGGTGTCTCAAGATGCCAATTTCATTCGCAAGACACCGCCGGAAGCTCCAGAGTGTTGACACGCATGGATAGCCCGTGATCGCCCAACGGCGCGTGCTTTCCTGGGTGCCCTCAAGGTTGAACTAGTCAGTAGGCACGTTTGACACGAAATCAAGCCCCACTACCCAGATGTCCTTCTTTCAGGAAGGCGGGCAATTGGGATCCTCTCACCCCATATTCATCCTCTCGGCCCCGTTAATCAAACTCTGGCGGCAGACAATACAGGTAACAGGCCCATGCCGAGGGGATTTTCCCCACGCGCCATGCTAGCAGAAGACTCGGTTCCGTTCTCTATCTTGCCGATAGACCCTGTCTCAACTACCACCATGTCTTTCTGGCAAAGCTCTTCCCGACAAGCTGTCCCAGCGGCGGACCCTGCCTCGCGCGCTCTCTCTGACCCCGGCTCATTATGTCATGCATGATCGTTCCAGGGGTGATCTCCGTGAGGTTATCCAACTGTCGACATGAACGGTCCCGTTTTGGTAAAACCTGGTGATGCGGCGCATCTCCACTCTTCCGTACTGGTCACCACCGGACTTTCATATATAGCTTCCCAGGTTAGTCGCCAAAGCCTCGGCCGTTGGAAGGAATTTCCAGTCACATTTTCCCAGTTCACGTCTAAGGGGACGTCCAGTATGTGTCTGGTCTTCAATCTTTGCTGTCACTATACTTGCATCACACGTCGTCTTCACTAAGTGAACTTCTTCATTTTTGCCTGCCTGCCTGCCTGCCTGTCTGCGCTCCTGCCGCCTCTTTTAGCCGGCGATCGTCTCTACCTCGTCTCATACTACCTACAGTCGCTACCGAACAAAACGAGAGAGAACAGAATCCCATTGCGTTCCCATACGCTCGGCTGAGACCCGACGTCTTTTCCCAGTTGCTTACACATTCTCGTCGCGATGAGTTCGTCATCGTCGCGGCGGCGCATGGCAACTAGCGTTGCCAATGTCATGTTTACCAATGCGGTTTACTTCCCCAATTTCAAAATCTACAGCGGCGCAACCCCGGGAATGCTGAACTACGGCTGCATCAGCCACGTGTTCTATGCGTTCGCAAGTGTTGCGGCTGACGGGTCCGTATTTGTAAGTCGCCTGGGGGGCTCTTGGCCGAACTCTGGAGACCGAGAGCTGATGCGCCGCAGCTAAGTGACGAGTGGGCAGATGCTCAGGCCCCGTGCGATGGAGTGCGCGGTGGTTTGGGATCCCTAATGCATCTCAAACAGGCGCATCCGCATTTGCGAGTCATCTTGTCCATCGGCGGCGGCAACTCCGGCGAGGTGTTCCCCATAGTTGCGTCCAATGGCATGTTGCGAGACCATTTCGCCCGCTCGGCCAGGGGCTTGGTGGAAGCATCAGGCTTCGATGGCATCGACAGTAAGACAAGTTATCACCGCTCCTACCTGCGAGCACCGTCACTCACAGTTGCATAGTATGCTGGGAATATCCCTCGGACCCGCAGCAGGGGGCGGATTTCACGGCACTACTCGGCGCGACCAGGATGCACCTACCCGCCGATGAGTATTTCCTCACGGCGGCACTGCCTGCCAACCAGGGAGTCTTGCAGTGCATCGATATTGGCACGGCCGCCTACTACCTGGACATGATCAACCTCATGGCGTACGACTTCTTTGGTTCATGGACTCACCGGAGTGGGCACCACGCACAGCTGTACTCGATGAGCAAGGACGAAACGTCGGGCTCGGCCGGCGTTGCCTTTCTGGTCGGCGCGGGCTGCCCAGCAAAGAAAATCAACCTCGGCATCCCGTTGTACGGCCGCAGCTTCCTAGGGGTAAGCGGACCGGGTCACCGATACAAAGGCGCCGGTGGCGAGGAGGGGACGTTCGAGTACAACCAGCTGCCGAGGAAGGGCGCCAAGGAGCAGGTCGACAAACGCATAGGCGCAGCGATGTGCGTCGGTGGCGACGGGGGCTTCGTGAGCTATGACAATCCGGATACGGTCAAGATGAAAGCGACGTTTTGCAAGCAGAAACGGTTGGGTGTAAGTCTGCCCGCTCTTGTGATTTCACATGCAAATATGAACCACGTCACATTGCACATATTGACTGTGCATTGCAGGGGTTGTTTTACTGGAGTGGACCCTCAGACGCCCAGGAGAAGTCCCGGAGCTTGATTGCTGCAGGGTTCAAGACACTGCACTCGTCTTGATAGTGTGGTGTTCGAGTCGGTCGGTGTTCTACGTCTTGCTTCATTGGCGTTCAGGCGTTATACGAAACCAAAATCCGGAAGGCCTGGGCTGGTGGGACTACCTTTCAGTCGTGAATTCTTTTACATTGGTTGGCTGTCTCGTTGGATAAGTAGGGATATTTGGCAATGTCTTTTTTCCTTTCTTTCAACTTTTGCCATTTCTCGGAACGCCAGAGGGGTTATGGGACTGCATTTATTGGGGTTATTTGGGGGGTGAAAACGCGGCACGTTACAATGGACGACCACCTGGACATTACGGCATTGATTGGTGGAGGAACCTTGAGACAAAAAAAAAAAACAGGGAACAGATTTACGTAAACTTTGGGATAGACGGGCAATGAACGAAGTCATGATGGAATCGTGGCTTATATAGAGGTTGGGAATACAATGGATGCAGTTTGGATTTCAAGACAGCTCCCAATACTTGCACAGTATCGCTGTGTCAGTCTCGACTGGATGGTTGATAAGACGAGGCGCTATACAACCAGACATGGACGACTAGGTTGCTGTAGTCTGCCGAAGTGACGGGCAGCACCTGGGCGCCGGTGGAAGACACGGTCGGACGCTCTATATCCCAACCACAGCTTGCATCCCATGGCAGCATCCATACCAAAGTAACTCGTAGGCCAGGGTGGGAGAGACAGGCCCAAAACGTCGATATAGGGGGGGATGCTCGATGCTAATTGGGCCGGGAGGAGCCGCGCTAAAAGTTGGGGCGACAGGTACTGTAACTTGAGTTTAGTTAGGGACGGAGGCCTGGGAGCCGGGAGCGAGCTTCGACGATAAGATGGGCAATGGGCGACACGTGCATCCTGTCTTGTCTTGTTCTTGTCTCGACATCCAACTTCACTTGACAACATCGCTCACAGCAACTGGTTGGCTGCATCCTCGCTTGTCTGATGAGCTCCGCGTCCTCCTCGTCGCCGTCACCGTCTCATCGTCGTGCAGCGCGGCATTGACGTTTCCAAGTGCATTGACTGCAATTCTGCCGGAGTCCAGACAGATAGATCATCGTGTCGTCTCTGGGAGCTGCCCACGCGCCAAACATGAATGGAACCACGGCGGAGGCACTGCCGCTCGACGCCGGTAAGGTCAACGCCCTCCCGGTCTCTCTGTCTTGAGATTGCCCTCGGCCCTCCCTAGATCCTCTACGGGACCGCCCGTGATCATCATGATGCCTTGTTGCTGACGCCGGCCTCCCCCCTCGGTACAGCCGACTACGACCCCATCGCCCACCTCAACCAGATCTTCGCCCACCCGTCGACCGTGTCCTCCGTCGCCCGCGTCTCGACCACGCTGCGCAGCCACCAGAATGCCCTGTCCTCCCAGATCGCCGCCCTGGAGCAGTCGCAGGCCTATGGGCCCGACAGCTCCCTCGAGCGCATGCAGTCGGCCCAGGCCGAGCTGGCCGGCCTGTTCAAGAAGATCGAGACGGTGCGCGCCCGCGCCATCCAGACCGAGCAGAACATCACCAGCATGACGGCCGACATCAAGCGCCTCGACGGCACCAAGCGCAACCTGACCCTGTCCATGACCGCCCTCAAGCGCCTGCAGATGCTCACCACCGCCTACGAGCAGCTCCGCGGCCTCGCCCGCACCCGCCAGTACCGCGAGTGCGCCGGCCTGCTGGCTGCCGTCCTGCAGCTCATGCGCCACTTCAACAGCTACCGCAGCATCGAGCAGATCGCCGCCCTGAGCCGCGGCGTCAACGATCTGCAGCGGGAGCTGCTCGAGCAGGTGTGCGAGGACTTCGAGATGGCCTTTGCCAAGGGCGAGATCGCCACCCGGAGGGCCACCCTGATCGAGGCCTGCGGTGTCATGGACGCCCTGGGCGACAGCGCCCGGTCGAGGCTCGTGACCTGGTACGTCAACACAGAGCTCCGCGAGTACCGCCAGGTCTTCCGAGGCAACGATGAGGCGGGCAGTCTGGACAACATCGGTCGGCGCTACGCTTGGTTCAAGAGGATGATCAAGGGGTACGAAGAGGAGCATGCCGCCATCTTCCCACCGCACTGGGCCGTGGGCGAGATGCTTGGCATGGCCTTCTGCGACGGCACTCGGGATGACTTCAAGGGCATACTCGAACGCAGCATGCGGAGAGTGGATGGCGCCAAGATCGACGTCAATCTACTCCTCAGCTGCCTTCAGGAGACGATGGACTTCGAGCAGGGCCTGGAGAGAAAGTTCGCCGACAAGCCGCGAGCCAGTATAGATACCATCAGCTCCGCCGACGAGAGGACGCAGAACTTCAACGGTTCGATATCCGTAGCCTTCGAGCCCTACTTGAGCCTATGGGTTGAATCGCAAGACAAGGCACTCGCGGCCATGATACCGAGATACAAAGCACAGCCGCTCATACCACCGGATGAGGAGTTCTCCCCGCAGGCCGTCATCGGCTCCGCCATTGAGCTCTTCCACTTCTACAAGGTCACTTTGTCACAATGCGCAAAACTGTCGACAGGCGACCGGCTGTTGGATCTGACCAAAACGTTTTCGAAATACCTAGACGAATATGCGCAGCAGGTTCTCCTGGCTATACTTCAGCAAAGGACGGGCCAAGCGGCGGCCTCGTTGGAGGATATAGTTCTCGTCATCAACACGGCCGATTTCTGGCACACCAACACGGGTCAGCTCGAAGATAGTATCAAGAAGCGGATCGATGCCGAGTTAGCGTCCAAGATCGACCTTTCATCGCAGGCCGACGCCTTCCTGGGTGTTGCCAGCGCTGCCGTCATGGCTTTGGTGAACAGGGTTGAGGCGGATTGCGAGGGTGCTTGGCGCGAAATGAAGAACACAAACTGGAGCAAGATGGAGAGTGTTGGGGACCAGAGCTCGTATGTTGGCGAGCTTCTGAGGCATGTCAACTCCCAGGCCGAGGAGATCCTGGCCGTTGTGACCAAGCAGCAGTTCGCCCGAGCCTTTGCGGATAACTTGGTGGAGCACCTCGCCAACACGTATATCGCGAATGTCGTCCAGTGTCGACCCGTCTCTGAAGTTGGCGCCGAGCAGGTGAGGCGCTCCTCCGCTGACCGTTGAAACTTGACCTTGCTGACTCCTTCTAGATGCTCCTTGATAAATACGTCCTCACCAAGGCCTTTGAGAATCTTCTCTCCCATCACAACACCTCTTCCACTCCTCACGTCCCCGCAGCGAGTTTCGTCAAGCGTGTCAATAGTGTAATGACCCGTATGGATCCCCTCCTCAAAACCCTCCAAGTCCGACCATCACCACCAGAGGGCCTTGTGCAGGCCTACCTCATCCACATTGGCGACAAGTCGGACACCAACTTCAAGAAAATCCTCGAGCTCAAGGGTGTTCGCAAGCAGGACCAGGGGCACTTGCTCGAGCTATTCCAGATTCACCGGGAGGGTTCCAGCAACGACAAGCTTGTTCAACAGAGCCCACTGCTCACGCCACTTCTGAACACCACGGGCATGGGCACTACGGTCGGCACTTTAAACACGAGCGCGGCCTTGACTGCCGCACAGGGTGCCGCAAGATTCGACGCCGCGAGCCTGGGGGAGAAATTGCTCAACGCCGCGAGGGATGGAGTAGAGAGGATCGGGACGCCGGCACAGCAGGGGACTAGCGGCCAACAGGCCACCATGAACGAGAATTTGAAGAACTTCGGCAAGTTTTTCCGCAGGGATATCGGCGGCTTGGGGGTCAGGTTTGGAAAGGGCAGTGCAGATGAGCAAGGCCGGTGACGGGAATGGAAACCCCCACTGCGTCCCTATATTGTAGTCGAGACACGCATTTAGAGGGCCTAGGTGTCCCAAATGATACCACGTTAAATTAAATTGGGGGAATGTTCAGCGCAGGTAGAGCCGCCGTTCTGCATGTCTGATGCTATAGGTTCAAGCTCAAATCACTGTTGCAAAGGCCAGTGATGACATCATAAACCAAGCTGCATATGGCCGCACGTCGTGTAAGTCGCCGGCCTCAAAGCTCGACCTTGGACTTGTGACAGGGCCTCGCCGCAACCTGTCGTATACATGGTGACCGTCGCATCTACCGGATTGGCTCTATTGGACCGAGCAGCCTCGATCACCTTTAGAATCGTTACTAGGTCCTGGCGCAGTTCTGTCCGTCTCCATCCCATCATCTCCTGTGCCACTGTTACCTCTTCTCGTCACCACAACCGCCAGTCAATCACGACCGCCAACATGTCGTGGATGGACTCGTGGAGCCGCCCCTCCAAGTCACAGTCGACTCCAGTGCCATTCTACCTTCTCCCTGGCGGGGAGCACACGCCTTATTGCCACTCGTGCGGGAGGGTAATCGGTGCGCGGAAGACGCACGCCGCAGCCAGCGCCGGGTCCGAGGGGCCCAAGTACTGCTCCGCACGATGCAGGGGCCATAGGCCGGGCAAGCTGGACCGGGAGATCGAGGCCATGTTCGTCCGCGCCCTGGCTGGAGAGCTTGAGGCCGGAGAAGACGGCGGCCGTGGGAGGGGCACGGCGGTCAAGCCTTCAGCGGGACAGAGGAAAGGGAAGAAAGCCAAGGGCGACCAAAGAGTCCTTATTGCATGCAGCACGGTGGAGGATGCTGTGTTCACCGGCGGCCGCGATGCTGATGATGGGTCCGCGCGGTCAGATACCCCGGAGCCCGGGATAGCGCCCCGGGATGACAGCGCCGTGAGCTCGGCTGCGCAGCCTCTGGACCTACCCCTCGAAGATGTCGAAGCCTTCTCGAGCTTCTCCGCACCAAATACCGGGTACGTCGACGGCGACGTACTCGCCCGCATGGCCATCCGCAGCGGGACGCGGGTGCGGCCGCCGCAGGACGTCTCGGAAGTCAACGGGAGCGTCGGCGGGGAGAAAGGACGGGCGGAACGGCTGGAGGAGAACGAGGAGATGCTGGAGAAGAGGCGGGCCGGACAGCGGCGGGCCAAGGAGAGGGAGATGGTCAAGTGTGCGGCCAGGCGGGGGGTGGTTTTCGGGTTCCTGGTCGGGGATGGAAATCAACAGGGGGAGCAGGGCAGACGCAAGTGTGAGGCTGTCATGAGTGGCAAGGTCGTCGAGCCGAGTTTTGCCAAGGGGGACTGGGCGGTTAGGTGGAGGGAGTAGAGATGAGAACTAAAGACGCATGTGTTACTGTATCAGCTATGTCCCAGCAAGTTCCATCGTGTCCTTGAGCACTTGCTTGAGTGAGTAACGTGTGAGATTTCACGTCACGCAAGGGGCAAGCCCAGGTGGTTCTTGGTGGGAACGGTCATAGACCATCTAAGCAGAGGGGATCCATCAAGGCAAGCAAACGCGTTGCCCCATTGCACTATTCTTCTATGAAATGACCAGGGAGAGCCTCTTACTGCTTGTCGGCGACCGGTTGCTCCCCTGATTCTGGTTGCCTGCCCTTTGATTTGAATCAAGTCGTCGACTTCTCAACAAGCAATGCTCCAATAGCCCAATGGTTAAGTGAGGGCAGCTGCTACTTCGTCCTGGGAACATATGACGTTTAAAAGCATCCCGGTCCTTGGCGCCGACACAAAACAGGCCCGTCGTGGTGAACGTTAATAACCAGAGATGTAGGCCATCAAGCGATGGCTGAACTCTTTTGTCAATTTTGCATCGTCCACAGTCTGCTTTGAGGCAAGAAGACAACTTAGATCTTAATCCTCACCTCTGATACTGTCTGGTACTTGTTCATTCATTTATCCTTTTCCTTTTAGTTTCCCTCAGTCCTTCTATGATGCTATGTGACTGGACTGAAGTCAACGCTTCCCGGGTCAAGGCCCTATACAAGAGACAGGGATCGTGATTTCTCCTCTCTTCTGTAATGTTAGAACATAAAAGGTGGTAAGTAGCAGTCACGGAGATAAATATTCCCAATGCGGACCCAAGACCATCATAGTTAACAGGAAGAAGGGTAGGAGAAGGCGGACGGGAGGGACACGGACATTGAAAAAGCTGACTCATGAGATGAGCTGTGTTTACTTGTTTCTCCCGGGGAATTGGGCTACGCACATGGACATGAAACGTTGTCACCAAGTTCGCGTTATCGTGTACATAATCTTTCAAAACGACGGAACCAAGAGCCGCAAAGAGAGTGTATGCCAAAACGGACGTTTGTTCTGACCTGTCCACTACAGGCAATTCATTGCTGAGACGCTAGCGTATGCGACAATCCTAGACGATGCAATATCAACGGCCACTGCCGCTGACCAAAACAGCCCGAACACCAGAGGGCTCACAGCTCACAGCCCCAGACACCGACCTATTATTAAGCCTATATCACATCTCATCGTGCCTGTAAAAAGAAACAACCACCGTGCCTCTACGAGCTGAGCAGATGCTCGATGGCACCCTGCACACTGCCGCCACTTCGTCGCAATGCAGCGACGTTTCTGTCAAAGTCGTAGAAACCCATGTCGTTCAGCTGCCTCAGTTGCTCTGCGTACCGCTCCTCCGGGGGTCGGTTGTCGGCGGGGGCCGGAGAACCCGAAGGCGGCGAGCCCATGCCCATCATCTGCATCATCTGTTGAAGTGCCTCGGGTGACATCGGCGGCATGCCAAAGGGGTTGGCGCCGGCGCCGGCGCCACCGGCCGGAGGCGGAGCACCGAAGAGAGAGGCGAAGGGGTTCGCAGCGGGGTTGGCGGGGTTGGAGGCGCTGTCGCCTTGGCCTGCCGCGGCTGCGCCTTGCGTGGTGGTGCCGCTTGCGTTGTCAGTCTGGGCACCCGCTCCAGGCTGTGCGCCGGCGGCAGGTTGAGCACCCATGCCCAAGGGGTTGAACATGGAGGCGAAGGGGTTAGCGGCTGCGCCGCCGCTACCACCGGCGCCGGGCATCTGGAGACCGGCCCAGAGGGACGGGTCGAAGAGGTTAGGTTGACCAGCACCGGCACCGGCTCCAGCACCAGCATTGCCGGCAGCGCTCGCGTCGGCAGGTGTGGTGTCGGTGACGCCGGGAGCCGGGAAGGCGTTCTGGCCGCCGGAGCCACCCTGCATCATCCGTTGAAAGCGGCGAGCACTGCGGATCGCCTCGGGGTTCGTCATCATGTGGCGGACCATGGGCGAGCGGAGGAGCTCGCGGGCGTTCGGTTGGTTGCGGAGGACGGGGCTCTGCTGGATCATCATGTCGATGAACTGGTCGTTGTTCAACATCTCGTTCATCTGCTGGGCGACGTTGGGGTTCTCCAGCATGCGGGCCATGGCCTCCTCGTCCATCATGGAGCCGACCATCTGGGGATTTCGACGTCAGTATGGATGTCGGTACAGTGAAGGAAGAGAGATACAGATATAAAATGGGTATGTATATATATATACGAGAGGAGCCAGAGGATAGAGAGGGGGTACTTACGCCTCCGTCGGGGCCAAACATGTCGGCTGATGGCAGATTCGTGAGGCCGGCATAGCGCGCACCGGTCAGGCCGGCCAGCGGGTTGTTGGCGGTGCCAGCGGCCATGTTGGTCGGGACCTGGGGGGCCGCGGGCGTGGCGGAGGAGGCGGGCGGCGCCGGGGTGGGATTGCTGGCGGCGCTCTTGACCAGGTGGACGGTGTTGCCCGACTTGATCTTGTATGTGCTCAAGGGCTCGTCGTTCTTCATGACACGGCCCGAATAGATGAGGCGCTGGCGCTCGACGGGGATGTTCTCGAAGTCGGGGCCAGCCAGCTTCGTCTTGAGGTCCAGCACGGTGGCGGCCTCGGCCATGGTGATGGTGTGGTTGCTGTCGCCCGAGGTCTTGACCTTGAAGGTGACCTGGGAGTCAGCCTGACCCTCTGCGTTCTCTGCCATGGTGGCCGGGTGGAAGGGCGTATGCGGGTAGGTAGGTAAGGTAGATAGGTAGGTAGGTAGGTCTTGCTGCTGCGAGCTGCTGTCTCCGGGGCGGATGAGATTCCGAGGTCACAAAGATCGGGCGCGCTGGCGTGGTGAATAAACGAATGCAACCAGACTCTCTATCGGTTGGTCGGTCGGTCGCTTGGTGGTTGATTTAGGCGCCACTCGCGACTGCGGCAAGGGTCGCGATAAGATACCTGTCGGGTCGCAAATGCCTAGAAGGAAACCTTGGCTCTGGAGAGTGCCTAGGCAGACTGGGGACCGAGGCGACGACGTGCCTAGAGCTTTTGAGACGCAAGTTTGGTGTCGTCGGGGGTTTGCGTCGGTGGAGGTCAAGGCAAGTAAGTAGTGAGCAGGTCAAGCCAAGCTGCCAGCCGTACGATGCGATGGATGGAGATGGAGGGGCACGCAGTTAGCTAGCGTCCAGTAGGGGTGGGTGGCATGGTGTGGATATACTACGTACGGATTCGCTCCCAGCTGGAGGCAACTAATAAGACGATGACGAAAGGAGCCAGAGCCAACACTCGGCGCTTGGGAGTTGCTCTCAGTTAACTACGGATTCACTGAGCGTCTCTTCCCGTCACCGGGCTGTGGTAACCCACAAACACGATGTATTCCCCAGAGTCCGTTCAGGAAATTCTGAGAAACAGTCTACACGTACAGAATTACTGTCGCGCAGCTCCGCTGAATCGGTTGGACTGGACTGGACTGGGCAAACAACCGCCCCCGGGAAGCCGTCGGGTCTCCCCCATTACCGATGACTTACACCTGCGCCGTGCTGTGGTTATAGTTACGTGTCCTGCACTGCACTGCACTGCACTGCACCGCATCCGTGGGCCATGATCGCACCGTCCACGTCCACCTGCAGTGAGTGACCAACCCGCTGGATGACCAACCCGGCGGACTGGTCAGCGGTCACGGCTTGAATCGTTGCTTCTCTTGGCATCCACTACCTTCTGGCAGGGACGGACCCATCGTAGCGCCAGTCATGACCCATCGGACCCCATCCAACATCGCCCGTCATCAGCTCCCCGACTGCCCGAGTCTGACCTACTAACCAACCTTCTGCCCACCCTGCCCACCGCAAATGAGGCCGCATGGATGCGCCATGCCCCGGCGGCGCTTTCGGGCGACCACCCCCCCCCTCCGACTTGCCGACCCCAGACAAGACCTGGACCCTCTGGCAAGTCTGGGGTCGTCCAGGCCTGATGAGACGGCGTTTGGCCAGAATCGGTCGCGGTGAGACGGGGCGCTGGGGCCCTGGCAAGGACCGCCTGAGTCCTCCGCTCACCTTTCTATCTAAAGGTGGTCTAGTTAGTCAGTCAACGCGGGCGTCAGTTGGTTAGGTACCTGTCCGCGCCTCCAGCTCCAAGTACCTCGGCATCTCACCTTCTCCAGCCGATCTTCGTCCATGGCTGGGGTTTGTACTGTAATCTGCAACGGTTGTTTTTGTACATACACACACTTTCCATTGCCCGGCTACTGTCAACATCGTGAATACTGCATAGGCCGCTCATAAGATTTTCTTTTCCTTACTTGAATCCATCAGCATTGGCCAATTGACCGCGATTGCCCAGCACACTCACCGGGCGGGCGTATAATATACGTACACGTATAAATAGATACTTGCTCTCATTTTCTACCGACTCCATAAACCACGATGCGGGGCATACAGGTGGCCAAATATGTCAAAGTGAGTGACCTTCATCTGCCTGCGATAGTGCAGTCATGAGCACGCTGTTCGGCAGACTGTTCTGACCATTCGAAAATAAATAAAGGGGCCGCAAGAGCTCAAGATCAACGAGCTGCCTGACCCGAAGCCAAGCCCCGATCAGTATGTCATCGAGGTTCACGCCGCAGCCACCAACTTCTTCGATATACTCCAGATCCAAGGGAAATATCAACACCAGCCGCGTAAATGATCCCACCCCTGAACCATCTCAGCGCTCTATACTAACCCGGCGCCTAGCCTTTCCCTGGGTCGCGGGCGCCGAGTTCGCCGGTGTTGTCATCTCTACTCCCGCATCCGTGAAGTCTCCCAAGTTCCCTGTGGGCAGCCGCGTCTTCGGCGGCAGTCAAGGCTCCTACGCAACCAAGATCCTCGCTACCGAGGTGCAGCTGCTCCCCGTGCCCGAGGGCTGGTCCTTCCGCGACGCGGCAGGGCTCTTCGTCACCGCCCCCACCAGCTACGGCGCCCTGGTCCTGCGTGCGGGCGTCAAGGCTGGCGACTACGTCCTGGTCCATGCCGCCGCCGGAGGTGTCGGGCTCGCCGCCGTGCAGATTGCCAAGGCCTTTGGCGCCACCGTGATCGCGACGGCGGGCACCCAGCGGAAGCGGGAGGTGGCAAAGAGCTTTGGCGCCGACCACGTCGTCGACTACCGCGATGACAAGTGGCCCGAACTCGTCAAGAAGTTGACCCCCAAGGGCAGGGGCGTCGACATCGTCTACGACCCCGTGGGCATGGTCGACAAGTCCACCAAGTGCATCGCCTGGAACGGCCGCATCTTGGTCGTTGGCTTCGCTGCCGGTACCATCGAGAAGGTCGCCATGAACAAGGTCTTGCTGAAGAACATCTCGCTCGTGGGCATCCACTGGGGGCAGTATTCCGTGCACGAGAAGGAGAGTGTGCCAGTCGTCTGGAACGGCATCATGCGGTTGGTCGAGCAGGGAAAGTTCAAGGGCACCGTCTTCTCGGACAAGGATTTTGTCGGTTTGGAGAGCATACCAGATGCCTTGGTAGCCCTAGGCGGAAGAGAATCGTGGGGCAAGGTCGTGGTCACGGTTCCGCAGGGGAGCGAAAGCAAGCTATGAGTGAGGTCAGGTATATATATATATTGAACGACCCGCTAGGGCAGTACAATCAGGTTCCCGTGCTTGCAATGTCCTTCATACATATACGCTATAACGCCATTTGTATCGTATGGGCGAACTGCATAGTGAAAAGGACCCGGACCGGGAGGGTTTCGTCCGTGATCAAGTGTTTCAAATGCTCAGTCCAGGCTCTCCTTCAGCATCGCATGGTCCCCATATCCCATATTCCGTATCTGAATCTGCATGCTCTCCAACACCCTCCTCTTCACTTCGCTCCCATCTTTGCCAAATATGTCCGTCTTCACGAAAGCCCCGTGCGAGCTGACGAACGAATACTTGTTCAGGATCGCCCACATCCGCTCCATCTCCGCCGGCGGCAGCGGAATCATGTTCGGAATGCTCCACATGAACCCGTAGCTGTTGAGGCCCTTCGGCCTCTCTCGCGCCTCGCCCAGCGCGTTGGCCTCCCAGCTCCCCAGCCCCGCCGGAGTCGTGATCAGCGTATCCGCCACCAAGAGGCGCCCCTTGTACAACAGCACCAGCGACCCGGGAAAGTGGCCACCTAATTTCAAGACACGGACACCCGCGCTCTCGCCCGCGACCGGCAGGTCCAGCTCTGCCTCTGTGATGAAACTCTGGTAGGACGACGACTGCGTAGTCCACTCCCTGTCCTCGTCTGCGAGGTAGACCGGGCACTGGAATGCTCGCGCCCACTCCAAATGCGCCGAGTAGTAGTGCGGGTGCGAGATGACGATGGCCTTCAAGCCGCCCAGGCCCGTGATCCTCTCGATCGTCTCCTCGTCCAGCAGCGTCACGCAGTCCCAGAGCACGTTGCCGTTGGGTGTCTTGACCAGAACCGCCCGCTGGCCAATGGCAAACTTGGGCTCTGTGACGATGGAGACGAAGTCCGGGTCCTGACCGGCGCTGCTGGTGGCCGGGCCGGAGGGGAGAGGGTAGAAGACGTTCCGATGGCTGGACCGGACGGCGTCCAGCGTGGTAAAGGACTGACCGGTCGGGGGCGTGAACTGCCGCGGATCGTCACAGATAAAGCACGTCTTGACGGCCTGGGCATCCGAGGTTGGGAACTGCGTCCCGCACGTTGAGCAGATGAGCCACGAGCCCGTGCGGCTAGGGTCGTAGACGGGTTCCTCTGATGCCATCTTTAGAGAGAACAAAGCGTGGCTTCACTTGCGATACAGCAGCTTCCTCTGAGGTTGGGTCGGCCTTGCTTATAGTGTTAGTATCTGGACATGCTTATGTGATCGGCGGTATTATATGCCGGTATGATATCGAACTTACATGATCCCTAGATGCGCCGTCTCCGGGGTTCGGTGCTGGCCTTATAGTGGGGTAATTGTGTCAAGAATGGGGGTTAACTAGTGGGTTGGCGTACATTAGGTAGGCCGGTTCAAGTGCTCAATGTTGCTAAACCCTCGCTCCGTTGGCTCTGAACTTCTAATTACCTAGGTACGCAGCGTATGTATACTACTTGGACGACCGCTGGCTTAGTAGCAGGTTATACTTTTTCTATCTATAGAATGACACGGCAGCTTGGACCGCGCATAACTGCTATGGAAAGAAACACTCGTATGTAGTGAAACTTGTAGAAAGTTAGGCTGAGTAAGGTAGCCGATATCGTTCCCAAGAAACTTGCAGCCATGAAACTACCAACCTAGGCATGGACATAACAAGTTGGTCTGCAGAGCCTCTCCCGTCGCGTGGCCAATCCAATGTCGTCTCGTCGCCTAGCTCTAGGTTGCGGCTATCAGCGGTGCCGTCAATTGGGTTGCGCCGGGGCGCCAGGCGGGTTTGCGCGTTTCCAGGGGTGCTGATAAGTGCGGGGGCCCTCTCCGATAGTTATCTACCACCAACCTCGTCTCTGTTCGTTCCTATCACGGCGAGGGGACAGCTGTATATAAGCTCCACCTCGGTACCCGAGCCCTCGGTTCCGCCTTATTCTTCGCTGTTCTGGATGAACAATTATCTCTTTTCCTAAACCTCCATAACCGAGTCCGGTGAAAATGACCTCGTACTTCCAACACAGGCGTGACTGGTGAGTTGTCGCCCCGCGAACACCAGAGAGGTAGACAGACCAGCTTCTCACCACATTGCAGCCAGTTCAAGAAAAGGGAACGGGACGATAGAATTAGAGGCCTGACACAGTATCATGGGCCTTTCACTTCCTTCGATCGTGAGGTTATCGATAGACCCATTGAAGGTCTGGTTCAGGATGTCCATAGCGGCGTGCTTCAGCCTATCGACATCCTACGCACCTACGGTAGGGTGGCAGTCAAGGCTCAAGAAAAGACCAACTGTGTCACCGAAGTGATGCTGCAAGAAGCCGAGGGTTGGATCAAGGACGGGTCTGTGAATCTCAAGGGCCCCTTGGCGGGCATCCCCGTCAGTCTGAAAGATACCATCGTAGTCGGCGGTTTCGACACAACGGTTGCTTATAGCGGATTCGTTGGCAACAAAACGACCCAAGACGGGCCCGTTGTCAGGCTGCTCAAGGACGCCGGAGCTGTTCCGTACGTGAAGACCAACTTGCCCATCACAATGCTGAGCTTTGAGTCAACCAACGACGTCTGGGGCCGATGCACAAACCCGTATAACAACAAGTACTCTCCGGGAGGCTCCACCGGCGGAGAGGCTGCGTTGCTTGCGCTTGGCGGGCGGATTGGCGTTGGCAGTGATGTGGCAGGGAGTGTGAGGGTCCCGGCCCACTTCTCTGGTATCTACAGTCTTCGATGCTCAACCGGGCGCTGGCCCAAGTTGGGATTCCGCACTAGCATGCCCGGCCAGGAGGGCGTTCCGAGTGTCTACTCACCCATGACAAGAACCTTGAACGACCTGACCTACTTCACGCGGGCCATGGTTGGGATGCAACCATGGAAGTATGACCCTTCGGTGCATCCGCTAGCATGGAGGCCGGAGATCGAGAAAGAATTCGCTGCCAAATCCAAGCTTCGCGTCGGCATTCTGAGAACCGATGGTGTCGTAGACCCGAGCCCAGCCTGCGAGAGGGCTCTAAAACAGGTTGAGTCTGCTCTCAAGGCGGAAGGCCACGAGATTGTGGAAATCGACCCCCCTTCATGCTACGAGGCTTTAGTTATTGGCTCGCACTTACTCAACGCAGATGGTTGCCAGATGTTCAGGTCATTCTTCCGCACTGGCGAATGGAACGACCCGGGTGCTCGCCAGATGGAGTGGCTGATGAACCTACCAAGACCCTTGAAGTATGTCTATTATCTATGGGTCAAGTACGTCCGGAGAGACGACATATGGGCCGGTCTCATCAGGGGCTGGCACCAAAAGAGTGCTTTTGAGAACTGGAAACTGGTCGCAGAACGAGAAGCGTACCGAGTGAAGTGGTTTGAATGGTGGAACAGCGTCGACGTTGATTTTCTCCTGACGCCACCAAATGCAACCCCGGCCGTGCCACACGATGGTATGAGTGACGCTATCAGTAGCTGTGGTTATACTTTCTTGTTCAATGTCGTAAGTGATTGTTTATGGATATCCAGTAGTTTGATACTGATTTCTGGTAGCTCGACTATTCGGCCGGCGTTATGCCCGTAACTCACGTCGACAAGGACTTGGACAAGCTTCCCAAGGGTTTCAACCTCAAAAAGCTCAATGGCGTTGCTCAAGGTGCTTACAAGCTATATGATGCCGAAGCGATGCACGGTCTCCCGGTTGGTGTGCAGATTGTCGGACGCCGTCTTGAGGAAGAGAAGGTACTGGCAGTTATGAAGAGAGTGGAGGATGCACTGGGCGAAAGCAAGTATCAACAACTGGATGTTGATTGAACCATTCTCAAGCATCGTTACCGGCATCAGGTATCACTGTACTGGTAGCCTACTCATTATAAAGAGAAATTGAATGAACGCCATCTAATACCCTAACTCGATCTGGTGTTAGGAGAATCAACGTTGAATACCACGACCTGGGAGCTTAGTAGGCAGAGACCCATCCACCATGATTTTTGAGGACTGGAGAAGAATTTCCAACGGGCCATAAGACCCTAATAGACTAAGCAATCCTAGTGTGCATCTTGGAGGGTCCGATGGTTTGTTATTCACGAGCAATCCTTCAGTGCAGACCAAGAAACCGAAGCACCCAAAGAGAACACAATAGTTTTTCACTCTTTTCCATGGCTTCATACCATTTATAGGCGGATTTTCTCATTGAACCTTGATCGGACGTCCCCTACAACTCCTGTCCTGTGCCCGTAGAGGCTCCGAGATCGGACAGTTCGAGCCGATTTCCCCACACTGGTAGATAGTATATTAGTCCAAGGGTCGCTTTATACTTGCACTTCAACATTCTGCAATTCAATCATCAGTCCACTTTCGATCCTGCTGCTCGGCTTGATAAGTCATATCAATCACTGGTACTCCCAAGATTATCCAACAGGGTCATCGTGTGAACACTGCCATAATATGTCGCAGACCAAAAGCGACCACTGGTCTTCGGAGGTATGTATATATATCGTCTGGACACACAGAGTCGGTGACCTTGTGCTGACTAGATACCAAAAAACTAGTCCTATCAGAAGTCAGCGTCTTTCGTGCCCAAACTAGCGACCAAGATCCTCCAATGGCTTGACCCCAGGCCGGACGACATCGTCCTAGATATTGGATGTGGCGGTACGCAATGGAATCTTTCGGCAACGAACGCGCAGCTAAACAAATCGACGTAGATGGAGTATTGGACCTAAAGATTGCGGAGATACTCTCTCAGGGCAGTGGTAGAATCTATGGGACGGACTCGTCCCCAGCCATGATCAAAGCTGCTGAGAAAACTGCTCAGGGGCTAGGCGTTACACAGTGTACTTTTGAAGGTATTGTTCGCTTTTTCCTGCGTAAAAATTTAAATCTAGAAGCCCAGTACAATGACTGACATGTGATCTAGTGGTTGATGCACTCGACATTGCTAGGACATCATCAATTGAAAAAGCCTCTTTCAGCAAAGCCTTCTCCAACGCGGCCATGCACTGGATTCTCACCTGCCCTCAGTCCAGGAAAGAGGACTTTTTCGCTGGAGTCAGAGACGCCCTCGTACCAGGTGGCATCTTTGCTTTCGAGATGGGTGGCCTTGGTAACGTGTCAGAGATGCGTGCCGGTCTCCTCATGGGCGTGGCGCGGCGCGTCGGCATGCAGAAGGCGCTGCAGGCGGACCCGTGGTTCTTCCCTGACGAGAAATGGGCGACGGAAATCATGGAGCAGACGGTGGGGGGATGGAAAGTGGAGAGAGTCGAGAGGGAGTGGCGGCCCACGCCAGCTGACGAGGGTGGCGTAGAGGGGTGGGTGAAGCTGATGGGCAAGCGGTTCTTCGAGGTGGTTCCGGAGGAAGAAAGGGAGGATTGTATTAACGAGGTTGTCGAGGTTCTGACTGAGGTGTGCCGCAACCCAAGTGGTGGCTTCACATTCGGATACGTCAGGTTGCGGGTACTGGCCAGGAAATTGTAATGGCTAAGTGGCAGAAATTTCACACCATACGCCTCATATCATATAAGGGGGACAAGCAAAACAATATTTGCGACTGCGCTATTTGCCGTGCATATTGTGTGGTCAATTTGGCACAGACACAATTAACATTACGACATAATTCATAATTGCATGTTCCCTCCTTCCCCATTATTTACCCTGGTAGCACTATCATCTTAAATCGGTATGGATAAATACACCGATTTACTTCGATTGGAGTGTAGCGGGTTGGCTTCATGACAACAAAATCGTGGGCTCATGTGGGGACTTTGTATTTGGGCAGATATGCTATCCATTTAGGGATACTTTCCATATGAACTGGTACTAGATGCTCATGTCCACTTTTTGCATTAATTTCTTTCACAAAACTGTCTGAAACGGAAAGACAGTAAACGAACCACTGCAGCTGTGATAATGGCCCAGATCCGTGAGATCCGCTCAAAGTCATGTCCTAAGCTTGTATTCCCTTCTGTTGGCCCAATCACAGCTCGATTGACTCGAAAGTCTCAATGCCACACTTGCCATGCTGGGTGTAGCTTTGCCACACTCCCTCTCCAAAGCAAAATCACCCATCAGAGACTGTCCAGTCAATAGGCTCTCCATATGTTGCAGTTTGTAGTTGATATACGCTTCCGTTGTCATGTTCATTCGTAATGTTTCTTGTAATGTCAGAAGTCGTTAACTTGCGGCGGAAATCACCGAGGCGGTTGACCGAACTTTCTTCGGGAATTCTTTGGGCCCGACCGCTGACATCAGGCTTAAAAGCATCGCAAAGTAGGCTGTTGGTAGAATCATCGGTGACGGCAGAGGACGCCGCACCCCTCATCACATCTGAAGAGGCTCCTCTCATGAAATTCTCGGGATTATGTGGTTCCGTAAACCCCACTCTCGAGGGCGAAGAGAAGTAGTCGGCAGCTTGTTTGCTACCGAGAGAATGCTCATCGACATCAGGTGTTGTGATCCACGACTTCTTGACCGCAGATGAGGCGCCCAAATCGGTAGTATTCGAGAAGTCTTTGTTGGTATGCGGTCGGGTCTCCCATGATTCTTCGCCGAGAGTCAACCAACAGTAGATGTCTGAAAAGAAATAGAGCCTGTCCATTAGCACTACTGCCCACCATTTACGTTTGCACCAAGGGAATTTCTGGAAAAACCCCGCAATGTCCTTGAGATAGAGGTAGGTGTTGAAAAGAAAGATGACAGAACTGTAAGACATGATGTTAGTTTCATAGGCGAGAAAAGGAGCAACAGAGAACTCACGCCAAGCGGGGTGCAGCCTTGAAGGATTTGAGTTGTGCAATCAGGCGAACCCATGATAAGATAGGTGTGAGCATTCCTTCCACCATCTTTCTCGCCATGTAAGGAGTCTGTATTCTCATGGCGTGCCAACCTGGTTCGAACAGTAGACACGTCAGGCGAAGACGTAGGCCACTACGATACCAGCGTTTCAGTTGACTAGAAAAGCCCGAGTCGGACCTCAAAGACGTCTCAACGACGGCCGCTGCGGTATGCTGAATGGCGAGCTTCCATTTCTTCGGTCTGATGCCAGGATTCATCGGCATATTCCCATTTTGGTAGTCTAATAAGCCGGCGTTAAGTCGGTGCATGTGGTGGTCCAGCTGGTGATAAAACAGGACCCAGCGAGTGATAAAGCTGTCGTCACCAGAGTTAGTGCGCTTACCCATCCACGTCTCTTTACTGAAGGCGTCTTGGAACTCGGAGTCTCGCAAGATCTCGCTGCGTAGTAACATGGTGACTCCCGACACGCAGAAATTGATGCCACCATCGGCAGCGAAAGCACATTTCATGCCTCCATCTCGCCTCTCGCGCATGCGGAACGCAGCGACTTCCCAATGGGTGATAATCTCTGGTCGCCTTCTATGCTCCGGAATGTAGGATCTGAAGAATTGGAATTAGTCATAACACACGCACTCAACACACCAGGGCAAAAAAATTGCTAACCAGGTGCGGACTATAAAAGCCTGGTGGTCATGAAGACTTACTTTATGGGGCCCCCGACCAGCCCAACATCATCGTCCTGGAATGGGGCCAAGAGGTTCAGAAGTGTCATATCGCTCTTCCAGAATGCATCGTCGTCAACCAAAGCCAATATCCTCCCACTGCTCTCGTTGACGCCCTTGATGAGCTGGTCTCGCTTGTTCACATGCTCGACGGTCAGAAACTTGATGTTGGTGCTGCCGGGATCAACGTCTGCGATGAGTACTCGGAGTGACTTCTCCAGATCTACAGTGGTGACGAAAATGATTTCAAGGGGCTTGTTGGTAAGCCAGACACGAAAACATTTCTTCACGGATTCGTCGAAGTCGATCGTGGGCACAATGAGGCTGACATCGGATTCATCGAAAATGCGGTCGTTCTCGGAGGGTAGGGACCAGGGAGTGTACTTATTTGTGTAATACTGGCGCATCCAGTCTTCGTAGGCGTCCCAAGCACTTCAGAAAGGGCAGTCAGCTGCGATACTTTCGGGGATTGGGGCTAACAGTGGTTGACAAAAGGACCGTAACTATTAGAACTGAGAGGATCAGAAATGGATTCAACCTACCAAAAGACGCCGAGAAGAAATGGCCAAACCTTGCTGCTTCCCGAGTTTGACATGTTTTCCAGTGTTGCTAGCGTTTTAAATATTTCGGCCAATCTGCAGTAATGACCGCAAGAGTCAGCTAAGATACCGAGCACAGCAGCATAAACAAGGAACTTGTCTACTAAATTTGGAACAGCCCCAATATATACATGAAATAAAATTAGGCATTCACTTCATGGTTTCTCTAATCAGACTGGTGACAGCTTCGAATGATTCACGTCCAGTTGCAGGATGTGCAACCCATATTTGGCTACTTTCGAACCCGCGTGAATCAAGGCTCAAAGTTCCTGTCCCAAAACCAGGCCAGTATGAAGCAGAAGGGCGTATGAGCGTAAGTGAATGATTAACCTGATGATCCTAAGACTAACTGCTGGAACTCCTGGTAACCTATTTCCATCCTGTTGGCATTATCGACGCTGACAAGAAGACATCCTATATCATTCATTTTGTGCACTCTATCAAAAATGTGCCAATGTATTGGACCTGAGCTTTGTTCAAGCATCTGGCCCTGCAATAGTTTGCCTGGCCCTGTGGCTTGTTACTTACTTCATGTTATGTCGGATCGAAACCTTCAAGTGTTTCTATTTTTGAAAGTGCAGGTGGTATCCATGCCACCGGCACATAAGTATCGAGCAAGTAAAATGATTGGGCCACCCAAGAAGTTCCGTGGCGATCACCGTTTGGACTTTGCGATTTCTCAAGTCTATACTGTCGCCACTAGCTTACGACCATTGGCAGTATCCGATGCCACGTCGTAGTCTCGTATTCATTGAAGGGTTGGGAACAGCTCGCGCATGAAGAAGCAATCTTTAACAGCATTTCTCTGCTGGTGTCAGTCGTGACGTGCGTGCAAAAGAAATCATTCTAGTGGAGTCTTAAAGGCTGTCAAGAAAACCCAGCCACCAGCGCCCCATTGCGCCATCACGTTAAAGACGCATAACCGACTATCTATAGCGGCGCAAATTCCTCTTGACTTCCCGAAATGCTACTGGCTGGACGCTTCTCCTCATGCGTAGCCCGACGTCTCCGCAAATGCACCTGACATCGAGCTGGCTAGGCCCTAGTTCAACAGTGTTATGTATAGGCACGTTTTGGCCGAGCAACCCCGGCCCTACCATCCGTTTGACCCCGCATCATTGGTAAGCCAAATGGCATATACCTACCCGGTATAGGAGCGCGGCGAGAAGCGAATATTAAAGCCCCAAATCTCTGATTGGACAGAGGGTTCGACATATGGCGATGTCCTATCATCCCTTGCATCGACACCGTCAAACCTAGGATCGCTTGCTAACGGCTGAAGCCCTCGTTCTCAAGCCACGAGCCCAAAACCGATTTTGTTGTCTGCAGTATTTGCTTTCTCACGGAGAAATCCAATAATACCCCAACATTTGCGTCGGACCCCGCTGTCGACAACTGCCTTGATTTCGGGCACTTCCGGGGGAGTCTTACGCCTGTGTCATACTGCATGACAGGCATACCGTTGCCGAGGCGCCCTCGCCTAAGGAAATCAGACCACAATAGGCGTCTGGCATGTCGTTGGATTTGACTCTCTGAACATACCGTTCTTACTTAGTTTGATCGACTATATACATCCCGGACTGGGAATGAATGGATTACACAAAATTGGTCATAGCTGAGAGGGACTAGCATGTTGTGACGGGACACGCGTGAAAACAAATCAGCATTTCAAATTGCTGGTTACAAGTCTAGTTCGTAAATGGTCTCACTCTTGGCTTTCTGCACAACGCATCGGTCCCGTTCGGGATTTTCTGCAGGTTTTAGATTCTCGTTTTTTGGCTCAGCTCCTGGCTGGCTGGCTACACAAGCTCCTCGATACGCAGCAGCTCACCGCAGGAGATGGGCTCCGAAGGATGCTGACCTCGCATATACGGGCCGCCGCACAACAATTGACACCACACTCGGTAGACCAGGAACGCATGCACCCCAAGAACGCGTACTAGTGAGGCTTATTGACCGCCAGCCACTAGTAACCCAGGATCGGTCAGCGTTGCAATGGTCTAAGGCAGGGCCAGCTGGGCCGATCAGCCTCAGCCTGCATTTGGAGACGTCCGGGCGTCGCGACTGGTCCGGGATGATCCCTCGAATACTTGTCGTATGCATGCGGCCGTTTGGAGAGCCACCCAGAGACCGAGGTCGAATGATGATGAACATGATCTCTGCCACCATGCATTCAAGTTGTGCTGCCGCGCATAACTATATCAATTGACATGGATTTAGGAAAAAGGAACCATATTGCGAACCGGTGGGTTTTCAAATGAGCGGGAGTCTGCAACTATGATGCTATCTAAAAACAGAACGGGCAAACGCTTGAGAACCATACGGCTGGTTCATGCACGGATAGAAGCAGGACAACAAGAGCATCTTGGATCAAGATGCGAATTTTCGAAAGCCAGCGAAGCGAAGCGTCCGAGGGTCTTGGCCCCAAGTTTCCGGGTGCCATTTGTCCCTGAATCCGAACCGAACAGAATCCACAGCCTGGCGAGGCTTCCACTCGGAAGCGTAGCGCTGGTTGCACCAACACGTTGTGTACGGGAAGCATTGAAGCTGTGAAATCGAGCTACGGGATCCTAGTGAACAAGATTGTCGTGCAGGCCCACCTTCGTTCTATTTTTCGGGTTTCTGTCCAGGAGACGAGAGGTTGATCAACAACGATCCCGATGAGGTCTCTTTCGTAAGTGTCAGCTGCTGCTGTCAGCGCAGTCCGAGTAAAACCCACCAACCCGAGTAGAAACACGTAATGCCAACTTTCTGAGGCAATGATCGTCAACTCGGAGATTCTGCAGCTGCATGATGCAGCCATCGACGTGGCCCAGCCACTCAGGGAGAATGTTGTGGCGTGAGCTTGGTTGCCGGTTTAGAGCGAGTTGGAAGGATGTCCTGTTTGCGAATATGGCTTCATGTACATATATAAAGGGTAGAAGAGGTCTATAATAACATGCTCTACTCACCCTCAATCTCTCTTCAACCCACAAGAGCCTGTGTGCACCTGTCCTTCACTACTTCAGCCCAAGTCCTCTCGTTCTACAATTGCCCTAGTAGATCACTCGCTGTCCAAGATGATGTATAAAGCTGGTTCTCTCCTCCTTGCCTTGAGGTGAGTATCAATCCCGCCAGAATTCTTTCGGGCATATGTCTAAGACCAATATAGCACTCTGGTTGCTGCCAAACCCGTGCCTGGTGATGGTGGTTATGGCGGTGGTGGAAAGACTACCTGCGCCCCGAGCACTGTGACAGTCACCAACGGCGGATATGGGTATGGCAAAGTAAGGAGGCCCTGTCTGAGCATACGTGGGCCTATCAACTAACTAGACCGTAGACTGTTACAGTCACCAGCTATACTACAGTCGTCTCCACCATTGGAACCACAGTGACAGAGAAGGGTAAGTTATCCATGACATAATTACGAACCTCTACGGAGGCAGCTGTATCTATAGAGCATGGTCTGACGTCTTTGACAGGGCCTGGATACACAACCACCGTTGGGACCACAGTGACTGAGAAAGGTAAGTCTTGTCATGGACATTATTGTAGGGAGAGCACCAAAGGCTGATTCAATTTCCTTGGCCAGGACCCGGGTACACCACCACAGTCACCGAAAAGGGTAAGTCTAGTGTCGGGCGTCATTGTGCGAGAGAGCTAGATGCTGATTATATGCCTTCTTGGATAGGACCCGGCTATACAACCACCGTTCCTATTACCGTGACTGGACCTGGCTACACCACCACCGTTGTTAACACGGTGACCGAGAAAGGTGAGTCCCGAACACTGCTGATAAAACTCTGCATAGACAACGACGAACCTAGACCCAGGCTGATATAATTCTGTTGATAGGACCCGGCTACACAACCACTGTCCCTGTCACTGTAACTGGACCGGGTTACACAACTACCGTTGTCAACACGGTGACTGAGAAAGGTAAGTTCAGACGCTAGTAAATCTCCATCTCTAAACTGGCGGTGATTAAACGTAGAGGCTGACACCATTTTGTTCTTAGGACCCGGCTACACAACCACTGTCCCCGTTACTGTAACTGAAAAAGGTGGGTTCATCCGCGGGTATTCTTACATCTACAACCAGACGATGACAGACGCAGAGGCTAACATAATTCGTTTCTTAGGACCCGGCTACACAACCACCGTCCCCGTTACTGTGACTGAGAAAGGTGAATCCGTGCACCCGTATTGCTACATCACTATACAAGCAACAAAAAACCTGGACTCTAGGCTGACACTACTCGTTGATTAGGGCCCGGCTACACAACTACCGTGGTTAGCACGGTGACCGAGAAAGGTAAGTCCATACGCTCTGGTTGCTACGCCTCCAAATGCGAAAGGCCATGGCTAGAAGCTGACTCACTCGTTTGGTAGGATCTGGGTACACCACCACTGTCATAAACACGGTTACTGAGAAAGGCAAGTTCTTGTTCTACATCCCCGAGCTAGACAACGTCCAAGTTGGAGGCTAACCCCACTCGTACTGTAGGACCTGGCTATACCACCACTGTCCCTGGACCGACAGTTACTAGTGTTACGACTGTGACCGAGAAAGGTGAGCACATATTCTGTTCCGAAAACAAGTTGGACTGCACTATGTTCAGAGACATCCGATTGCTCCTATATATTCCTGCGAAGAAACCGGATTCTAACTCCGCGTGGCTTGATAGGACCCGGATACACTACTACCGTCCCCGTCACTGTCACTGTCACTGTCACTGAGGGCAAAGGATACCCAACCTGCCCGCCACCGACTACCAAGACCATTACTGTCACATCCGGTGGCGGTTCGTACCCGACTAAGAGCTACGGTAGCAAGTAGGCTATCCCCGCGTGATAGGAGCATATGTCTAGCACTAGGACCGGGACTGCAGCTCTCCGCTCCCAAGCGTCCGGCAAAAGGATGGCGAAGGCCGAGGCAATGACGAGAATTGACGAACTATTAATGATACAGGACAAAGCATGATGTGCAAGGAGACGGAAGAGAAAAAGGAAATGGTACCTGGTTGCACTTCGCTTCTTCTCAGTCCTTTGCACCCAAACCCCTGGGGCCCACGCACTCGGTATTATAACTGACCCATATACACTCCCTTGCGAACATAAGCACTTGATACCTCAC